CATGGTTTGGCGGAGGAGGACGAGCTTTTGAGCAGCAAAAAATATGCAAATGTCTGGTCAGTGAGGCCAATTGGCCGGAGAGCTCAAATTGTTCTCTGAATTTTTCTACAGTCCCACTTTTTACGTCCCCAATTCTGGTCCTGATGCCATGAAGATTTCAAGCATAATGTCGTGTGTGTGTGCTGTGGCAATATTTGTTAAGTACGCACCCGGAATTGAATTGTTCCATGTGTGTCCATATCATTTCCCGAGACCGGGACACACATATCAGATGCGCCATTCAGCAGGATAATTGCGTGTGTATTTTCAGAAAACTCAGTGCCCTTTTTTGCAGCCTGCGGAGCTTTTTTCTGCTCTCAAAGGCGCGTCTTTAGTCGCTTTAATTTAACATGAATTTCATACAGTACTTTTCAGAGACAGAGACAGAGAGAATGAGTGCTTGGGAAAATATCTGCAATTATGCAAATTTCTCCAATGCATTTGCTAATGCAGAGCCTCATTTCTTGTCTCTCATCACCAAATATAATTTTCTCCTTCTACCCTTGAGACACTCACCCAACTTTCCATTAGCAAGTCATCTACATACACGCAGGAGACAGATGGGATTCGTGGCAGCCTGTCTCATATGGTGAGTCGGAATTTCTGAGATGCTGCGTCTTTTGTGCCTTCAACATCAACCCACGAGTGCCACTCAGTATTGTTGAGCATCGAAAAATACCACAAACTCCCACGAAATTCACATGAGAAGAGGCTTCAAGTATACCTTTAGCATTTTGTGATTGTTCGCCTCGCAATCTTTTGAGGATTTTGTAATATGTATGAGAGTAGATAATAATGTTGTTTGTCGCAATTTTCCTGAAAAACAGCCTACATGTAGCATGGAAATGTAAATATAGAAGCTTCACTTAGTGCCAAGACAAATCACTCAAATTTCTTGTGCACAACTACAAATTGAATTTAGCAGCACAAATCCACCCCTTTTCCCTGCCCAACAACTCAACAATGGCACGTGACGTGAATTTATTGCTAAACAACTCATTAGATGACGATTGAAATTAAATGTTGCCTGGTTAATGACTTTCGCAGACGAACCCACGCGAAAACACCTGACATGAAATTGAAAAGCAATTTTATTTCATTACGATAATTTCCCTGCCAATTTTCACTCATTCATCTGATTAAAATCTGCAGAGGGAGGCGCGCCAGTGTTTTCCAGCTCTGCCCACTCGTAGACCGAAATTCCGCCTTAAATAAACCGTGAAGTAATAGTCTTGGGAAAGACACAAATGGAGAGCTCATTAGTGTGTTAATCACTTTTGGGGCGACGTCGTGGAGAAAGTTAAATATTCCATGCTACTTGGAAATTCCATCGCTGGGACAACACTTCACGGCCAGGAGATTCTATGTACACAATTTCATGGGCACGACAGCCGGGGGGTTGGGGGAGAAAAAACACTCCGTAGATCCAGTAAACCCACCCTCAGCACTACAACTGAGAGGCAGATCGACCGGAAGTAACGCAAAGTTCCTGCAAAGTTTATTTTAGCAAGGCTCGCGCAAAAGATTCTATCAATTGTGAAGAGGCCGGACGTGACACTCACAAAGGAGCGACTCCTGCTCAAGGATCACTTATTCCTTCACAACAAACTCATGCAAATTTTTGTGAAATTCGTGCTTCTGATTTTTATGCTCCATGAGAATAATCAAACCTTGGAAAGTGTCAAAAACATTCTTTTAGCATTTACTCTCAGTGAACTCATTTTCCATAATTATACTATATTGAGTGCAAACATCCTAAATAACTACTTTTTGCTCCAATGAAATTCCCTCTGCAGACATTTACACGAGATGAAAATCACTACACTTTGTGTGTATTTTGACTATCACTTCGAATCCGTGATAATATAGAAATTCCGGATGAGAATGTAAATTTGTGTGCAATTTGGAGTTGTTTTAAGTATGGGAAATTTTAGAGAAACTTTCTGCTCGAGCTCACTTGTGGTTGAGAATGAAAATTATACATTGGCAGATATTCACGCTTGTGCTTCGCAATTTAGAAGAGTTTTCCCTTGAACGGATTTCGTGTGAAATTAGGGAGATTTCTGCACGAAATAAGGATTATTCGATTGTTTAGTGGTCTTGAACAAACATCCTCACCATCAGTGTTTCCTTTTGTGTGTTCCACCAAGGAAAACGTGTATGCAATTTCCCAATCAACACAAAGTGCTTACACACTGCTAACGAAGACTGAATTGAGGAAGAGAATTATAAGGTGAATTTTATCACTTGTACTTCATGTTATATTTTGCTTTTCCATCTCGCAATTTCAACACAAACACACACGATTAATCTCCCCAATGAATTCCCAATAAATGTGAGCACAATGACGTGGAAAAACATTTGAGATCCTGCAAACATGCCCATTTGTCGTGTTCAGTGGACCCCGAAAAATTACCATGGCAAGAGAAATGGCTGGTGCGAAGTGAAAAATCTGCGATTTGCTGGCAATACTTGTGACATTACCTGGGCTGAGTTATCGACTGTGTGGCACCATTAATTTGGAGCAATTTTTCTCGGTGCTCCACTTAACCATGAGTATGTTAAAATCCTCCCACGCATTGCTATCGATTATTCCCTCCACGGGCTCAACACAACAGTCGAGAGACCGTCATGCCATTGAGGCTCAACCTCCCGGAAATGTTTGAAGGGTGATATCGTACATGTTTGCGCTGTGGCAGCATTTTTATGATCCAATAGATGAAATTACACATGAAAAGTGTTTTATCCATGGCATTTATAAAGCAGCGCTTGGGGTGGGTGTATTTTCACAAAATAGCCCAACTGCCATCACTCTTGGATGTGTAATAAACCGAGGAAACATACACACTATGTAAATATAGAAATGGTGGTTGATGTTGAACAAAATGATGATAAATCAGGACAGACAAATGGTATAGATTACTGGAGAATGTTACTGGTCAGAATTTGGATATATTTTTCCCTGTCTCTTTTCCTTATCACCAGGCAGAAATATAAGCTCTGACCAGAACCTCCCTTAATCAAATTGAGGAAGTAAAGTTTACCTTGTCTACATTCCAAATTCTGTTCGCATTTTGCCTGTGTCCCGATAAAATGCCTCATGGTGGGAATGATTGTGGAAAAAATGTCGGAGACAAAGCAAAAGACTGGAAATGCATGGAACCGCAGCGACTGTTTTCCTCTCCTCAAAAAGCTGGGGGTGCTTTTTGGGGGGTGATTTATGAAAAATCCTACGTGCTGCATCCTGCAGGAGTTCCCGAGGAATTGCAGCAAATTATTCATAGTGGCAGCAGGGAGATATTTGCAATGATAGAAAGGAGTCTCCGCAGCGCAATCCATGCTCAATCATTCACCACTTATTGGACTTTACGATGTTTTTCCCACCCACTTTTGACTCCCACTTCGGCCGCCCACCTCGGAGAGCCCTTCAGGGACATGTTCCATTTGCGAATTCACAAGAACAACTGGTGCCTCTTGCTGGCCAGAGGCCAAAAGATCACCGCCCAGCAGCCATTGACCCATAACTCTCCCAGCATAATTGATTGAATATTAAATTATCCCTCTAATGCCTTTTCTTCACGATAAAATTAACCGAGACTTTGCTCTACAACTTTATAGGTCATTCAGATTTTTACGTTTCGGCTGAAAACCTGTAAAAATACAACAATATCATAAATTCTACCGAGAAAATGCTACCATTTAATCACACTTTTTGGGGTTTTATAAAATTACGAGCACCCAATAAAATTTATGCGTCTTTTTTTTCATACTCCCGCAGTTGGAAAAACGTTCACAGTCATTCATGCAGAAGCACGAGAATTGAAATCAATTTCTCGCACTATAAATAACGCAATGGGAAATTCGTGAAAAAAACTCCCTCGATGAAATTTCATTGTGATATTCATTTATCCTGTAATTGGTCAGTGAGGGTGCCCTTTTTTCTGTAAACATGAAGCATTTTTTCGCATTTGCATGAACGCGATGAGGGCAACTCTTTTGGCTGTTGGGCATTTGAAAAAAAATTAACGTTTCTTTTGTTAGGCTTGTAAAATGGTTCATTTTGGACTATAGCGGCGTTTACTTTATTCCTCTTCAAATCAATTAATATTCACAAGGGTTTTTGCAGAGAAACGAATGAAAAACTGTGGCTCGACGGACATGCTTTTTCACAATACATATTTATTACATGCACATCACACATATAGTGATAATTTATTGAATTATATTCAAATTAATAATACTGTAAAATTGCGAAACGCGTACGAGCATAATTAATAATTGTGAGTAAATCTTACAATTTTTTCCACACTGTTGAATATTTCTATTTGAACAATTTGAAATAAATTCTTGATTGTATGTCATGATTGTGCTTTATTACACAAAAAAATTGCCCGAAGATGCAAGAAAATTGCGAAATAAAATCCACTAAGATGTGGAAAAAGCACAAAATTGACTTTCAATGACGAGATATTATACAAATAATAAAACGATTGCATTTGTGAGCTCACAACTTTCTCTGCAATTCCCTTCCGCAGCACTTAACACACCGTCTCGGGATTTATTGTTGTCACATCTCTTTGCAGGCGGACGTCTAAGAGACACTGCAAAAATAATTCTGACGCACAATGGATAAAACAACGCCATCGAGTGATTCACATTTAATTCCAGTCACTGTCGCGACAATATGACACTTTCTTTTTTCTAAACTATAAAGCACTTCCTCGAAGTGGAGGAAGTTGAGAAAACAGTTTTGCGTCAAGTCATGCGACTATGAAAATATAAATTAATGGACGCCTTCTTTCCCTTGCATGCACTGGTGGAGAACAACAGTTGAACGATGACGACTTTTTCCACTGTCTCTCAAGGCATTCTCTATGTGTAGTATTTGAGGATGCTATTCTGAATTACTGATGTGGAGAGGAAATGCAGGGAGCTTCGAAGTTTCCGCACGCAAAACACGCTTCGCAATTACATTTTCTTTATTGTTATCCATTACATTTTATGCTGATTCCTCTCTAATACTTTATATATTCCATATGTTCAATAATATCATCTTTCTTGTAATATTTTATCATACATTTAGTTACATACTTTATACGTATAATGATCATCCTCACACTTTTCACATATCTCTTTGCATCGCAAATCCTCTGCCCTCACTAGTATGATCCTAATCCTACTCTACAACCATTTCTATATTCACTTTATTTTGATATTTTCAATGAGAGATCTTGCATCATTTTTAGAGAAGGAACGAAAGGGCAATATATATTTAAGTAGACGTTTTGTCACATTACAATATAATATATTTTCAAGACTTCACCAAGTATTCTGTATACAGAGCGTTCTTCTGGTCACAAAAAATGTCTTTAGTGCGCATCAATGTTTTGTTTATACTTATATTTTTAATGCATTTCATTAATGTATCATTTCCAGGATTATATAATCTAAATGGTAACAATATAGTCAAGAACATTTGGGCTGCCAATCTCCTCTCAACCATTCACAGAATCCTTCGCTCAAGTCCATTTCTTTGTTCAGGGGATAGGCTATAACATGCAACAAGTTTCAATTAATCTTCTTCTGCTTGACTAAAACGCGCAATCCTCTATAGTAAATACAATTTATATCATCTTTTAATACTCTGTTATTGTCAACTAATAATATGCTCTCCAATTATTACTCTCCTCTTCTTTTGCCTGATATAGACGTGATCAATTTATTTTTGTCTAATAAAAGCTTAGAATTTAGAAACTATAATAGGTTCTCCTGACCTTCAACGCTTCATCAATATAGACTTTCTTCAATTATATTATTTGCTATGGTGCCAAGCAGAAAAATACGGTATAATAGGTTGTCCTTTAATCACTAAATATGCAATAACAATTAATTTAATATTTTCCACCTTTCCTTATCCTTTGAAGCTATTTGACAACAATGATTTATTACTTGATCATCTCTCCTCTTTGCGATTTCACCATATGGGCTAAATTAATTTATTGCAGAAAAGAAACTTCAACTCATACTTGTGTGGAATCCTTAGTTGGAGTCAGAGTCGGAGTCGCTGGGAGCCATTGGCGAGAGAGCTGGAGCCGGTGGTTCCTCCTTGATGGGCTTACTGACCGTTGTGGCTGCCAAATAAGCATTCTGGCTCTCGCCTTGAGTGTGCTCAATCCCAACCCTGCAAATAGCGATGATAAAGCGTCAGAAATGGCGTATCTAAAGAGTAAAATATGCAAAAATCACCTGTATTCATGGCGCGCAAGGTACCGGACGTACTTCTCAGGAGGATCGTCACTGTCTGATTCCTGGACACTGACAGACCTCACTGTTGTGTGCGACACCTGAGTGGCAGGCATCGTGAACTCCACGTAGCAATACGGTGCCAATTGCTCAGGGATCTGATCGTAGCTGGTGAGAGCCATTCGGCAGACCATCTGATGAGTTGTGTAGGCGCCTATAAGACAAAGGCATTAGTCTCTGACACTTGACTCTTCATAGAACTCTCCCTACCTTGGCCCTCCTTAGGTAAGCGAGGACATCTCCAAACAATGGACCTATGCTGATGCTCATACTTGGCCTGACCTGATGTCACCTCAATCAGCGACTCCTGCAGTTGATCCATGGTACCCAAAATCCTCTCTATACCCTTAATCTTACCAGTCCTACGGTGAGCAGACTTCACCGATCCGTAGCGGAAGTGCTTCTCCACTCGGAACAAGTAAATCCAGCACTCGGGAATGGGAAACCGAATCGCCACGTCCTCACATGGAATCTGACCGAGCTTCCTTGAGGCGAAGCCAGGCACCAAAACATCCACTCTCAATTCAACCCTGTTGCCAGTAACGCACCACGTCGCCTTGACTTGCAGTGGCAACTCTCGATTCTTCGGCGGACGCACTCGGAATCTCATCAGCTCGATGTAACATGCGTCGGGAGGCTGGAATCTGGAAAAATATACAATTAAATTGGATTGCGTGACGCTGATATATGCCACAGACACTCACTTAATAGTTCTAGTGCGCTCATATTCATCCTGCTGTACGCAGGAGTGGAACTCCACGCCCTCAAGTCGAATCCACTCCTCAGTGACAACGGGGATGATGTCATGCCGACCCACGACCTCCTTTCCCTGGCGCCACAGATCATTCACGCCCAACTCGATGGTCGGCATGCCGGACAAGAAGCCGAGGAAGAAGAGCCGAACCCTGGCTATTTGCTTCGTAATGTGACCTTCAGCATCTTGCTCAGCATACAATTCATCCACAGCTGTAAGTTGAACTTCCTCGGACTTGTAGTTCAGAGCCCGATCTCGATGGGCGTGAAGCTTAAACAGAGCTTCCTCGACGACCACAGAAAACTGCTTCATGTCCTCAAAGCTCATGGAACCAATCTTAAATAGCTGAGACACTTGAGGAGCATGTTCAACTGGCAAACCAAGTTTCTTCAGATCACTTCCGAACTCCTTCACTCCCTGGTAATCTCCTTGGATTGCGTAAGCGGCAAATTGGCTAAGCTTATTGGTTAAACGTTCAGCCTTCGTCACCTGTCCTGGTCTCACGCCCGGTCTCTCTTTGTAGAAGATGTACTGCAATTTGACAGTAAATATCTTCCCAAACTGGTCATATTGCTGCGCTCCAATGTCTGATACAGAGTAGCATGCCTGCAGAGGCAACTCCTGGAAGGGTTCCTTGTCATTGGATGAATTGCAGAGTTGCATAACAGGATTGTCACCCTGGTACACAAGTCTAACGAAAATCTTCTTCCAAAATCTCTGACCCGTGATCTTCTTCTTATTGGGCTGTCGCAGTTGCATCTCCCATCCCTTAGCACCATCGACCATTATCCTGGGGAAATCCTCCAGGGGCTGCGAGACGTCTTCATCGAAGAGCGGAGTCGGCGGAGATTCCTGCGAGTCCGATCGCTCAAAGGTCGGTTCTGGAAGAGAGAAATCGCACTTAGCATTCAAAGTAGTAGTAATTTTCTCATATACTCACTAGTATCCGGAGTGATATCCATAGTCATGGGCTCATCGTAGCCCTTGTCGAAGGGATTCACCCTTGGGGAGGAGTCTCCTGAGTAAGTAGAATTGGCAGAACTCTTGGGCGGAGGAGCCAGAGCGGCTGCCATAAAACTGGGAGTTGTATCGCCTTCCCTTGGCTTTATTACCACATTAAAGTCTCTTTGAGCATCATCAGAATCATGAGAGTCTGCTCTCTCCACGGCTGGGGGATTCATAGAGAGATAGGTGTCGAAACTCTCCTCGTCAGCACCAAAACCATCAGCAGACGCAGCCTCGTCTCCGAAAGCAGGAGTACTCCCACCCCAGGCTGCAAGTAAAGCAAACATTACCAAAGCTTGTTACAGCCAACACACCCACTAAATTACCGTCATCACTCGTTGTCGGGCCGAAGCCATTGAGAACGCTTTTCACAGGATCATCCCCGAATGCATTGGATGTCTTGGCGTCAGCTGAATCAAACTTAGCGGCGAATGCATCGAATTCATCCGCAACCCTGGGCGGAGGAGCCTCTTCGACGATGCCAAATATTTCATTTTGAGGCAAAGGAGCAGTGACTGGAACCACAGACGGCGCCACGGGAACTTGAGGAATTATGGGGGCTGCAACAGGAGCAGGAATGGGTGCGGGCGCGGGTGCGGGCGCGGGTGCGGGCGCGAGTGCGGGCGCGGGAACAGGTGCAGGAGCCACCTTGGGCTGCGGAGGAATGGGCGGTGGAGCCGGCCGTGGTGGTGGAGGACGTGGCACAAACTTGGGCGCCACGATAGTCTCCTTCACTTCGTACAGTGGTTCGTTGGCGCGCTCCTCCTCAGTTGGACTGGCGAATGGATTGGCCGAAGAGGAAGCTGGGTATTCAGCCTCTTCAGGTGGCGGCGGCAAAGGCTCCTCTTGTTCTGTCTGTTCCACCATCTCAACCGGTGTTGCAATGTTCCCAATACTCCCAGTCACTGAAGATGGAAGGGCTGTTATGGTGGCATTGGAACCACTGTGCTCAGATGAGATGTCCGACTTGGCGTCCTCAATTCGTACCTCTGCCTCTTGGAAGCGCACCTGCTCATCTGGAGGCGTGAGCAGAGCCGGAGTGTGGACAATCACTGGCTCTACTGCCGGAGGAGCAGCGGCTTGAGTCGTGATGTCAGCACCAAACACGGGCATTCCCAGGCCGATTCCTGAGTCCAACTCAGGGATGTCGCCGCTCAGTAGATCGGGTTGAGTATTCGTTGTCTGGGGAGTCGGAGTGGCGAAGAGACTGAGGATATCTTCCTTGGACTTGGGCGCTGGTGGTTTGGGGGCAACGGGCTGCTCTGACCCAAAGATGTCCATCATGAAGTCCGGTTCAGTTTGCGGTTGCTGGACGGCCACTGGAGGACGCGCCGGCGGAGCAGCCGGAACTTGGGCCATTGCAGGAGGCGCGGGTTTGGGCGGAGGTCCGGCAGGACGAGGTGGTGGAGGCCGACTGGGTGTGCTCTTGATGGCATCCACAGGTATTACTGGCTGCTCAGGAATCGCCTGCGGTTCACTGAAGGGGTTGTCATTAATGGGTTCAGCCATCAAATCTCCATCGGACACGTCCAGTAAGTCTCCGACTGCGTCTGGAGTGGGACTCGGGGAGTGTAGGTCCCTCATGGACACTGGACTTGGAGTCCTGGTCGCCGGTATTCGTCCTAGCAAGTGTGAACTCGCCATGTCTAGTTGATCAGCCACAGAGAGTATCAAGTCCTGAGTGGCCTTAGCTGGTCCTACTGCTGGTCTAGCTGGCGGTGCCTTCTTCTTAACCTTGCTCAACTCCTCCTCACTTGAGTATGCATACCCAGAGTCCTCAAATACATTACTAAGTGCCGGCTGTTTGATGTCCAGCTCCATTGGTTTGTGCACCAGCGAAGGATCTTCTTGAAAGATGTTCACTCCCGATGAAATGGACTGGAACGTATTGCCTGCAGTCGTGGTCACTGAAGCGCTGGCATCAGCTCCCATGAATAGTTGCATCCCTGTTGTCACAATCCCCATCTGAGTAGCAGTATACATGTCAATATCATTGGGCAAAGCCTGCGCCTGAGGTTCCTCGAACTCGGCAAAAGGATTTGTGGCTCCCGACGCGAATGGGTTTTCCGCCATGTAGTCCATCTCATCGTCAGGGCCGTCTGTCATCAGGAATGGATTCTGGTACGCGGCCGCGGATGGACTCACGTCCTCGTCAGTCATCAGGAAAGGGTTCGCCATGTCTTACTGCTCTTCCTTACTGCTGTTGTCCAATAAGTTCTGTCTCTAAGAGTTTGATTTCAGTCTTTCCTGGTCCCAAGTTCTCAGCGATTGATGTGTCGAATGGATCGATTTCCTCTTCCTCAACTGAATTTGCAGTAGCGCCTAAAGGCGTTAAAGCCTTCACCGGCAGAGAGTCGTCCTGTGAATATGAGAGAATATCAAGCACTGGCTCTGGTGTCTTTGCCAAATTTGGCAAGAGTTCGCTCTCAATTAATTTAAGTTCAGCCTTCCCCGGAAGAATATTGCTATCAACGGCTGATGTGTCGAAAGGATCGTCGAAGACTGGAATCTCCGCAGCGCTTGCGATCTCAACAGCTGGAGTAAGGACTTTGATATTGAGTTCTTCACCCACAGCCAGAAGGTCTGGAGTTTTGACTGGTGCTGCTAGTGTTACAGGTGACTCGGCACGTGGATCAAAGTCGTCGTCCTCGTCTAAGACTTGTGATTGCTTAAGAAGGTCACTCTCCAGAAGAGTTAATTCAACTTGAGTCGGCTTGATATCAGACACAAAGGATGTATCGAATGGGTCGACGTCCTCAGACGGTGCCACAACTTCCTTATTGTAGTACGGAGTTAATGGCTTTTGGATTTTACCACCATTTTCACCAACAGCCAGCAAATCAGGCGAAGGGACTGCAAAGGACACAGCCTTTGGTGTTACACTTTGGATGTTGAGACTCAGTGAAGACTTTCGACTCTGGATATCAACGGATGATCGACTTTCAATATTGGGTTTACCTTGATTTATGTCTTGTAAGTGCTCCTCTGACTCTTCTCCGCGTGGATCAAAGTCAGGATCACTCAGTGAATGCTTGAGATTGCTTATTGGGATCACTGGTGGTTTGGGAACAACAGCTGGAGTGTTATCAGCCAACAGTTCCTTCTCCAGAAACTTAAGTTCAACTTCTTTGGGCGCAACAATGGACGAAACAGCGGAGGTGTCGAAGGGATCTAATTCCACTGGAGTCTTAGCTCTGGCTGAAGCTGGAGCGATGGCGACTTCAGGAAGTGTTGAGAGATCACTCACACTCCCTCCAAGATAATCTCTGGGCGGAAAGAGATTCTCCTCTTTGGGAAAGTCAGGTGAGAATAACTCGTCGTCCACTTGAGCTGGCTTCTCCTCGACTGTTGTCTCAGCACGAGGATCGAAATCGTCGTCGTCAGCAAGGACCACCTGATCTACGAAGGCTGTATCGAAAGGATCTACGTCGTCAGCCTCCTCTGGGAGCTCTAGTTCCTGTTCGTTGACTAAATGAGCAACCTGAGGTCCTGTGGCTGGTCTAGGAGGTGGCGGACGTGAAGGTTTACCACTTTTTCTTTCTTCCTCGAATGCAGCCCAATCAGTTGAAACTTCTACTTCGACAGGAGCAACAGTTTGTGCTGGTTGCTTGGTGACTTCCTCAGTTTTACTTAGAGATTCACTGGCTAACAAAGCAAATTCGTCATCTTCCTCTGATGGTTTCAATTCATCAAACTCTGCGACAACGTCTTCGTCCTGCTTTTCCTCTTGTTGAGCTTTCTCCTTTTCTTCTTTCTCCTTTTGTAGAGTCAAATGTAGAGAAACACTCAAGTCTATAGGTATATCAGGAAGGACATCGTCATTGTCATCCAAGAGTGTCTTAACAACTGGCGCAGGAGCGGCTTCGGCAGCTTGTGCGGCGCCTTCAGTAGCTTCGGTTTCCTCGAAGTTGTCTAACAGGAGATTCTGAACGCCTCTGCGAGGACGCTTAGTGGAGACTGTCGATGAAACAGTTTCTACTCTTCCTGTTAGAACCTCAACAGCCGATCCGATACTAACGATCTTCTTCCCCTTCTTCGATACTTCGGGTCCTTTGATTACTTTATCCGCGTAGGTGGTGTCGAAAGGATCAGGACCTTCTTCCTCTTCCTGCTCTGGTGAATCCGGAATGTATGCGAGTGGAAGCTCGTTTGTGGTGATCACATCAATGTAAGTGGTGTCGAAGATATCGTCACCTTCCTCGCTCTCTGATTCCGATTCCGAGAGTTCGATAACAGCACTGGCAAGGTTATCCTTCTCTTCAGGAGCCTCTTCGGCGGCAGGAGCTCCTTCCTCCTGAGCCGCCTCTTCCTGCTGTGCCTCTTCCTGCGCTCTCTTTAGCTCACTGGGCGGCGGAACGCGCTGGAAGAATGAAGTTGACTTGATGCGATCGAGGTCCCCTTGAGTCTTCTTTAGTATGGAATCAACACCAGTCGTGAGGGCTTGAAACTTCCTCCATTCATCGTCCTCTTCTGACTTGGGGGCGCTTGTCTCTGCCTCGACTGGCTCCGATGGTCCTTGTTCCTCTGTCTCCGCGGTCACTTGCTTCTGGTGCTCCCTGCGGTACTGCTCTAGCTCCTCCTCGGTGAAAAGTTCCTTGTCCTTTTTCGATTTTTTCCCTTTCTTTTTCTTCTTTAGACCCTTTGGTAGCTTAAGCATTCTCCACTCGGCGAGACATTGAAGGAATCTGCAAAATCACCCAGGAAATCGCTTAGCTAACATCCTCTCTATCATATTCGTGTTGAAAATATCTTATCTAGATAAGTCGGAATAAAGCAAGGCATTATTGGGGGATATTTGAGCAATGGGAAATGCGATACAAGAGGGATAAACTATAAATTCTGTGTAATTTTCTCATATTGTGTTATCAGTGCAGTTCACTATACATTTAGAGAGTTTATATAAATAAATGTGAGTATAAAAAGGATTCACAGTGCGTTTCATTGGCAGGGAAAATCAATCAATTCCTTCAGGATCACAGGGATGTGCAGTTGAACAAGTAGTCATCTCAGAAGAGCACAAGATTCAGGAGCTATTTGACTCTCTGCATGGTCGTTCAAGTGCCCAACCCTGTACAGCCAAGCAAGGACATGGATAATTTCGCATTCGTTGAACTGAAAAAGTTATACCATTTTCACCCACACACACAATCCTCCTCATAAAGGGGAAATAGAATTTTCCTCGACTAAGCAGGAAACTCTACAAATGAATCACACATCTCTTGGGGTTTTCTTCTCTATGGCAAAAGGTCACTCTATTTGCGAATGTACATTCCAGGAGGGCTACAGGACGCTTTTTTCTTCCATTATGTAATTTTAAATATATACATATTCTGTGAAAAAATATTTACTCTTCTCTCCTTTGATGGACGAGAGAATCCTGTGGCTTTCAACTCTTGGGCAAAAGTCCTTTAGCGCGAATGGATGGAATGAAAAAAGAGAGATGCCATAAAAGGGAGGAAAAAAGTGTGAGTCGAGAGCAAGGATAAAAGTCACTGAATTTGAACTCTTCAGAATATAGATTTGTGATTTTCCATTTAATACCCACACACACACGCGCAATCGAGGATGGGAAAATGTCTGAGGAAGAGCGAAGATAATCCCTTTTATTCTCCAATATATTCTCCAATTAACACTCAATTAGCTCCTCTTCTGTCCTCATCCACATAATCCATCCGCTATGACTCCACTTTTACTCCCTCACGCCACGGAAAAGCCCTCCATCCATTTTACCCCCCGAATTGCAGCCCACACTCGTGCAATTTTCACCCAACTTACGTCTCCTGAATCAATCACGAGCCCTTTTCACGCTCACGCAACACCTCTTCTCCGGTCGGCGCTTTCCAAGCGATGGACAATACTTCGCACGGACTTACTCTGGCGGAACTCAACACTCTCTCTAGGCGAGAAATGGCCAATTTCACAAGCGAACTTCTATCCACGGACCACCGACATTATGGTCTGGCTGTCGACTCGATAATGAAAGTGATGAGATTGGAAGAGGGGAAGTTTTCTGGGTTTTCCACCCCTCATCGAAAAGTCTGGATAACGAATTCTGTGCGAAAGCCGAAAGAAGAGAGCGAATTGCTCAAATGGTAGATTTTTTGAATGAATCTCGCTTTGCTTGGTTTGATTGGATTGTGATTTATGAGACTATTTGGATAAAAAGAATCCTTTTTTTAAAAAACAAGACTCTTCTGGGCTTATTGAGACTACTCAAGAGCAAGTTAACCTTTGAAACCATTCGCTATATTAAATTTATACTCTTTATACAGCAATAACATTTATTCACACTTTTTCTTCCAGAAAGATTAAATATTAATTAAAGCATTAGAGAGAATTACATAAAATTCACACACTATCATATTAGTTCACAATCATTCTAACAATAAATTTTACTAAAGCAACAGTTAAAATTTCTACCATTTCGCCTCTCGATGAATCGGTTTATCAGGGGAAAGTGCCAAATATCGATTTTCCTCGCGACGCCGCGCACACCTTCTCGACATCCACTCATGCGTCGCTCTTTCGCAACACTCATAAATTCAGCGACTCCTGATTAATTCACATCATGCCTCACTGTCTCGGCCGATCCTCGGCGAGAACTTGGCTTCTGGCGCCTCTCTTTGCGGCGACAGATCGAAGTTCTCGAACGCGGCGTCATCTCTGTAACTCCACGTGCTCTGGGTGTCTATGGAGGTGGTGCGGAGGGTTCTCCGTGAATTGTGGACGTCCGGAGAGCACTTCGACTGGACAATGGCCGACTTTCCGCTGGAATACTCCACGTTGCTGCTGAGTGTCGCGTTCGGCCGGTCGCACCCACTATCCCAAGTATTCTGTGTTGAGCCCGGCAGCCGCATTTTAATGTGATCAGGCAAATACTCACGGAACTTCCACCAGGACTCGCGCAAAGTGCACTGCACTTCCTTGTTCGTGTAGCAGTGAAGGAGTGCCACGAAAATGCCCTGCAAACCTTCCAGAGCGTAGGAGACGAAGTAGTAGAATTGCTCCCAAATGCACGACTGCGTGTCTGGACGGATGGCCACGAAGAGAAACGGCACTCCAAACAGTGGCAGGCAAATCAAGGAAATCTTCGCCAATCTCTGACTGAGAACCGAAAATGTTCGTTACTTTTCAAACAGCACATAAAATCACAAAGCCAAAGAAAACTTACATGTAGTAATTACTCTCGTTCGGATTTTCCCTGAGCATCTTGCGGAGACAGCGAATGATGTGAATCAGAAGGACGAAGTTAATGGCTAACATGAGAAGACGTGGAGCGTCGTTGATCCACTGGAAGTCCGTGCCATCCGTGACCATCCAGCAGTACTGATCATTGGCCAGAGCCATGGCCAACGCCCAAGAAAGCGCGGCCAGAAGGGAGATTGCACCTCCACTGATGTAGAAGAACTTCATGTTGATGGTATTGAAGCTTCGACGGTGCTCAAAAATGTTGGTCAAGAGGCTGTGCAGATGAATGGCCTCCAAGAGCATACAAGTGAACACTGTGTTTGCAGCCAGTTTCTCAAAGAACGCTAGAATACGACAAGAAACCCCGTTTTTAGAGATAACAGTGTCTTCCTCATTGACCAGAGCATCAAAGATTATCTGAAAAACAACATAATTGAGCGATTTTTGTCTAAAAATCTATGAAAAATCTCACCAATCTCTTGGACATGATCACAAGAATACTCCTGATGACAATGGCAAGGATTAGATTGCGTATCAATATGAATTTGAGGGATTGAAGACTCTTATAGGCGAAGAAGATCACAAGTGCAGGAAGAGAGAATGCTAGAGATATTCCCAGCATTGCCAAGTGCCATTTAAGTCTGGTGATCAAGCGTTGGTTGATGGCACAGGTTGAATAGTTTGTGTTCACATTCCAGGTTCCATCGCTGAAGCACTCTTTTCTGCTGTAATCTGCGGAATAGAATTATTTCAAGTGTGGCTGATCTAATATCAAATCCTAGTAAACTCACGAGTGCACTGAGGTCCTGACCCTGAATAGGCGTATGTTGGACAGGGCTTCTCAACCACAGTTCCTGCAGCTACAGAGCTGTAGCAAGTCCAGCCATCCCAGACTGCAGGACACTGACCCAGGTTCCCTTCAGCATTTTCTCCACTAGTTTCCCTGCAGCACTGCAAGGCGTCTTCGCAGCATTGAAGCCAACGCAGGAAGTAGGTATCGCTCACGAAGGACTTCTGCACGAGATCCTGAATTAGAGAGTTGTTATGGTGGAAAACCTGACATCTGCTATCCACGATAATTCCAGGAACCGCATTGCCGTTAATAGAACATGAAGTGATATTCTTTGAGAGCCCATTGTCGATGAAAAACTTCTTCTGCGTGTACTTGTAGCATCCAGAGTCGGCGAAAAGTGAGAAGATTCCCTCAGGAAGAGCTTCGCGGTTTCGATATCGACAATCTCCGTCGACTCGCACTGTCTGGATTAAAAATAAAGTTGATTGTGAGAACATGAAAAATTGAAAACCCTAATCCTACACTTTCTTCCTTTAAATTCAGCACCTCTAAACCTGAATCAAATCTAAAACCCTAACAAAAACAGTATCAACACGCCGCCACTGGTTTCACTCCAATTAAGTTAATTGTAGCACGAGTTCACTGATAAGGAGAATTTTCATATAACACTGTTTATTTTGCAAAACTTGCAAAAGTTGAAAGTCGCGTTTCTAATCTGCTGAGCCGGGAAGAAAGCTAAAGCTCTGAAGATTACTTTATCCCTATTACCCACTGAACTTGACTCGAAATTTGCACGATCATTCAGTATAATATTGCATCTCGAGCCGCAATTCTGAATCACTGTCACAAGAAAACTCACCCAAACAAGCAGAACCAGTGGTATGAAGCGAAAACTACTCCTCAGAACCATTCTAGAGCACAAAGCATTGCTCTTTTCCAGTGTGGCAGCAAGACTAAAGACTACTGAATGTGGAGTGGCGAAAGGTGTAGATTACAGTAAATAACTCAATTGAATCGCGCTGGTGAACTGATAAAGGTGTAATTGAAATTATTTTTTACGCTTATCCCCAATACACTTACTGATAACAAGCTTAAATTGTCGGGATTGTTAATAGAGGTCATGATTGGGAAATGTTTTTAGCTTTTAATTCTGCTCAAAGTGATACAAAGATTCATTATATCCCTGCATGTTGGTTTTCAAGTGCGCGCTGAACTTCTCACTGGAAAGGATCCTTCTTAATGTACTTCTCCAGCTCCTGATCGCTCGTCGAATCGACTTTGGAGAGTTCCGAGAAGCCTTCTTCATTCACGAAGCAAATTTCATGGCCGTCAGGGTCGCCTAAGATGATCACCTGCACAGTGGCCTTGCCTGGAGTGTCTAAAGAGATCAATGGAGTGAGGATTGTTCCCTTGTTGGCCTTGATCTTCTCATCAATGAGTGGCTGAACGGCCGCTGGAACGGCAAAAGCAATTCTACCGTAAGCTTTTGCTCTATTGAGAGGATCAGAAATTTCCCTCAGTTCGAGACTGGCCTGATTATCTCCATAACTGAGGACGGCCAACTTGTCGCCCTCAGAAAGGATCTTCATGTTCAGCAGGCCGTGCCAATAGTCGAGAGATCGCTTGAGATTCGCACAGTGAAGAGTGACTTTACTGACTTTATCCGCTCCTGTTGGAGCTTCGCTCTCAATATAGAACTTATAGCCATCAGGACTTGTGAGGAATTCACGCTCGCCGTCCTTCGAGACTGAATAGTTGAGATTCTGCGCCCGGGAAAGGATGTCCTTGTCCTTGATGGTCATTCCGCCGAAATCATTCCCAAGATCGTAACTCTTCACGCCATAATTGTATGTCAATTCCACGACGAAGAAGTCAGATTCCGGACCGTAGCCAATCATAGTCTTACTCCAGCGATTATCGTAGGGTCTGTGGCAAGAAATTACTCATTTTAGGGCCAATAAGAACGAATTAGAAACACAATCTCACCCATTGCACTGAGCATCGCAGCCTTCAGTGAATTCTTCATGACGCAGCACCTAGAAAAAGCAACATTTTCTCAATATTTTCCCACTACCATTTGTCTAATCTCACTCTGAGAGACTCTCAGAGTCTTGATTAAACGATTATCATGTATAAAGGCAATTAAAAATGAGTAATCCAATTAGAAATGCTAGCAAAAAGTGAGAATTTCAAGGGTGATTTGCCAACCTTCATTCCCAGGATGTTTTTGAAGAAGTGGATGTTCTTGGCACGATCTCCAATCTTCAGCACATAGTGTAGGGCTCGTCCAGGAATCATATTTCACAGCTCTAGTGGAAATTCTATTGAGAAAACGGAGGAAAGTCACCAACTAATGTGAACACCGCACGGCAATAAAAACACTGGGACGGCCATTCGTGCATTGAGCGTGCGGCCGCACAGCTGACTTTTGGGACAGATTGTGACACCGGCTGTCAAGAGGTGAGGAAAACGTGCGCTGTTTTCTCGGGTTTTTCGGGCGTTTTTCTGGTCGGTGGACAATGTTTACACGGAACTTGAGGCGGATAGTGAGTCTGCACAGGAATCTGCCGGAAGCATGGGTGTTCAGGCAGAAAGTCGTGCGAATTGAGCCTCTGGCAGGAGTTCTGAAGTTTCACACTTCTCTGGGGAATCCGGGAAAGATATTCCCTGAGCGCGAAAATGACTATGCTCATGGGATTCTCAAGAGAGTCGGCAAGTATCACCTGATGCAGGACGAAGTGAAGTCTATCGGGGAGCTGCTAACGGACGATGAGTTTAGCAAGATCAGCACGAGGAAAGACTGGATGGAGGCTTCCATGCAGGAACTGGTGCAGACTTTCGAGCGATTGGCGGTGTACTGTGGGAAGAACGACGTGAAAATAGCCGATGAGAGACTGGACGCTTTGGTGGATGCTATAGTTAAGCAGTGCTTCAACTTCACAGACGAGGAAATTCTCAAAGCCCTCCAGATGCTGACTCACTTCCCGCCCTCTGAGAGTCTCAATACGCGGAATTTCGTGGAGCTGTGGTCAGCGTTGGATGATGCGTGTGTGGATAGGATCGCGAGGTGGCAGACGGAGGAATTGCTGCTCGTGTGCGATCACTGGTACGCCCTGAACCTGGCCAAAGTGTCCAAGTGCACGTTTCAGTGCACGAAGAAGCTGGGCAAGAAGCTGAAGAGTCTCTCGCCCACGGATTTAGTGCAGACGATGTTCTACGTGAACATGTGTCGGAAGCCGATGGTGGACATGTTCAATTTCGAGGTGAATCTGTTCGAGTCCATCGACCAGTTGTCTGTGGATGAGATCGCCGTGATGAGCATGGGCTTCTTCAAGACGGAGACGAGGATCAGGAATCCGGAACTGATTGAGAAGATCTTTGAACGCGTGATCGCGGACATCAAAACCCTACAGGACATCAGTCTCGTGAACATCATGAAGATTCTGAGGTATTCAGCTAAGCTGCAGCATATTTCGAGCTTGGAGAACTTCTTCAAGGCTGTCACGCCTGAGATTCATCGTCTGTCACTGCTCAGTTGTCTCCATGTGGCACTCTTTGGCACGGATATGCAATACTATAATCAGGATTGCCTTGAGAATATCATCCAGAAATTCTCTGGTGATATTAAGACGTGCCGACTGAAGGAGTTCGAGCGATTGTCCTTCGTGATGGGCTTGTACTGCTTCTCGATGAAGAACGGCAGCCACACGAAGCTCTGTGAGGGCATCCTGGCCGACTTGCCTAATCGCATCACGGAAATCATGAAGTACCCGCGATGCTTTCCCGCCTGCCTCCACTTCCTCACGCTCTGCGGTCACCACAATGCAGAACTGATCAGCACCGTTCTGGACCCGAAGTTCTACGAGATGGCCTATGGGAAGAACCACGCAGCGAGTCGGGAAATACTCTGCTTGGACTCCTATGCGAGGATCAACCTGAAGGACACCTACAAAGGTCACCTGTTGCCGGACAAGCTGAGAGCGTTGCTCTCGAAGATCCACACCAACTACATCCCGGCCAAGGAGCAGCGCTACAAACTCTCAGCGGCGGACACGATACTTCTGGAGATTAAGGAAGTCTGCGATCAGGTGTATGGGCAGGAATCGTCGCAAATCTGCCACGCATTGTCGCAGTACGAGCGTCCGGACATTGTGATGGTGTTAAACAAGAAGACCAAGGAAGCCGTGTCACTGAAGGACTCACTTTCGGAAGATTACACTGGTCAAATTCTCTCCCGGGAGTTCCTACTGAAAGATCGTCCAGACAGAGAGGACTTGGAGATCTTCTCGATAGTCGTTGGCGGATGGAATATTCTCGTGAGGAACAACAACAGCCTCACTGGACAGCTTAGGCTGAAGTTAGAGCAATTGCGACTAATTGGACTCCATCCTGTGATGGTAAACATTGTGTTTTCCTTAAATCCTTAAATTGTATTTTAATCCAATTCCATCCCTTTTCAGATTCCCTGGTATACTTGGCGGAAACTGGCGACGCCAGATGATCGCACGGTGTATTTGAAGAGCCTCCTGAAGAGTCAACAGTAGTCAATGTCCAGCACAGAGTCCTGTAGATTAATAAATCGTTTCTCTAGAACAGCTCCGTCATCAGCTTCTTGGAATACTCGTAGACGAGGAAGAGCACCGCTGTGGCGGGAATCGTGCGGATGACGGACGGCAGCAATCCGTTGTACAGTGCCAAAAGTCCCTCCGTGCGATAGATCTGCAGGCCAACTTGCGTCATGCTTGTCCTCAGGCTCGCCACCTGAATGCGGCTCTTGATCACGTCCGCCGGGAAGATCACTGTCCACAGCACAACCCCGCCAAACGCGCCCGCTGCCATGGTTCTCAGTGGCCCAATATCGTCCTTAGACTGGCCGGGCTTCGTCATGAGCTGCCGCGCGCCCTCGTAGCCGCCGAAGAAGAAGAAGTAGCCGGGCATTTCGCGGGCAAAGGTGGACGTGAGACCCCGAAACAGGCCAGGGATCCCTGAAATTGCGTATCAGCTGATCAATTTGATGTGGCAAATTTACCATCATTATTCCGCGCGTTGTTCTTTATCTAATCTAGCAAATGATTACATTATGATCAGAGAGATTTGTGGCACTAAAGCTTCCTATGGACAATAAAGGCGTATTCATCGCCCAAGAATTCGCTTAAATTGAGAATGATTAGGATTAAATTTAGTCCAATCCAGATAATAAGCCTAAAATATTAACTACGCCAAGTGGAAATTATGTTGTGAATTTTAGTGTGTCAATGGATTAGAAATATTTACTTGTAATATAAAGTCTTGTCTAGGGAAATGTTTTGAGATATCTTCCCCTTGGAGGAAGCAAAAATCAGTCAAATTCGTCAAATTCTTAAGTATTTCCCCTTATCTCACCTTCTTTCCTGAGAATATCACGTGTGAGCCTATAAGGCGATATGTGAGATAACTTGGCGTCCGGCTGCGTAGTCTTCTGCTGATTCTGGAAGGAAAATAAGATGTTTTCAATAGCGGGAATCATCAGTGAAACGCGCGCGCGCTCGCTTATCAACCGTGAAGGTCGAGCCTCCGCTTGATAGCTCAAATCGCGACTTACATGCATCTCCCGCAGTGCCTGGAGTTTGCACTTGACCAGCTCGGTGGGACAGAGGGTGAAGGAGGAGAAGAAGGCGGCAAGGAAGCCGGCGGTGGCGTTTCTGGAATGCACAGAGAGAGAGAGAGATCAGCGACTTGACTTTGAGTAGCGCGAGGAAGAGTGACGATCAATTACCCAATCAGTGATAAGTCCTTGATGTTGTCTTTCTTCTCCACCACGGCCACGAGCTTCTGGCAGGCGCCGTAGCCGGCAAATAATACTGAGTTCTCCGCCACATTGGCCACCACGGCCGGAATGGAGCCGGCGTAGAGGCCGCGCCAGATCCCGTCCTTGCGGAATGTCTCGATCAGGCAGTGGATCATGCCGCGATAGAAGGTGGGAAAGGTCTGCATCTTCACCTTGCACGTGTCCAGAGGCTGGCTCACGTACACCAAAGCCACTCCGCCTGCAAAGAAGTCCGCAATCAGTCACGATCTCACTGCGTCACTCGCTCACCTGCTCACCCAGCGATCCCGCCGTGAAGTCAATCACACCCGTCTTGAGGCCGCCCGATTCCGTCGATCCGCGCATTTTCGTCCGCTCACTGAGACTGTCTCTGAGAGAATTTCATAAATGCCAGTGGCGTTGAGTCACACGATCGCGATCACTTCGCTGGCAGAACTGAGCAGGCGAGACTTTTTTTGCCCCACTCGAGAGATCAATTCACACCCGAGTAGCGCTTATCGTCTTGTGCGATACGACGTGGAACGCCGCACTGATAAGCCCGCACTCAACTCGATCCTCATGTGCTCGGCCGACAGCTACAAACTGACGCTCTCTGCCATGTGCGCGACTTTACGAGCAACTGGTTTGGCCCAGTTTGTACATAATCTTGTACATAATGGATTCATGGAAAAGAGGGGTGATCGCAAGATGTTTGCATAATCACAGGGAATTACCAGGAGCTTCAGATTTTTAGTGTTTAAAGACAGGCAATATTTCATCAATATTTATTTGGTGAAATCAATACAAATCTTAAATAAAATAAAACCATGCATTTCGCTTGCGATAAATAGGTTAAGAGATTCGCTGAATACAGAGATTAAATTAAAATCACACAAAAAACGAAGCGAAATGCAAATTATCTTGTGTGTACGTATATATTTTAAGATTATTCTTTATTTAGAAAATATTGTGGAAAAGGAAAGCATGTGAATACAAATTAATGTGTTGAAACATTTTAAAGTGCTATTTTAACATGAGCAATTACGGCTCTCGATTGGTTCTCCCACGCAAAGGATCCTGTCTTTTCTGTCGGCGAAGGAGCCATCGTTATATTGGCAGTATCTGGAGCGATACTGTAAGGATAAATGGCAATTACATCTTGTCCACCTGGACCAAGCTGACCATTTTACGAACACCGCTTTCATTACCATGAACGTCTTCTCAGTGGATCCGGCATCATTCTCCAACAAGCAAGAATACACTCCTATATCGTCCTTCGTGTCCGTATTTAAAATTGTTAGTTTGTATCCATCTTCGGAAGCTACGAATTTGCTTTCGTCTGGTTTTAGGATTTCTCCACTTCTGAACCAAGTAATTATATTGTCAGAATCCGGCGATTTCACTGAGCAATCCAATGAAAAGTCCTGTTTGGATTTTACTCGTATTTTCACTGAATTGGGATTGATCAGTTTCGGGACTTGAAGTGTATCGATCATGAAAACTTTCTCCAAAACTCCACGAGTGTTATTCGCCACGCAAGTATACATCGTTGGTCCATTAGCGGCTAGAATTGTTAGGCGTTCTCCATTTGCGAACCTAACTTTGAATTTCCTGGACACAATATCGGATGGATCTTCGTAAAACCAAGTGATATCTGGTTTTGGCTTTCCAGTGACTGGACACTCAAGATTGATTATGTTTTTCGACAGTGTTTTAATCCTTTCCACGTATCTATTACGTTTGGAGTCAAAATTGATATCATCAGTCCCGACTGTGAACGAAGGAGCCTCTTCAAGATTTAGAGCAAATCTCAGACTTACATTTCCATAATCATTTTCAGCAATACACTCATATTCCCCTTCATCAAATTCCTTGACAGATGGAATTGTCAGAGAATTGATATTTTCTTCTCTATCTGAAATGAAAATTCCATTCTTAATCCACTTGATTGTAGGATCTGGCACTCCTTTCACTGGACAATTGATTTCCAAGGTTTCTCCTGCGAGAAGTTTAATTGCTGAATCATTCTTGTGTTTCAGAAGTTCCTGCATCAATTGCGGAGGCTGAGCACTTGTCACATGAAAAGTAACTTTTGCAGATCCTTCAGTATTTGTTCCTACACAGCTATATTTTCTAAGAGGCTTTTCCTTATCATGCTTGATTCTATGTACATCACCAGATACTCCCGGAATCACTTTGTCTTCTTGCATCCATTCAATTGAAGGCTCAGGTTTGCCTGCCATTTTACAATTGAGTTCAACACTGGTATTTGGAGCCATTTCGATTGATTGTTCGAGACTCTCGCCTAAGTATTGTGGTTTTGTGACATCTGATGTCTCCAGAGCCGTTGGAAGGAACCTAGAAAATGCATAGCCACTGGAATCCACGCCCTTAATTTCGATTTTAAACGCTCCTGGCGGTGGACTGAATGCCACACAAGAGATCATTTTAGATTTATCGATAAGCTCCATGTTTAGAATTAATTCAAACTCATTTTTGGGGTCATCCTTGAAGAAGCGCACAACTGTGAATTTTTCAATGGCGGCAGGATCTGAAGGAGCGACACAGAACTTATTAGTGTAGCCACGAAAGGGACGCGGAGAAGCTTCGTCAATGTTCGCGGGAGTGTGAAGGGAGAATCCGAAGTCGAACTTCAGGTCGCTCACGCCCGCAATCTTGACCGAGTGCCCAGAAGTCGATGAAGCATCCACCACCCATCGTCCTGGCTCAGGGTCTTTCACTTTCACCGTCTTGACTCGTGGTAAATCAATTACTGTTTTGGCCTTCTCGGATATCTCGTCCTCGGGATTGCGAACTGTAATGTTAGGATCTGATCCTGACACACTAACGCTAAAATCCTTTACGCTCTTATCCACATCCACACCAAATTCGTGAGCTCCAGCGCCCTCAAAGTAAGCTACTTTCAATGTTTGCAGGCCTTCATCCAGTGTGTCTCCAATGTGTTCCAGGATCTGCGACACATACATATTTTCTCATAATATATTACAAAAAATAAACTCAAATAAAACAACTTACAGTGTTAGTGTCCCTCGACTTGATTTTATAAACCTGTCCATTGCTCTTCTTTGCTATGCTGTAATATGTTTTGAATGTCGAATCGCATCCTTCAGCAGCAATAAAGGTAATCTGAAAATAGAAAGTGAAATTATTTCTGCATACAAAAATTAATAAAATATTGTAAATTCTGTACCGAAATCCTCTTCTTTTGAATGAGTGTGAGAACATCAGGAACCAAATGAGAATCCTTTTCATCAGCATCCGTGAAGACGTAGACAAATGAGTCTGGTAAACACTCCGTGAGAGCCATTTTAATCCCTGAAATGCTCATTTCGGGACAATCGCCTCCTCCATCCACTGTCACGCCATCCAATTTCCTCAGAAGTTCTTGTGGATTTCTAGTCACAAATATTGGGCCAAAATCTGCATGTGGAAATGTTAAAAGCATATAAATAACTTCACTTCTTGCTTTAATTCAAGTAAATATGTGTCTTCTTACGAGGATCATTGAATGGCACGAAAATGTAGTTGTAAATCGGATTCTTCTCTTCCGTCATCATCTTGCGAACGATGAAAGCTGCGCCTTTTCGCAATTCCTCGAGATCATCATGCATGGATCCTGTTGTGTCGAAGATGATCACCAAACTTGCTTGCCCAGGTTTTGGAGCTGGAATACTCGCGCTGATTTGCAGTGAGTGCAAAGCGATTGTGCCACAAATTAAGAGAAACTCAACGAAACTCATCTTTACTCTCAGGCTTTCATTCAACGACTGAAGTATCTCGCAGAAATACGCTGGAATTCTAGAAGGAAGTTATCAATTCGGGGCTTCACATAATGTTTACAGTAGCGGCAAAAAACTGAATCATGCAAACCACGCATTCCTTATCATTATGAAATTATATATTGGCTTCAGGAAAGCAAAAGTGCAATCGCAGAAATTCATTTCTATCTATCTCTCAAAAAATCACTTCTCGTGAGAGTGAATCATTACAGGGATGAACTTAGATGAATCACCTTATTATTTGATAAAGCAGACGCCTTTTCCACTCCATCAGCTTATTATGGTGAAAAATGAAGCAAGTCAAGTGTTTTAATTTATATTTATTTCACATTAAAATAAGAGATTTTTATAATTTTTTTTTACTTCTTTGGTCACGGTCAGAAAAATTGTTACGTTTCTCAAATGTACGGAATGTTCTTGTCAATTTTACACCTTTATTTGCTAATAATGTTTCTCATTCACGTTGAATAGAATGGAAAGTAAGACTTGTGCCTCTTTACGGAATTGTGTGATAAGACATTCTTTGTACTAACTAAAAAGACAAAACACTGTTCTCTGCCTATTTGCTCACGGGAAGGACTCATGAGGGGACGTCTATCGGCTATGGTAAAGGAATAGGATTTTATGGAGGATTCTTTTGGTCATTTATCATTCCATATACTCATTTTTTTATCATGTCTGTAAATTTTGGCACATACAATACAAAAATTTTCCAATAAACACTATTCAGTTATGTGTGTAAATATATCGTTAATTTTTTTGTTGTTTATAATGATTATAAAATTAATTAATGAACATGAAGTATTTACATTTTGAATATTTCCCACCAAGATTTTTGTTTTCACTGTTAAATTTATTAAGAAATTTTTATTCCTTTTATATTTATTAAATCCATCGAAAAACCTACAATTTTTTAATACCATTCCTTGATAAGAGATTAAAGGGACTAGAATTGAATTTACGGAAATTATGAAATATATGCAAATTCACGGAGACGATATAAAGGAATGTCTTTTAAATATTACTCCTAGCTTAACAGAAACAACGGCCAATCAACATTGATCATGTTCAGGGGAGAGAGATTACTTCCGGGTGCAACCGGACGTGCTGCTTAGTAGTAAGCCGGGAAGGGATGGTAGTTGGAGGGCGGCTGGTTGGGCGATGTTCCAGCCAGATTCTGCCGCACGAGGTGATGGTAGTTGTTGGAAGTGACTTGATATGCGCCAAAGTCCCGCGACGGCACCATGTGGCGATTCACCGAGGACGAGTCCGCCAGGATGCGGGACGTCTGATCGAGTAGGCGATTGTTCTCCGACGACAGGAGCCGATTGTTGGGTTCCATGAGCAAGTGAGTGGCCGGATCGACGATGAGACGATGGTTGGACGCTAGGCTCGCGGGATTCGACAGCTGTTCCGCCGCGGCGGCCGTGTTGGACGCCAGGAGTCGATGTTGCTCCGCCGTGGACAGCAGCCGATGGTGCTCAACAGCCGACAAACTATCGCGACTGTTCTGAATCTGCGATGGCAGGAAGGAGCGCCCATGATGGGCGTTATTGCCCACAATCATGCCTGACGAGCCGTTAGAGTTGAGCTCCAGCGAAACCATCCTCAGCATGTCCGAGTGCGGATGCGAGTAGGGCAGCGCCGGCGGAGACGTGACAACATAGCTAGTTGTGCGACTCAAGTCAACAGACGTGGTCTGGTCCGACTCGGCTTCGGCTCCTGCCATCTGATCCTGCAGCATCATTTGCTGCTGCAGTTGCAACTGATGGTGATCTGACTGCTGTTGCTGCTCCCGCTCAGACAGGATGTCGTAGATGTGATGATGGTAGCGGTTGAGACTGAGATTAGCACCGGCTGATGAGATCTGGAAGTTGTGATGAGAATACCCAGACAATCCAGGCCTCGAGGACATGTCCAATCCCTGGATCTCGGACATAGACTCACTGCCACTGTTTGCTCCTGCGCCACGGAAGTCAGACACATCCAGTGCCGACTCATTGGTATTGTACTTCATACGGAGATCTGTAAGATCCTGTCCAGCATTCACCTGCTGTTCATACTTGGCATAGAGCAGATCCATCGAGGGATTCATCTTCATTTTAAGATCCTCGTTGTTGTTGTTGTTCACACTCAAATTCTGCGCAATGACAATGCTGTCCTCGTCACTTGACAATTGTCCTCCACTCCCCAGATGCGCATTGTCCCTCCTGTCCATGCTCTGGCTCTCAATCAGGCTAGCAGAGGGATCGTGTTCCCGCTTCCTGCACATGTCCTCTGTGAAACCATATCTGGGAATGGGTGGTGAACCTGTCGGAGACATCATAGCGTTCTGATCGGTTTGGTAATTCCTCCTGGACAGCGCCTGAGGTGAGGGCACATGGTTGTTGTTGCTGGCGGCAGCATACATTGCGGCAGTTGTCCGATAATCCTGCCCTGGTGATATGTCTCGCGGAGAAGGTGTTGACGCCTGGTGATAGTTCCGGAAGCCATTAGACTCCGTCCTATCCATGGTTCGCGGTGTGGAAGCTGTGTCCACATCAATATCGTTGTCGTGCATCAGATCAGCTGCGCTGTTGGCCACGCTCGGCGATCCTGCCATAATGATCTGATTCGTTCCAGATGTCGATGGGGCAGAGAATTGCTGCATGCTCGACATCTGGAAGTTGTTTAAGCTCTTCATCAGCTTCACTTCGTTGTCTAGAGGGCTCATGTTGTTGTGATGGTGGTAGGCAGAGTCCGCCAGAGCCAAGGCTCCTCCGCTCTCATTCCCACCATCTATGGAGTGATGCTCATTGGGGATGGAATCAATATCCACATCCATGTGACTGTTCAGCTCGTGATCATCCTCCAGCCGCGAATTTCCGCCGGCATTGGGATTCTTGGCCAGCTCACAGCTCTCCCGGTCCCCAGAATCTATGATGTTGCTGACAGAGTTCAGAGCTGCCTCCACTAGCAAGCTTGCAGAAGTGGAGTTGCCAGTTGTTGATGTTGATCTCACAACAGTTACAGCATTCCCTTGGCCAGTTGCCGTTGCAGCAGCATTGCTCTGGCCACCACCGTTGTAGAAGGAACTCATAAACGGTTGATGATGAATATGCGGAGTCAATGGCAGACTCGGTAAGTGCATCTGCTGCAAATCGTACTGAGAAGCATTCTGTGGATGGTTGTCCACAACGTCTAGAATCGTGGAACTGTCCTCATCATCTCCTGTCGCTGTGCTGTTGACATTAGTCCCATTCATCATCAGTCGCGTGATAAAATCACGATTCACGGACATCAATGTGCCGTCATTCGACTGATTCTGATGTTCATTGATCCACTTCTTACTGCCCTTGCTCGGGATCAAATTTGCATTCATCGGAGTCGCAAAGTCCTTATGTCTTGACGGGGCACTGAAAGTGCTCTGTCTGTCTTCGTCCTCTTGCTGCTGTTGCTGCTCTTCGAGCTGCGATTGCATGGCTTGTAGTGGATTGGATTGCTCCCCAGCGGAGCTTGAGAGGAAGGACTCAACCAAATTCAGCTGGGCATTGTGCTGGTTATCCTGAGAATCATCCCTAAAAACACAATTGATTAATCTCAATGTCCCAACATCCCAGCAATTTGCAACTTACATGGAGTCTCTGGACTTGTTGTCTCCTTCCGCCAATTTGGCTTTGAGATCACTGATGCTATCGATGTGGCCTTCATCACTCTTGTGCAGATCCTCAGGATTGAAATTATCTGTAGAAATGCTGTTGCGTCGTCTGAATTTCACCTGATTAAGCTCATGATTTAGCAGGGAAGATATCTTCGATGACAAAAGAGACAAATTCGTATCGTTCTTGCATAGATCAGTGATTGAAGTCTTGTGAGTAGATCCACCGGAGTTCAGGAGATCATCGTCGACAACTCGACGATTGTACTTCCTTTTCTCTGAGAAGGTGCCTCCCAGTGAATTTCCTTGATCTTCCAGGCTTTTCCTTCGCCTTCTCGGCGTTTGCTCTGCTGCATCGCGAGAAAGGCTCAAAGTCAATATGAATAAACTAATAATATTAATTAGTCGTCTTACCCATGAAATCAACTTTCATTCCTCCGGAATAAGCATCAAAAGTGTAGGCGATACTCCTTTCGATCTTCGGCATCTGCTCCTGTGAGTATCCATGCACTTTCTTGTAGTGAAATTGAAGGCATTGTTTCGTTGTGAATGCTGCATTGCATTCGTTCTCAGAACACCTGCGAAAGATAACTTCTTAGTTCTAGTCTTTCAATGTAAAATATTTTGATTTCTTACTTGAATGGACGAACTCCAGAGTGTGTCAACATGTGAATCTTTAAGTTGCTTCTATTCTGGAAGAGTTTCTGGCATCGTGGGCAACTCACAACTGCTGAATTTCGACTGTGCACCTCCTTGGAGTGTCTCTGTAGTGCTGCTCTTGATCCCAGGAGCTTCGAGCAGAGCTTACATTGGAAATCCCTCAGAACGTCTGCCATGTCTGGAAGAACAATGGGATTAGATTGGTAAAATTGATAGAACATTTATGGTAAAGTTCACTGTATCTTACCGCTGTGCATCCTCTTAATGTGAACTTTCAATTTCTGAGGCTGGCAGAATTTTCTACCGCAGAAATCGCACAGAGGACGAGCTCTTTGCGGATTCGCACTGCATCCGTAAGTCCGATGCATTTCCAAGTAGTTCAGTCGCAGGAAGAACTGTAATCGGAAGTGGTTAAGAAGTGTAAGAACAGGCGATAAGTTGAGGAAATACCTTCTTGCAGAACTGGCACTGGTATGCGCCTTTGCCATCGTGCATCTGGGCAGCGTGCTTCATGATGTTCTCCTTACCCAGCACTGCTATACTGCACACCTTGCAGTGATACTTCCTGATGGTCAGGCTGAAGGATGGATCGTGAAACACTGAACAGTGGGTTCGGTAGTAGAGAGGATGATCGAATTTCAAGTTGCATCCGCCACAGTCTGAAAAAGATATAATAAATCACGAACTTTTTGCCTTGTAATGACAAACCTCTCATGTTAATATTAATTATTTGCATATTTCATGATTACAATGCCTAAAATTATTGACGAGCTTTTCCTGGAATTGGCTCAGTTGGAAAAATTTTAATTGTATTTTGCCACTTACTCATTTTCTCAATTTTCTTCCTCCCCCACGCCGAGTTGATGTTGTCACTCCAGTAGAGCAATTCACAACCTTCGGGAATGTCCAGGCATGTGACGAAGAAGACAGTCTTCTCCACACAAACCAGAGACAGGTTTCTAGCATCTCGCGTGGCGGCCGGTCTTATGTAGCGCATCCAATTGGAGTCATTCTTATTCTCCAGCGAGATGAACTCGGATTTCCCGTCCTCGAACGTCTCAATTATGTACTGCATCTGGTTGTCGTCACTAATGTCCGTTGCTGGGATCACCTTCCCCACCAGAGGACCGAACTTCGTGTGTCTGGGAATGGAATTCTTCGTGAAAACACTCTGCATGTCGTTGACGGTGCGAAATTCAAATTGCGGCGGAAGAGATGCATCAGCAAAGGTCGGAAGATTCTCCTGAATGACTGAGATGTGCGATTGCGGAAGAACGTCATCCATAAGACTACTGCCCGAGTTGCTTTCTCCAGCATCCTCATCTTCCACTATCTCCTCTCGTTCTTCCATCTTAATCACGAGCACGTGCTGCTTCGCGTACTCCTCGGCCACTTCCTGGTTCTGCTCCAGCCACACTGTCCGGGCAATGGAGTCTGGGATTCGCAGATCGGCATTCCTGATGGGACAATCTTCGGGGCCGTGCTCAGTGTCACACAGGCAGCAAATGGAGCTCCGTGTGAGAGCCGCGACCTCGTCATATGGTTCGGGTTCCTCGTCATCACTCTGTGGGAATTGTGGTTCCAGATCAGCGCCACTCTCCTCGTCGTTGTTGAGATCTAGAGCTCCAGGAAGAGGCAGATGTCTACCATCCAGAGGTGCCTTGCGGACATCATGTTTCAGCATTTTCGGACGCCCGCGTGGCTTCTTGAGTTCCATGTTATCGAGAAATTTCACGGATTTCTTCTTAGACACCTTGAGGGAAACTGGCGGAAGTGAGGTGGAGGAAGTGGAGTCCACGAGATCCCTGCGCTTTATAGCAGTCAGACAGAGAGCCTCTCCGGGATCTTCTGGCAAATCCAGAGGAGGATCGTCATCGTCATCTTCCTCCTCCTCATCATCGAAGTCACTTCCTTGATCTTTCGTGTCAGCGGGATCAGTGACAAACGGCAACTTGGCTAGTGACATTTCCTTCTCCTTAGTCTTCATCTCGCAAAGCTCTGTCTTGATTTTCTCCGCTATGCGACAATCCAAAACCTCGGAAGTGCTATCTTCCAGTGGGTTCCGGAAGTCCGATAGCGGATCCTTGCTGTGAATTCCACTGAAGGCTGGCAGAGGTTCGCAGTTCCTGATGATACCATTGAGATTGTCCTGGAACTGGACCTTCTTCACTTTCTTCTGCGGAATGGCAGCGACTGCAGCACTGTAGAGACTCTCTGAGCTCTCGCTGACGCCCTTCACTTTGTCACTGGAGGACGTCTGGCTCTGGTCCAGCAGACCAGCGAAGCTACTCTTGATACTGTTGTGGCGTCTGAAAGCAATTGCGAGCAATTAACATACAGGAAAGTGCGTGGGTTGGAAAAGGTTTTTGCATTCACGGTCCGGAGGGTTTTGGCTCCGATTGGAACAGTGCAGGGCTCAATTTGAGTACCTGCCGTGGACAGGAGTGGGGGAAGAGTACACAAAAACGAACTGGGGGTTGGGGTATGGTCAAGTTTTCTCCATATTTTCGCCGAGAGGTGAAAAAGCGCAGATGAAAACTCACCCGTTGCCATTGGCCAGGTCATTCTCGGCTAATTTGAGCAGATACGTGACGAATTCCACATCATTCTTGAATGCCAATGTGGTACGAAAGGTGTCCCAGCGCTCTGCATTTCTCGTTCCAATGTAGATGTTCTTGCTGAAATTCTGATGGCGAAACTTTTTGCTGTTCACAGCGAGCGGTCGACCGTGAGGAGTGGTGTTGGGCTGCTGGTTCTCGTTGCTGAACTCAAACTCGGACGAAGACTCATGTGACTTGGGCATCGCACATAATTCAGATCAGAGCAAATTCCACCAAATAATGCCCACCTCAGCACATCAAAAACCCGACACAGCGCCACAAGATGCGGAAGTGCTGAGTCTCGCGACAATTTTTGGCCACTTTGGAGGTCTCTAGTTCACTTTTCTGCACCTTTTTCCAATCACACCATTCGCACTTGACTCTTTTCTTTGGCGTGAAGAGAAAACTTTTCCTCTCTGGCGATAATGTGGTGTTCGGGAAAAGTTTCTGTATTTACGTAAAAGTTGCTGTCATCCACTGGCTCCAGAGAGAGAGACACACACATAGACAGGCTGCGCCCGCACCCCGACCACCCTCCTCGCAACACCCCGACGGCAGAATTGCGAGATTTTCCATCCCGCTTCTCCCAGCTCAGCGTCCCTTCGTCCTTTTTCACGCATGCATTTATTGATATTTTACCCTCGGCCCACGCCCGCCCGCTGTCCAGCACCCCCTCAGGACCCGACCACCTCACGAGGGCTGTGCTGGAAAATGGCGCGGATGCGCAACGCATATTTCCCTCGGCTTTTCCACCCTGCACACAAGCATCCAGCTCGAGTGGTGAGTTCGCGGAGACACTTTCCACACTCGCGCCACTCTCTAGCCTGCAACACTTTTCACCACGCATTCTCTCTCTCGAATCCTTGCTCTCGGATATCCTGTGGTATTGAGGAAGAACCAGGAAAGGCAGATTGATCCTACATTCCAACATGCAACCTATAAATATTACTCAGATCATCAATGCTGTCCAAAATAGAGAATCGCTCATGTGTATTACTTAAACGTTCCGCGATTTGAAAATTTTCAAGCAAAATCGTCACTGAGAAAGCAACCTATTTTCCTAAAAACCAGAAGAATATTTTACGTAAGACTTTATATGAAGAAATGAGCTCAAAACACAAAAAAAACTTATTGATATCGCAGAATGATCCATTAATTCCTTGTAAGAATCTGTTCCGCTTATCAATCCTTTGCTACTTACTTAAAAGAAATTCACGTATACGTAAGAGCAATTTTCCAATCGGCATTCAGAAATTTACTTAAAGTATTCCATTTAACATTTAAATTGTTATTTAGCTTCAATAAAGAATATAAATGCATTTTGCAACATTCAATTCAATTTTCCATCTGAATTTGTATATTTTGAAATATTTTTTTACATTTCGTTAGTTGCGACTTAAATTTATGAATAAAAATAATTGTAGTGAGGAATTAGACACCCTGTATATTGTGGGGAAAATCATGCATTTCCATACACTTTCTAACCGAAATCTACCACTTTTGCCCCTGTCTAAACTAATGGGAATCCACCTTGAATGAGGCTTGGCGATGAATGGCGCAAACATCCCGAGAAGACATCTTCAAATCCCACTTATGTCGCCACTGTGGCCGCTTTGGGATTGTGGGTGGGTCGTAAGGTGCGAGGCAGCATGTCGGTGCTCAACCCTTGGCCAGGAAGGTTCGTGAGGGCGCCCGAGTGTGACACATCCGCTTTTTTGTCGGGTGGTGTATTCTGAGGAAAGTGAATTCGCAGTTCACCACCCTCTCTCTCTCTCTCTCTCTCTCTCTGGCGCTCTCTGGGAGAGCGGTCTGAGAGTGGCAGGAACTTGGCAGCGCGAGTCACAGGCAGATTGTGGTGGAAGACACACGAAGGAGGGTATATTGTCACGCAGTGTTAGTGAAAAGGAAGTCCTCCTTTGCCCTGAGATTCACTCATTTGCGCGAAAAGTCCACCTTTTCGTGGCTGTTGCAACCGCTGGTCGGGCAATCGGGCAAGTTTGGGCTCCAGTGCAGCTGGTGGCATTGGTCTGAAGATCTGTACTAGTGACCAGAGAGTGCAGTGATGTGAAAATAGTGTACGTGCTGCTGAAAAATCGAACAAGCACGTCCATTAAGTGTGAAAATTCACCTCAGCCGCGACCAGAGGATATGGACTCACCCTCAGGACGGGCCATTCAGTGTCTGTGACTGAGACCCTGCCAGGGTCCTCTTGTGCCCAAGTGGGGGCGCCAAGAATAAAGAGACTCACAAGTATGTGAAATAAGTTCAATTATCGATTTTTCTCCAACTGTAGGATGTGAATAGTTTAATTTTGACTCTCGTGCTTCTGTCTTTCTCTCTCTCACCCTTGCGAGTGGCTCGGAAAATCCCTCTGAAGCCCTCCTTCTGGTCTCGGCTTTAAATTCGTCATCCAGCCCGCCCTTTCTCGCACCCTCCGCGCATTTACATGCTCCCCTATATGTTGGTGACTCACTTGCACCTTACATGGGAATTTTCTCGACATTCCCAACCCTCGCTCACCCGCCCCGAACCTATCCACACGATATCTCTCTATTCATCCAAACACACTTTCCTCGATGCTCACCATCGCGTCTCCAATTTCAGGGTGTCTTCCTCCGAACCCCCGATCAAGAATCCCCAATGCAACACTCAGATTATGTACTTTGAACTCAGGATATGAAATTTCATTATTATTTTTCAGCTAAAAATAAAGACTTTAGTTTTTCTGAATTACAATTTTTTTCAAAAAGCATTTCGCACAAATGTTTTAATATGATTATTTTATTTTATTTAAACCATACGGACATTAGAAATTTGAAATTCTCTAAAATTTTGAACTTTGTTTCTAAAGTCTAATCTTTTGATGCACTTCAACAAATTACTCTGAAAAGTGTGACAAGCAAGGGCAGTCCTATTTGGCATTTGGCCATTTGATCCCTCAGCATGTGAGCCAGAGAGATCTCCAGTCTTAATCTTAATCCCCGAAACTGTTGCCGGCTTAAGCGCTGGTGCAAGAGTTCAATCCGGCCGTAGGAAGAGGGGCCCAAATGGGGGTCGAGGGTGAAGAGACATCCAATAGAGTAACAGAAATATACACTCTGTGGGTTTCCACACCATCTCTCGCGTCGAGTCAATGTGTTTGTGCGCCGGGGAAGAAGAAAAATGTGAAGTGGAAGACACATAGAATAATAATTCCCTCCCCCGACGTCGGGGGTGCAAAAAGTATCCAAAGACGGAGAATATGTGCTGGCGGAGGAGCATAAAAATCGTTAGAGTAAATGTCTGTAAAATTTTCCTTTCGTTGCGGTGTGTGCAGGAGACGAAAATTTATGAGATTCAACTTTCTCCGGCTGTTCGTATCCAGCAGAAGGGTGAGGGGGTTGGGGGAGTGAGGCCGTTAAATTTAAATGCTTTTCATTATCTCCGAATGAATGGGAATTGCGCCCTGCCGTTATCACACGAAATGTGACAAATAATTCCGCTCTTCCGTCCTCCAGGCAGCATTCACCCGCCCCAGAGACATCTTCCAGCCCATTTGCAGCAATGGTGAGCACAACAATCAGCCTCGTTGACACCAAAACACCCACGACGGCGAGCCACGGTGGCAGGGCGCCGGCCGCCGAAACGACCGCTGGCGCCGCCGGAGGGGCCCTCCTGACCGAGCAGATCTCCATGCTCTTCCCCAAGTGTCGTCCGCGAAACGATGTCAATTTGAATCCGGTCAATCACGCCCCGGCGTCGCCGCCGTCTTCATCGCTCTCGTCCAACTCCTCGTCGGTTCGCATCCCCCTGGCCAAGTCCTCCTCCGTGGCGACCAACCCCTTCCTCAGCGCCACGCACGACGCCCCAGGACTGTCCGGACGACCCGACAGGTACGCCTCTGTCCGAGGGAATCTCAATGTAGTGGCTGCTTTATTGAGCTGTCGCCCTCTTTCTGCTCGTGACCTTTTCGAAATTGATATTGACGGGCTTATGGCTTTATCAATTTAAAAGCTTACGGGGCTTTGAAGGGATCGTGCTGAAGTAATATTACAATAGAGAGCTAAATTGCTTCAGAGTAAGGAGCCTCTCAGATGTGTTATGCTCGCCTCAGGAAAAATGCATGGTATATTTTATCAGTCAGAGGCATGGTAAATGTCTTCGGCATCCTGAAACTCCTGATAGGACAGGAAACACTAAAACCCCTGCTCTTTCATAGATTAAATAATATTCTTCTTAAATAAGGGATTTTACGCACATTTTATTGTAGTTTGACTCTTATCAAGGCCTCAAATGAAACCACACATTTGCTGAATTGACCAATTTATAATCTCAATCTGTGCAATTTATCATTTGCTGCTTAGAACAACATTTAGAAGTCTTATAGAATGAATTACATTTATTTCACTCCAATTTCAGTGTTCCAATTATTTTTAATCCCTCGGGGATCGTCACATAGATTTTTTTTCCATTTTCTCTTACAGATTCAGCAACTACTACTACGGTAGTAATAGTCAAGCTTCGGTGGAGTATGGCTCAAACTACTCACAGAACTCCACTGAGATGATGTCGAAGCACTTTCAGAAGCATCTCAACCACGTGCAACGCTCGGCGTCGTACCATCAGAACCCCTTTCTCAAGGATTCCGAGCTAGGGTTTTGGGATTTGAGGGCCAGGACGCCCAACACGACGCCCGTGAGCACGGTCTTGAACTCGCCAGAAGTGACGGATGCCGAGGGTGGACTCGGTGGTCTGGAGAGGCGGTCGCTGTCGCATCATGCGAAGCCGCAGCATCACATTCGTGTGGGCAGGAGTCCAGTGAGTCATGGCGAAGGGTATTCATTTGCGGAGTCAATAGGTGGCCAGGCAGCCTCTGCGGCAGCGTCCGGGCGGAGTGTGGCTGTGGTGACGGACGGCGAGGTGGTGGTGTTCGATGACATAGGGGACACTTGGCAGAGTAATTACCCACAATTCGATTTCGGGCGTGCAAAGGGCTGCTCACATTTGTCGTGGTTTTGCAGATTTGCGCATAACAACGGAATCGGAGATGCCGGAACACAAGACCATTCAGGAGGAGAACGATGAGGAGGAGGAGGACGATGACGAGGAGGAGACAGTGGATATTTTTGAGCACAGTCGCAGGGAGCAAATAAATCACAAGATGAGCAACCATTTGGAAGCCACCACCACGAGATATGTGTCGAGTGGAAAAAATGTCTCCGGCATTATTGGTAATTTGTCACGTTGGCGGCCCGAATTGCGTATCACGAGTGTGATGGACTATTTCTCACTTTCACAGAGTACGATGGCTCTCCGAGGCGATTTGGCCATTTAGCCACGTCAAGTGCCATCAATCAGTACTACGACGACGCGCCCATCGCCTCGGGCCAGAGCTACGGATCGACCAAGCTGAAACCGCGACCGGGTTTCCCTCAGAGAGTCATGCCGGCGCCCAAGGAAACCACCATGACCACACTTGAGCTATCTCAGAGCCTGGATCAGTCGCCCAGCGAGAATATAGAAGTGCAAACACACTCTGACTTCACCCTGACTGAGCCCAAGCTCTCCACCTTTGACTACCTGTATGAGTTCTCAGAGACCAGGAAAGTTCTCGAGGAGTTCTTCAAGTGTCCCATCGCTGAGGACGACAAAACACTGGAAAAGTTGAGCGATTTCAACGGAAGCGACGCCGACAGCACGGTAAGTGAGAATTTTGCATAAATAGCTATTCAATTTATGACGATAATTGGCGTTATCAGACTCTTTAATAGCTAAATGAATAGGCATGAAATATCGACTTTTCTCATTCCCTGTAAACTTTGTGCTCGCAGAGCATTATATAACTGTGCGGAAAAGAGGACAACAGAAAATCAGTCGATTGCAAATGACTTCCATTGCTTATTGCAGAGATTTTCCCATAAATTACACAATATTGTTTTCAACGAGTCACGGATATTGCCAGTAAATGAGGGACTGAAATTTTTATGGAAAACAGAGAATATTAAAAATTAGTTTATGAGACTGTCTACCATGACCGTTCTATGCTCAAATAGAATATATTACTTTGACTTCCTCTGAAATTTCAAACAAGATTTCAGACAAATTAATTTGTCATGGGCGAAAGTTTAGCATGACATACGCTCGGTATATAATTAAACTCGTAAACTTTCTCATATAAGCACATATCGTTTGAAACCAGAATTGTCTCATTCTGGCACTTCTTGCGTAAGTGTTAATACCATTTATTATATCTGGGGATGTTGACCTCAGTGGCAATTTTCAGAACAGTGGTAAATGTATGGAAACTTTGTGGTCTGCAAGACACCTTCAAACTCCAAAGTCCTCTAAATGTTTACAGAAACAATACCCAATCCTTATGGCAAAGTTCATGGAATGTTCTGCGCTATGCTTGAGGTTTAGAATTGGTTGGAGGAATTCCTAGAATTCTGTCTCAGGTAAATGGAACAGCTCGTCGAATTGTTTGTTTAAATTAAATCCACAGGGCGGTCCAATTGGGCCAGTGTAATTAATATTGCATAGTAACTGTGGGCAGTCATTAACTAATTTGCCAGAAAATAGTTCAGTGCAATTTCTGTGGCTGGCATTTTGACGAAAATAATATCATGTGGTAATAATATAGAGCCATATTCATTATTAAATAATTACAGTGTTTTGCAAGTGAATTATTAAGGCCCAAAGCTCTGCATGTTAAATCCCCATGAGTCCTGACAGGACTTTCTCGTTGTTGAATCCATGTTACTCCTGCCCCGAGAGCGTGAGGCAATTGAGGTCACTGGAAACTATATACTCTAAAGTTCATCCCCTTCGCTTTCCACCCACGATGGCCATGTTTTTCACTTCTCCGCAGAGGTCTTTTTTATAGCTAAATTAAATTCGATCACCTCCGGTGAGGGATGGTCCTGAGGAGTTGTAATTAAGTGGAGGTGCCTCCCGTTGTATTTCCCTGAACTTGCTCGCCGCATCTAAATGAAAACTTTCCCGGGCCGTCCCTAATGGTAATTTAAAGCGACTCTCCAGTCATGAATTTTAACTGTCGCAGGAGGACTACAATTACCATCAATTATTGAATCAATGTTGTAGAGTCATCCCATATTCCTTCCTGCCTTTCACACGGGCTCTCCACGTCCACTTAATTTCATTTGGCCATCGGGGGATAATTGTGCCTTGTGAGGGATGTTTTCAATCAATTTCATTTTCACCTCCACATCAACTAAGAAAACACACACAAGTTTTGATTCGAACATTGTGTTGTGGGAAATTGCAAAACATAGTTTCCTCACGAAATTCAACAGAGTGATTTATCTTCCGCAGGACATTCACTATGAGTTTCGTGGGAGTGGCAATCAGGAGTGCGAGAAGGACATTGAGCAGCACCCAACTTACGGCCTGGCCGAGGCGATGGTGAGCAAATCGCCCACGGAGAACATCACACCGACCAGCCCAGTTAAGCAGAACGGCTTTGCGAGCATCCCAGTGGAGGGCCATCGAGAAATCAATGAGTATGACGTGTATCTGGATTCGGCGAGTCGCAGCAGCGGCGAATTGGGTGACACAGAAATCAAGCCCAACTCCACGCCACAGAGGCACTCGCGCTGCTTCAGATACTCACCAGAAACCACAGACTATGACTCCAACTGTGGCGATCTCGACAGTCTCTCTGGGGACTTCAACAGCACGACCAATTATCCCGCGTTCGCGCGCCACTACACATCAATGCCAGTGCTTGAAGATGGATTGTCCAGTGGCCACGCTTCGGACACGGAAAACAACAATCCCACTATATCCGTCCTGATGGACAAGAAGGCCACAGAGACAGTGATTGAACCTCAGAGTCAGCTCAGGGCTCAGAGCATTATAGATAGTCCCATCAAGAGGTCCCCTATTATGCAGAAAATAGATGAATTCCTTCTGAACACCAACAATGCTGTGGGGAGTGAGCCAAAGATGCCGGAACCTGCAGGGATGCCAGTCCACAATCTTGGTACAAACACCATCTTTAAGAATACCGACCCAGAACTGGAGTCTCTGTATTCAATAAGTAAGATTCAACCAAAAATGCGCTGTCTCAAAACTCTTGTAAATTATTCTCGGCTATTTTCTAGATATGGTTCAGATGACTCCTCCACCTCCGGCTCCAGCTCCACATAGGAAGGCTTCAGTTGCTGGATTGGATGCGAACGTTCCGGATATTCAAGCTGCCTTAAAAGATATTCGCTCAACACTGAAGCGTACCAAAACCTTCCCGACGCAGCAAGACAACCATCTTTTATCTGAAAACGTTGCATCTCCACTCTCTACATCTCCCGTCTGGATTCCTAGGTGGGACTTCAGAAGCTATAAATGTATACAAATCAAGATCTAAACGTTCTTATTTCATTTCTGCAGCTATAGGTGTCGGGAAAACATCCCTGAGAGCACTGAGCTCGATGCATTGCATGAGAAGAGTGTGAGTGGGGAGGAAGAAGAGTTGGATACAGACCTGGAAACTGATAGGCTCCTTGGACACCAGAGAGTGGATGACCAAGGCTTCTATGATGAGAACAGCAAGTGGACTGAACGGAAGAATCGCTTCTCAGCATCGACTCTGTCCAAATTGTCCCCAAAAGTGCCCAAGAGCAATTCCACTTCGTTGCTTCGACAGGGTTTAAACTCTCTTCTTCCGTCCACTCCAGAAATCACATCCGCAGTATCCAATCTCAAGTCGCCCAACAACAATCTCGTGGATCTCGTGGGAGGAAATAGCAATCTGTCTCCTCAAAGCGGAGGAATCCAGAGTGTTTCATCACCCGAACACAATGACAACGGTGGCGGTGGAGATAAGCATCACGATTTGATAAATGAGAGTCCAAGCGGGTCGAATGCATCCACTAAGGATGGAGACAAGAAGAAGAAGAGCAAAAACAAGGAGGTCCTGATCGAGGGAGTTCTGTTCAGGGCCCGATATTTGGGATCCACTCAGCTGGTCTGCGAGGGTCAACCGACCAAATCAACAAGAATGATGCAAGCTGAAGAAGCGGTATCTAGGATTAAGGCAAGTAACAGAGAAACTTAAATCGCTAGATTGCTAAAGTATCGCTCTTCCCTGAAATGCTTTCCTGTAAAGGCTTTGGTAAGTTCTGATTCTTGGCCCAACAAGTTATCTTTTAGGTAAAATACTGATTTAATAACACATGCATTTAGGCACCAGACGGCGAGAATCAGCCCAGCACTGAAGTGGACCTGTTCATCTCGACGGAGAAGATCATGGTGCTGAACACGGACCTCAAGGAGATCATGATGGACCACGCGCTGCGCACGATCTCGTACATCGCGGACATCGGCGACCTGGTGGTGCTGATGGCGCGCCGGCGCTTCGTGCCGCAGGACGTGGACGACGGGCCGAAGCCCAACCGGACGCCCAAGATGATCTGCCACGTGTTCGAGAGCGACGAGGCGCAGTTCATCGCGCAGTCCATCGGCCAGGCCTTCCAGGTGGCCTACATGGAGTTCCTGAAGGCCAACGGCATCGAGGACCACAGCTTCGTGAAGGAGATGGACTACCAGGAGGTGCTCAACAGCCAGGAGATCTTCGGCGACGAGCTGGAGATCTTCGCCAAGAAGGAACTGCAGAAGGAGGTGGTGGTGCCGAAGGCCAAGGGCGAGATTCTGGGCGTGGTGATCGTGGAGTCCGGCTGGGGCTCCATGCTGCCCACCGTCGTCATCGCCAACCTGCTCTCCTCGGGCGCCGCGGCGCGCTGCGGACAGCTCAACATCGGCGACCAGATCATCGCCATCAACGGACTCAGCCTCGTCGGTTTGCCACTCTCCACGTGCCAGACGTATATCAAGAACACCAAAACGCAGACGGTGGTTAAGTTCACCGTCGTTCCTTGTCCTCCAGTCGTAGAGGTGAAGATCAAGCGACCAAATACCAAGTATCAGCTAGGATTTAGTGTTCAGAATGGAGTGGTGAGTATCCCATTGCCATTTAAAATTTAAATTAAAGGTGCATATCGAAAATCGTGCATTTTTCCTCTCTGCAGATCTGCTCATTGCTGAGAGGCGGAATCGCGGAGCGGGGCGGCGTCCGAGTGGGCCACAGGATAATCGAGATCAACAACCAGAGCGTCGTGGCGGTTCCTCACGAGAAGATCGTCAATCTGTTGGCCACTTCCGTTGGAGAGGTTCGCAGAAAATGTCCTTTTCCAGCTTTTCTTCGAGACTAACTTCGGATTCTCTTGCAGATCCTCATGAAGACAATGCCGACGTCGATGTTCAGACTGCTGACCGGACAGGAGAATCCCATTTATATTTAAGCTAGCATCAAGGAGATAATGAATCAAGCTTCAAGACAGTTAAGTTCTAAGGAAAATGTGTTTAGGAATTAATGAGAAGCAGCAGAGAGCCCTTATTTGAAGTTCCCGTCTGATTTGCCCGAGTAGTGAATTGATAAATCCAATCCATAGTGCACTGTTAAACTAACCTCGCAGGTTAATGGTTGATTTTCTCACCTACATAACATACATATAACGAGGGAAAGCTGAAGGAATTAAAGAAGGATAAAGTGATCTGGCCTTGCTGGGGTGTGTCTTATCAACTCGGTTAACTTAGCGATTGTATTCTAGTGGATGGAACTCATGGACAAAATCACACAGAATAGTTGAGAGATGAGATTATATTTAAGAAGAGGAAAATCTAAATAGAGAAAATATTTTATTGATGAGATTACCAACAGGTGAAGATATTTAATGGAAAGTTTATCACACAAACAGAGAGAAAAAAAATCACACCACACAATACACAAAACTCTAAATATTTCCCATAACAACATATCAGACGCTTTCAATCATCTTTGATGTCTATTTTTGCCAATGAAAGTTCGAAGATGAAATTCCTTTATTTGTCCTCTGCATCAGCAATTTCCACTCAATTGAAAGTGCGCGAACTCGAGGAAAAACGTTAAATCTTGCTCAGTCTGAAGGTTGTTTCTGACGATTTTGTCTAATTGATATTAAAAGCTTTGGGAGAAGGAAACGAGCGAAGTAACATGAAATTGTAAAGAAATAATGGTGTATTTGAAAAAAAAACTCTTGCTGTCTGTATTCTCTCTATTCTATAAATTAATCCCCTAAAATGGATTGTCATTAATTTAATCTGAGTTTTCAATACTGCTTGGCCGATGATACAGTGGAAAAATGTATTAAGAAAGTGTAATCTAACACATTTTATTCATCTCTTTTTCAATATATATTGCCCATGTTTGCAGTGATGATGGCAGAAAAGTGTTGAAATTTATCGCATTGCAATCAAATTCTGAAAAAAAAAGATAAAAAATGTGCAAATCAAAATTAAAATTCATTTGGAGAAGAAAGTCTTTCTATCCGATTTTTTTCTGACGTAATAAAACTTTAGAACAATTGTATTATAATGTAGTGATGTAAAGTGAAAGTATATAATTTTGTGATGCAGATTAATTATAATGGAGAAGTGAAAGATGAATATATAGGCTTTGCTGATAAACTAACTTTGTTCGTTATTTTCTAAACCACATTGCCCATGCTGTGCCAATAGATGGCGCTCGGGGAATTTCGCACATCGCCCTGGCGGTGAGCATTGGAATCATAGTTGCTTATATTGTTTTTGATACCTCTCTTTGCTCCAAATCTTCCGCATTAATTATTTCGGGATAGTGCACAATTTCTCAGTGACTTTCCACTAGAAACATGAGTTAGATAACATCAGCGGTGAGTAGAGCCAGTTGCGTGTGTTATTTGGCAGTGATAATGTGGCCTAAGACAGCAATATTGATTTTCCTGTCGTCTCCTGTGGTTGTCATTGAACTGTCTGGATCGGAAGAAAACCCCAAAATCTCTGCACTTTGCTCAATCCTCCAGGGAAAATTGCATTTCGTTCTCTCGTAGTTCGTGAAAATTGTGCGTGCTAGGACTGGAGATGAGCGCAAAGTGCTAAAAGTGCATCTTTTCCGTCTTCCGCAGCGGGACAAGTCCGAGTGAAAGTACACCAGTGCTCGGCCTATGGCTGCGGTGCAGTTCGCTGACGCAAAAGAAAGATTCCGACGTGGAAAATGTGCGATTTATCGTGAGAAGTAGAGCAGCAATCAATTAAAATCAGTCAGAAGATATTACTTGGGCCGATAGAGAGGTTTGTCCATGGGGTTTACTCAGAAATGTTGGCCTGAGCTCAACAAACATAAGAATGTGTGCGCGCTTGAGGTTCCCGGATTGATTTCCATGTCGGAAATCGCGTGAAAAGTATGACGAACAGGCGAGCGTGAATTGGGGAAAATCCATGCAAAAGTTGCAACTAGGGGAAAAATACTTGAAATAGTTTCGCCTGCTGCAGTGGTGAGAGATTTTTGGAAAATTTCCAAAAGCCAAAAGATAAGCTTTGGCCAGAGTTCATTAAACCCCGAAGGCGGTATTTATCAGTTGTATTTATTTATCTAAGGAATCAATATCCACATGATATATTAGGCGAAATGAATGGCATTTTGCCTTTCAGTGCAGGAACATTAATCTTGGCCAGTGTTGGAACATTTATTGCATTTTACGGCCAAATCAATGGCAATAATGTCCCTTTTCCAGGATAAGTGACACACATTTTAGCCCGGAAGAGCAACAAATGGTTATTGAATTTGCCCCTTGACTGCAAAATTTAATTACTGGGGCTGCTCTGCCTCGGAGAATGGCGAATTGTTTGAGTGTGCAAAGTGTGACATCATTCGATCTCATTGAATATTCCACAGACGATTGCAGAATGCAAATTAATTACTCATACACACTTTACAGCTTCTCAACTTCCACTCCTCCTATATCTCTTGCAGACTGACATGCGGAGTGCCCAAGAAAGTGCACTGGATCTCTAGAGACGCACCGAGGAATAGCAGAGCACACGAGCTGAAGAATGTCGCAGGACGGAGTGTCGAGCTTTGGCGCAGGCAAGCACCCTGTGCGGGGAATCTCCAACACGAAGCAGACCACGAGGCCAGAACTGCATCAGATCAACAATATCGTCTCGGAGAGGTATCTGTGGGAGATGAGACGGAGGACGCCCAACACCACGCCCGCCAGCACTGTCCTCAACTCCCCGGATCTCACGGAGAGCGAATCGAGGCACTCGTATCATCATCATCACCATCAATATCCCATCAAACTCGGAAGGAGTCCGGTAAGACTGATTAGCATCCGTTCTGCCGTAGAAACTTGTCTTCGACACGTTTAAGCTAATGATTTGTTGTGGCTTAGATGTTTTAAAGCCCACCAACGAATCCAAATGATTGATAAGATTGGATATAAGATGAAATTTCTATCTATTCCTCACTTTAAATATTCTTCCTTATTATCGAGGTTGTAAAACCTGAACTTTACACTGAGGTTAGCAGAAATTTTATTGATTCCAACTACAACAACACAACTATAAAACATGTACTATTCTCATCATACAGTTTATTGTGCGGAAAAGTAATGAAGAGATGACTGCATTTTATTCCAGGTGAGTCATGCGGACTCTGCCAGTCCTGTGTCGCCGTCAGGTGGACCGGCTCTGGTCACAGAGGGTGAAATGGTGGTGTTTGATGACATAGGGGACAGCTGGAATGGTGGCCGAATGATTCTGGACTCTCCAACGATTTCCGACACTGAAGGTGCGGCAGCGCCACGTCCGGATGGGACATCCTCTCCAGGCAGTGGCAGTCGAGTGGCCAAAGTGATCGGCGGGCTGCCAATAGCCGAGTACGAGGGTTCGCCGAGGCGCTTTGGGAATGTGCAGTATGACTCTCCAGGAGCAAACAGGGGGAGAAATGTTCTCGCATCTCCGGCAATGTTTCCACCGCGTCCGGGATTCCCGCAGAGGGTTGTTCCCTCTCCTAGTGGTGCTTATGGGAATTGCCAAGAGGATCTGGGACAGGAGGATGTGAAGCTGCAGCCACCAACGACTTTTGACTATCTCTATGAGTTCTCTGAGACACGAAAGGTGCTTGAGGAGTTCTTCAAGTGTCCGGAGGATGACACTGAGCGCGCCAAGAGCAGCAGCAGTGAGTTTATTCCGCATGGATATCACAATCAGATGGACAGCGTGCAGGATCACTGCTATATAGGACAGAGGCTGGCGCAGAAGACGCAGGAGACGCAATCGCCCACAAGGAAGATCCGAGAAGAGGAATTTGATCACAACGATATTGAACTGTACTTGGATTCGGGCAGCAGAAGCAGCGGAGAGTTGGCAGATACGGAGCTGGAGCATCATGTGAGAAGACACTCAAGGAATTTCACCCTCTCGCCAGAGACGACGGATTACGACTCCAATTGTGGGGATCTGGACAGTCTCTCTAATGATATCAACGGAATTGTGCCGGATTTCAATAGGCTCTACACTTCGATGCCTGTTTTGGAAGATGGTTTGTCTAGTGGACATGCGTCAGACACAGAGAACAATAATCCTGCGATTGGAGAGGCCAGACAGCGAGTCATTACAGGTGGGAACTTCCTGGAGCAATCCTCCAGTCCGAAGAGATGCATTGAAGGCATTCAGGAGCACGATCAGGGGCAGGAAGTGAAGAGTTTCCCAACGCCACCTCCGCCGCAGCCTCTACAGGATGTCCAGGCGGCACTCAAGGATATCAGGACGACTCTTCAGCGTACGAAAACTCTGCCGGCGGCCAGTACTATTCCCACAGCCGTGGATAGAAACATTCCCAAGGGCGTCATTGAGGCGGCAAAGGAAACAGAGTCGCCAGTTTGGGTGCCCAGACATCACAACAACGCCACTTCGCGGGAGAGTCTCAGCTCTGAGCATCCCTCGAAGGCCATGAGTGGGGAGGACGAGGAGGCGGACACGGATCTGGAGACTGATCGGCTTCTGGGTCAGCAGAGGCTCGACGATCAGGGCTTCTACGAGGACAAGACCGGCATGTGGAAGGGGAAACTGGCTAAATCTCCTTCGGGTTCAAAGTCTCCGCCTCTGGCGCAATCGACAATCCGACAGGGTGTGGGCACTGCACTGTCGCCCACATCTCCAGTGTCTGGCGGCTCTGGAGGGAGGATTTCACCCGCCACGCTGGCTGACAAGAGTCCAACGGACTCCATTGGCTCCAAGAAGGACGACAGCAGGAAGGGAAAGAGCAGAAACAAAGAGGGTAAGTTTGAATTGTGTGTCTCAAGACAGTAATTAAAAATTTTCCTGTGCCAAAGTTGTCCAAATAATAGTAGAAATGTGAGTCCGTAATGAGAATGTTGATTTCTCTGTTGGGGAAAGTGCGAAATGAAACATTTATTAGAGTTTTGTACACTTTGCATAAACTTTCCCAAAAACTCTTCTCCACCTCTTGTTTGTATCCTTTCCCCAGCGCGAAAACAAGTGCAGTTGTGCAGATGCTGCAGTTCTTAAAGGTGTTACACATTGTTTCACGGTTGATTTATTAACGGAAAGTTTCTAATTGTTGCCTTTCTCGCTGAAACTCAACTATTACACAGTACAAGTGGCCCATGTTTGACCCTGTCTAGAGAGCTTAAAGCTGTTATTTATGGCAGTGTTGTTGCACATAGAGCTTGTCTGTTCATAGAACAAAGTTATATTGCTGTAGGGAGAAAGAGGGACGGAGAATATTTTAGGGGACAGTGGGTCATATTGCTTAGTCATCCCTCTCACTAATTCCATCTTTATTCATGCACTTACCATTTACCATTGGAATGTTAACTGATGTAAGTCAACGCAGTATTTTCCTCCGCATAACATGATTTTGCTGACATCTTTGTTTCTTCAGCTCTCGATCCTGCAGTTCTTATTGAGGGAGTTCTGTTCAGGGCCCGATATTTGGGATCCACTCAGCTGGTCTGCGAGGGTCAACCGACCAAATCAACAAGGATGATTCAAGCTGAAGAGGCTGTTTCACGAATCAAGGTAAAACTTTTTGCTTACTTTATTGAGAACAAAATTTTCTAAGAGAATAAATCTCTTTAAATGCTTTCTTATCGGATTGATTAGGCATTGGTAAGAAAATTCAGCAATTTATATGGGCAGAAATGTAAAATAAAAATGGTACTTTTAGGCGCCGGAGGGCGAGAATCAGCCCAGCACTGAGGTGGACCTGTTCATCTCGACGGAGAAGATCATGGTGCTGAACACGGACCTCAAGGAGATCATGATGGACCACGCGCTGCGCACGATCTCGTACATCGCGGACATCGGCGACCTGGTGGTGCTGATGGCGCGCCGGCGCTTCGTGCCGCAGGACGTGGACGACGGGCCGAAGCCCAACCGGACGCCCAAGATGATCTGCCACGTGTTCGAGAGCGACGAGGCGCAGTTCATCGCGCAGTCCATCGGCCAGGCCTTCCAGGTGGCCTACATGGAGTTCCTGAAGGCCAACGGCATCGAGGACCACAGCTTCGTGAAGGAGATGGACTATCAGGAGGTGCTCAACAGCCAGGAGATATTCGGCGACGAGCTGGAGATCTTCGCCAAGAAGGAGCTGCAGAAGGAGGTGGTGGTGCCGAAGGCCAAGGGCGAGATTCTGGGCGTGGTGATCGTGGAGTCCGGCTGGGGCTCCATGCTGCCCACCGTCGTCATCGCCAACCTGCTCTCCTCGGGCGCCGCGGCGCGGTGCGGACAGCTCAACATTGGCGACCAGATCATCGCCATCAACGGACTCAGCCTCGTCGGTTTGCCACTCTCCACGTGCCAGACGTACATTAGAAATACAAAGACACAGACTGCAGTCAAATTTACGGTTGTGCCTTGTCCGCCTGTCGTCGAGGTGAAGATCAAGAGGCCCAATACGAAGTATCAGCTAGGATTCAGCGTTCAGAATGGAGTGGTGAGTATCAATATAAGTACATACTGAGTATGATTGACTTGATCTGATTGCTTTTCTCTCTGCAGATCTGCTCATTGCTGAGAGGCGGAATCGCGGAGCGAGGCGGCGTCCGAGTGGGCCACAGGATAATCGAGATCAACAACCAGAGCGTCGTGGCGGTTCCTCACGAGAAGATCGTCAATCTGTTGGCCACTTCCGTTGGAGAGGTTGGCAGAAAGTGTCCTTTTCCAGCTTTCCTTCGAGACTAACTTCGGATTCTCTTGCAGATCCTCATGAAGACAATGCCGACGTCGATGTTCAGACTGCTGACCGGACAGGAGAATCCCATTTACATATGAATCCACATATCAAGTGCTGACTGGCTGGCAAACATGTGAGATTAGAGGTGATGGAAAGCAAAACCAAATTAAGGCAAGAATCCCACTATATCGCGGAGAAACATAGCGCAATCAAGCTGAAAAGTATTTAATCCTCAAACGTCTAAAACCTTATTTATCATGTGACAGAAGTGAAATCTCTGCCCGAGTGTATTTGGAAGGGGCGAGAAAACTTTCGAAATAAGTTCTAGTCCTCACATTCTACATGTATTTTACAAGTTTAAATTGATACGTAAGCATTAGAATGGAAAGAGAGAGAGAGAGAGAAAAGAGATTTGCGCGAGAGGGAGGAAAAGTAATTTAAAGAAAAATGTGAAGATTTTCGGAAGCTGGGGGAAGTTAATGCAACAGACTGTTCCAGAATAGAGACAATATCGTGAATGACGTGTACTTTTTTTTAGTCATTAAGTGGAGAATATTTATTAACAGAATGAGAATAGTAAGAAAGACAAGAGATAGTGTAAATGTCCCTTTTTGAAATCCTTCATTGCGTAGTTTTTCTGGTGAATTGATTTTTCGGATGGAAATGCACGAGGAAAAGTGTCTCGCCAAAATCTGCAATGCAACAAATATCTCAGAGATTTTCTCATGCTGTAAACTTCAATTGTTCTTCCCCTAAAAATATCTCGAAGAAGAAATCATATTTCCTGTGAGCATTTCCTCGTGTATTTTTCACAATGTTAGAAGAGCAAAAGAGTATTTTCGTAATGTATAACTGAGTAAAGATATTAAAAAAAAATGTCTCTTTTTCAGTGTTAACAAAGAGTGTAGATGAGAAACTTTAGTGAATTGATAAAATTACAAACAGGGTGTTTATCGTAGACGAAGAAGAAAACAACAGAGAAGAACACAAAAAAACCTAAAATATTGTCATTTTGAGGGAAATCGCAATGGAAAGTGATAGAAGGCGATAAGAGGCATTTTGACAAACAAAAAGGGCCAATCTCAGGAAGATCCTAGACGAAACCTCTAAAATAACTCAAAGGAAAACCCCTTTCACGAAGCACACAATTTCATTGTAATGGCAAATCGCTCAAAGCAGACTTTCCTTCCCCCCTTCTAGCTGTCCTAACACTAATGCGCGTCACTGTGAAGATCGCAAGAGCGATTGTTGAGCTGATAAAATGGTGAGAGAAGCTTCTAAATGTCGAGCGAGAGAAGATTTTTAATAAACTAATCAGGCAATAATTTATCACAGAGAGAGAGAGAGAGAGAGAGAGAGAGAAAGAAAATGAGGAATGTGAGATGAGAAAATGTAATGGGAGATTAGCTGATAATAATGATTACACCGTGTATTTAATCTTTCCTGACGCAGTTTGTAGGAATTGGTAGTGTTGGTCCTCGAAAGATAGTGGAACAATCGTCACGAATTTCACTATTTTTCTACGTTCAACAATGTCACAGAATTGATTGTAGTTTGTGTTAATTATGTGATAAGAATCAGATTTTCCTTCATTCTGATTTTTGATACTAAAATGTTTAATTGTGCGAATGATTAGTCTCCGTATAACAATCAACCTTTGTGTTCTCTGTCAAAGAAACAAGAAAAAAAAACAAATAGATGCATTTAAAAGACTTTTTCTTTCAATTGGAAATAATAATTGACGATGAGAGACAGATGAAGAAACATCACTGTTTAATTCCACGAGAAGATGTGGCGAGAAGAATTTGAATTAAGTCGTATACCAAAGTGAGAACAGAGGAAAAAAAATGATAAATAAAGTGAATTTTTATGTTATAGAAAAGAAAAACAACTCCCATGGCTTTTTAATTACTTTTTTTATACTGTACTTTTTGCACTTACAAAATACGTCTTGTTCACACTATCCTTGCTTCTTTTATAGCATTCCTTGTATAAATTTAACACTATATCTTCTTCACTCCCCTTATCGACTCCTCTTCGCTATTGTTAATCACAGTAATCATTTAAATCTAACTGAAAAAGGGGGTTGGGATGGTTGGACTTGCAGATTTCCTCCTGGCTCAGCGATTGTATTGCGTCACTACATTTCACTCACATTGGACGATCCGTTGCGCCGTGGATCGAAGACAGCCTCCAGCCTTTGTGCCCCATCCGAACTGATCGCCGTCAGGGCTGCAAAGCCCGATCCTGGAGACACTTCGTACAGCTCATGATTTCTTTCCGAGAAGCCCTTAATAATCTCTTCATTGAATCCATTCTCAAAGTCCAGTCGCATTGGCGCCAATTGATGGTGAATTCTCTTGGCGTGCATGGCATCGATTAGGCTCTCATTGAACACCAAATGACGCATAATAATCTACAAGTAAGCGTTTACAAGTCAATTTCTCTGGCCAAAAACAACGTGCGGAAGAATCACACTTACATAAGCCACAGACGTCGTAATCTTCGATCCTCCAGCGCCACCCACAATCATCCGCACATTTCCCTCACTGTCCACCAAGATTGCTGGACACATTGAGGACATTGGAGTCTTCCTGGGACTGATGAAATTGGCAGGAGAAGCTGGCACTCCGTAAACATTTTCCACCCCGGGAATTGAGAAATCATCCATCTCATCATTCAGGATGATTCCAGTGCTCAGTGAGCGTCTCATGGCGCCAAAGCTGAAAGAATGACACGAATAAATATTTCTATCAACTTTCGTTTGCTTAATTTCCGCAGAATTCCTGCCCAAATGGGTCATTTTCTGCAGAGGAAGTTCTTTATAATCACTCCATCAGTTGCATGAAACACACATGAAACATCAATACAATTCAATGTTTCGAAAGTCAAATTGTTCCCATTTTAATGAACAATCAACAATTTAATATCCCACATTTGATACAATTAAACGCCTTCTTTTATCTCGTGAACTTAATTGCACGCGATAAGGTGTGAAATAATTTTCTACAGTCCCACAAAACCAATTGCAAAACCCCATCTTTAACACTAGATTTAACACAACGACCATTTGATAACACTCACATGTAATTCACCGTGCTTGTGGCAGCGACGGCGTCTCCATTGGGCGCCAGGATGGAAATATGCGCCGTTCCGTGATCCTCGACATTGGTAAAGTCCGCTCCGTAGTGCTCAAAGGTGTTGTAGGTGGTGTTATCATCAATTAAGCTCCTGATGATCTCTGCATATTCGGCATTCGTGAGGTTCGCCACGAGCGCATCGACCGAGGGCACGAACAGCGGATCTCCCATGTTAGTCCTCAAGGCGTAGGCGTACTTAAATGCCTCGACAACCCTGTGCCACGTCACAGGTGACTCCAAAGTGTCCAAGAAGCCATCCAAGACGTTGAGAATGAACGCCAAAAGTGGTCCAGAAGTTGGAGCTTGCGTTGAGTACATCGTGAAGCCACTCTTGAGATTCGCCGTCACGGGTTTGTCCCATCTCACCCTAAAAAGCCATCACAAAAGAAAGGAATTCACAGTGATTTTCCATAGTCACCAATCGCAATTATGTTATATCGTGACATTGAACTATTTTCAAGTTCATTAAAAGTTTATGTCACTCTTTTGAGCTTAATTGGGAACATTGAAGTGCAAAAAGTTAATCCATTTGTATGTTAAAAGCAGACTTTTTATGCCATTGGCAATTTGCGCGCGAATTGTCATGTTAATGCCACAATGTTCAATTTACTCTTCGTGCACTTTCGATTTTACTGACTCTCCATTGTGGTTTGACAACAAAAATAGATGAATTGAGGACAAATATTTATACAATTTACAATTATTGTGAATATCTTCATGCTTTACGCTTCACATGACTGATAAAAGTGGCCATAAACTGTCTGATTTAGTGGCTTCAGTACATTTATTGGATAATATCTCACCGATACTGGAGGAGATCCTGTTCAGTGACAATTCCTCCGAAGCTCTGAATGTCCTCAATGAATCCCTTCGTCAGACGACCATTGTACAGTGCATTAACACCGTCTTCAGCGATGACTTCCAGAGTCTCTGCCAATTTGAGCCTCTTTATGCGATCACCAATCTGCCAAGTGGTGTTCGTCTCCGGATTGATGTAGATCTCCCTGAGAGTGGGCTCAGCGTAGATTCTGGAAGCGCGGCCCCTGAGAATGTTCTCCAGATAGGGAGACACCAAGTGCCCCTGACGACAGAGCTCAATTGTGGGCTTTACAAGATCCGCCCAAGGCAACAATCCGTACTTTTGATGCACCGACCAATAACCCTTCAGTTCACCGGGAACGGCAATCGCGAGACCCCCTAAAACAAGACACACCATTGTCAAGATGGGCGCAATTTATCAATCAATTGCCTGATCATGTGAATTCCAGAGATAGAAGTGTTATCAGCAACTCACCCTCGACGGAATTGATTGTGCCATTCTTGAACATATCCTCAGTGGCAGCCAACGGAGCCACTTCTCTCGCAATCAGCGACTCCACCTCACCCTTGCTCTTGGAATAGATCGTCATCACGAAGCCCCCGCCGAGTCCCATGCTCTGCGGACAAGTCACACCCTCGCAGAAGAGCGTGGCAATGGCAGCATCGGCCGCCGATCCATTCCTCCTCAGTATCTCCATCCCAATGTCCGCGCACTCCATCCCATTCGCCACAATGGCCATCCTTCGAGGCTCCGACTCCACATTCTTGGGCTTCCACACCGTGAAGTACACCGTGACCAACACCACAGCCACCACAATTGCCGCCAGCAGAGCAGCAATCAACACCCTCTTCTTCGTTATCGCCGGAAATCTGCAAAGCAACAGACAGCACTCATCAGCTCTAACACGATAGTTTGCCTTATCAATTGTGTGACATCAGTTTTAGGATTGATTCATTATCGCGCGCGTGGAATTTCAACAACGCACTTAGGAAAGCATGACGATTGATTTTTTTTCACTATCCCTCAGACGTAAATATTGAGAGACAAAACACTGATATGACGATACTTTTAAACTAGTCAAATGATACAATATTCCTTAATGCGAAATTGTAATTGCGATTTTTCCAACAATGTGCAAACGAGAGAAAAACATCACGTTTTGAGAGCTTTTAGGGAAGATAAACACAAACTATGAATCAGCATAACTCTATTTTTCACGCTACAATCTTGCATTGATAGTGTCTTATAGTTATTCGGCAAAGGTTGAGTCAGAGTCGTGGTGCAGGAATTCGGTCAGAAAGCACGTGCTAGCTGATTGCACATTTATGGAAAATGTCTTGCAATGGCAAAAGAGACTTGAAATACGACAACCTGACAACGAAAACCAAGTGGTTGTCTGTGAAAGTAGTTTGCGAATTACAGATAACGAAATTTGACCGGTGATATTAGCTTATTCAAAAACCTCAGCTAATCTCCTAATTGAAATATGATTTAAAACATTTCAAGACGAGTTTGCATAAATTATCTCGCCGGCAAGTGTGTGCGCTCAATTCTAGTTCAGTAGCATTGATAACTGACTGAGAAGGAGCTAAAGTCAGCCATGTGAGACCGGTTGGAGGTTCAATTCGACCACCTGTGAAATTATTAAAAGCTGAAATTATTGAGTGCGACAAATGAGCGAATAATTCTCCTCTTTTTTTCTGTCCACTTCCACATTGCATATTCTCGCAAAGCAAACCAAATCTTGTCCAACGAGAGTGAGAGTCAAGGTAGTTTATGTTGACTTACAATGAATGCAAATGAATCTTAATGAATGGATGAAGAGGAGAAAAAAAGGTGAATTTCTTGCACAGCTGATGGAGCGTTTAAATTGACCAACCAACACTCTGTTGGCTCCTTTTTTGCGCCACTCAATATTTATTGTTAAAACAAAATTGATTATTAATGCAATTGTTGGAGGAAGACAGCAAATAGAGAGAAAAAATGTGGCCCACTTTCAAGAACACCTCCCAAAAAAAAAATTGAAAATACAATTCAATTGACCAATATTTGCACATTTGCTGTACTATTTTTTTTATCGACAGCCTCTTTAAAACTGAATTTATGAGGTAATTCATATCTTGAACCACTCTTTACCCTTTCAATTTGCACTGTAAGGGAAATTTTGCAGACACATTGCGAGAGGAAACTGATCATTTGATTACAAAACCACGAAGAAACTCGCAACATTTCCATTCATGCGACATACAAAATCAAATGCCAAGTGCGCGTGATTCTGTCTTGAATTTATATCATTAAATTGATAAATTGCAAGTCTGAGAAAGAATTGCGCAAAATAAAAGTACTATTTTTCTCCAAGTGACAATTGAATGAAATTGATGCTATTATTGTACACTTCCTGGCCACATTTTGCATTTGTCACTTCATCGAAAAAGGCAAGTATTTTGAGACTGAGCTAAAGGCAAAATTGCGCAACAGAGACTTTTGAATGAGATAAAAATACACCACTTCAACATATCCTAATTTCCATTATGATAATCTTCTGTATCTCTCTAAACACACCATTTTAATATGAATGAGATTCACTGCAAGTTCCACTGTTTCACCTTCATTCTCATTCACAACTTTACTTTCTCATTTTACATATTTCATTACTGTATTACTATATTTTCCGAATTTGCATATTGATTTTGCAAATTAGCAAAATAAAAAGATTAAACGTGACTTGAGCAACTGACAATGAACACTTGGAAATTGCATATTAAGAAGAATATTTTTCAGATCCAGTGTTGCGCTCTTGATCATTCTGGTAAATCGAGTAAATTGCCTAGAATTATCGTCTAGACATGGGAAACTAAATAGTAAAAATACTTATTGCAGAATCACAAATAAAGTAAAATGATCATACACTTGATCTTCAACTGAACTTACATCATTATCACCTGACTTTCGCTTTCAACTACTGCACTACAACTCTTTTAGGTCATACACGTTTCCCGATAAGACACCTTTAATCTCGCCTTCTAGACTTGCAAAATCTCCTTGAGTGGACCAAAAGTGAGGGAAAGAATCACTGCAATCCTTGATCACTTTCACTTTACAGCCGCGATCACAGCCAAAATAATTAACCTTCTTTCGATCGAAGAATAAAAACCCGTAGAATAAATGCACTTTGCTCGCGCACTCTCGCCACTAAAGCTCAGCTATTTGGAAAAGCGACTGCGCGCTGAGGCGACTGGAGTGGAACTGGGAAAATTGGCGATAACAATCACTTCAGGTACTGCCAAGACCGCGATCGTGCGTGTATTCGCGTTTCCCTGAACACACCAGAGCTTCGCGGGAAAGCCACCCAAAGCTCCAACACACGATGACTATTAACATTTCAACAATGCCTCCCACTTTTATCTACACGCTCCTCCGCCTCTTTTCTCCAACTCGTTATCAATTCTTTTTCTGCCACTGTGAACAAATACCAAAATTATGTATGCAAAGTGGTGGACAAAGCTTTGTGAACCAGCAAATTTGGCATACAAATTACAATGTAGGGATGAATGCACAAATTGTTTCATCACAACTGAGGTCACGTTCACAAAGGCCGATCATGCACTTTATTCAATCTAATAGTGTAGCAAAATAAACTTCCTCACTAAGGCCCCAAACAGCTGAACGCGTGACGTCCAAAAAGATCCATCTGTGCGAGAACGTCAATGAGAATTAGAGTTCTAACAAGCGCGTGTTTCAGTCCAACATGCTAAGTAAACACAGAAAGCCGCTAAGCTGAGCAAATTAACCGATTCTAGACATCTTTTTTCGTCTCACGATAGAAACTGTTTGGCATTACAGCTCATTACCGACTCTCATTAGCACACATTTGCACAATTTTTATCAACAGAATGTCACCTGAGACGAAAAATTTGTCAACAAATCTATGAAATGTTCTATTTTAGCGTTCCTTGAACCGGGAAGAAATATTTCAAGATTCTTTTAAGACTATTAAATCTGTCCTTAACAAATTATACATGTCAAGACCAACTCAATAGATGATGTGCAAATTAATAGTAACTTTGGACACGTGCTTTATATCAGAAAGCGTGAAGGGTAATTGTTATATTCAATTTTAATTTACACATAAAACAATTATATGGTGTACTAAACTCAATTATACAACATGAACACTTCGTTCAAAAAGGGCTCAAGTTGAGTTTAGACTTTAATTCGCTTCTACAAGGTGAATATTAACATTTTTAGGACTTATAAACCATATTTTCCAGATTAACGAACAAACTAACCCAATTACACGTCTATAAACACGGATAATTCAGATATAAGACAATAAAACATAGGAACATTCCATTTCACGATGATCTCTCACCAGGTATTCAACCTGATAAGTCAATTATTATCTCTTCATTAACTCCTGACTGGAAGTCATAAACAATTGATAAACGCATTCTTCTAATTCACAGCTAACACTACACATTGTCACAATTATCATCAACAAGCGCGTATTATCAGGCCATAATTATAAGACACTGAACGACAGATTGACCGATAAGATTGCCATCCACCAATATGCATTTAACTCCATATCACAGCCCATTAAGCCACCTTGAAGGAATATGAGCACTGATCGCCGTTTAGAGTCAATTGAGAAATTACTCGTGAGAGAATCATCTGCGAATCAAGATGAAACTATCACTCGCCTTTCTGTGCTTCATTTCCCACTGCCTTTGTCAAGTAAGTGTTGATCTCTCAAGAGATAACAGAGATAATACAAACATGGTATCGTCTTAGGAATTCGAGCCGATCGTCCTTGTACATGGCGGAGCAGGCTTCACGTCAGATGAGAGAGATCCTGAGAAGTTTGCAGGCACCAAACTGGCCGCACGCATTGGCTATCTCGCCCTGATGGAGACAGGATCTGTCTTGGATGCTGTGGAACAAGCTGTGAGGAGCATGGAATTGGATGTGGGCTTCAATGCTGGATACGGAGCTGTCTTGACACTCAACTGGACTGTTGAGATGGACGCCAGCATTATGGATGGGCGTGATTTGTCAGCAGGATGCGTTTCTGGCGTCCAAGACATTCTTCATCCAATTTCACTGGCCAGAATGGTTAAGGACAAAACACCACACACGTTCCTGTCAGGAGTGGGACTGATGGAATGGGCCAGACAGCAGAATGTCCACATTCTCTATCCACCAGGACAGATGGCTTCGGAGCGAGCGAAAGCATCGCTCCAAGCTTGGCTGGACAGTCAAGCACAAAACCCTGGAAACACTGAGACTTTCGGTGAACCTGGAACCGTTGGAGCTGTGGCCATGGACGCTTTTGGGAATCTAGCCGCTGCCACATCCACCGGAGGAATAACTGGAAAGTATCCGGGCAGAGTGGGAGACACGCCTCTGTTGGGCAGCGGAACCTACGCTGATAATCGCTACGGAGCCGTTTCCACGACAGGACACGGAGAGAGTATCATGAAGATCACCCTCGCTAAGGACATCATCGCCCGAATGGCTTATCTTGGCTTAGACGTCCAGAATGCCTCCATGCAATCCGTCGAAGAGATGACCGAAATGCTAGCCAACACAGCTGGAGTCATTGCTTTGGACACAGTGGGAAATCCAGGCATCTACACGTCCTCCGGCAAGATGTCCTGGGCCTACCAGAGAGGCGAATACGTTCACTACGGCATCCGTCCGGAGGATGATTTCATAGAAAATGCCTGAGCGATTAACCCCAAGTATGTGAAGTGCATAACATTCCCGAGACACTTTTATGTCTCTTATCGCCTTATGACAAGTCAATAAAGCCTGCTCTTAACATAAGAGGTGAATCAGTTGTTTTCGTGTCAGTCTCTCATCGGCTGTTTACCGTTCAGCATCTCTGGTGAGTTTCCCGAAGCTGAAACATGACCGGTCTCAAATATTCCCTAATCATTGTCCTTCTTTTGCATAAAATCCACACTCAGATTCTGCCAGAAAAGGTTTGGTACTTGAGAAAATATCTAAACAGTGCAGATAACGAGCTAAATCTTATCTCTGGCAGACAATGGAGCCAATAGTTCTCGTCCACGGGGGCGCTGGAGATATTCCGGACAGTCGTGACCAGGGGAAACACAATGGAGCCCTGATAGCGGCCAGAATTGGCTACAGAGTCCTCAAGGAGACGAATTCCGTCCTAGACGCCGTCGAGGAAGCCGTGAAGTCAATGGAATTGGATGAGAACTTCAATGCAGGCTACGGATCTGTTCTGACGCTCAATGAGACTGTGGAAATGGAAGCCAGCATCATGAGAGGTTCAGATTTGTCATCGGGCTGCGTGACTCTCCTCAGAGACATCAAACATCCAATAAGCCTGGCCAGGATTGTGATGGAGAAAACTCCGCACAACTTCTTGGGCGGTGAGGGAGCAATGGATTTCGCTGTACGCCAAGGAATAGAGATTCTCTCACCGCCAGGACAACTTGTGACAGAGACGGCGAGAAAGGCACTGGAGACTTTCAAGAAGACACAGAATCTGGGTAGTTCTCAGCCAGGGAAGACAGAAATAGGACACGAGGGAGGCACAGTTGGTGCTGTGGCCATTGATAGACTAGGGAGAATCGCTGTGGCAACGTCAACGGGAGGAATTACTGGGAAATATGTGGGAAGAATTGGAGACACTCCACTTCTGGGCTGTGGAACCTTTGCTGATGATCGTTTTGGTGGAGTGTCAACGACAGGACATGGAGAAAGCATCATGAAATTTGTCCTAGCAAAGGATATCGTCAACAGAATCGCATTTCAGGGTGTTTCAGCTCAAAAAGCCACCGAAGAATCCCTTAAAGATATGACAAACATCACGGGAGGAACGGCTGGAGCGATTACAATCGACAAAGACGGGAATATTGGCATTTACCACACATCACAGAAGATGTCTTGGGCATACCAGAAAGGCGATAATCTCTTTTATGGAATCCGCCATGGAGAGAACTTCACAGAGAAAGCCTGAATAAGTGTAAGCATATTTTGTGTGCCCCTGTGCACTCATTCTTCAAGCCTCATGCCTCGACAATGCATGTTATTAATAAAGTCTTATCAGCAATTATTTTTTTTCTAATTGTCTCGCCAAAGTTGTGAAACAACAGACGAACAAACTCCACAAATTATTGAAGTTTGCCCACTTTCAAGTGCACAAGATGTGCAGAGGCGGAGAAAATCAATTATGCCATTGACCCAATTTCACCCCCACGGACTGAACTCAATTTCCACCCCAACCCATTTAATGTAAATGCGACTTACTGGAGGGATTTGAGGGTGCTTCCGTGGAGTGGCGAGTATTTGTAGCGCGCCCACGTGCGGAAGCGCCATTGAAGGAATTGCTGCTGAATCTTTGAGCCCCAACACGGAAAATCCATGATATAATTCACTAAATCACTTTGTGTCTCTCACGAGCCGGTCCAGGAGTGTCTATTTCACTGATTATGAGTCTCTAAAGCACATTATTGCCACTGATATCTCGCTGAGATTCATGGGCTGTCGTCTCGCCGTAGCAATGTTTTGCCTTCGGATCGCGATATTTGTTCTCATGCTGCACTGAGTGGGAATCCGTGCGGCATTTGGCCAGGCACAGCTCGAAGTTGTCCTGAACAGAGGCAAAGACGGCTTTCTGGCGACCTGTCGCCTTCTCCATCACCCGCTCAAGAAGTTCCTTCTGCAAATGCGAGAGAGATCCCGATTAGAGCACAATTCCAATGACTGGGGGATGTGAATTATGAGACCTTGTCTGGATGAAGACAACAAGACACGCAATACTCGTAGATTGAGCAGCAGCCAGTGTCTGTGCAGGTTTCACAGCTGTAGTGAGTAGTGGAGGGTGTCTCCACATTGCAACATCCTGACGGCAGGAGGTCGAATCGGGAGCAAACAAAACCTCTGTCGTCAACAATCAGGAATCTTCCCTGAACCGAATTCCTGCACTTCACACTGGGATCGTTGAAGCTGGTGTTTTGCTGCTCCTGGAGCGTCCTCCAGATCAGGGGATGTTCTCGCTTCACCTCAAACTCAGCGTCTGAATCGATGGACAGGCTCCCGGACTGGAAGAGTGTGAAAAACAAGCATTTTCTTAGATTTGGGCTGGATAATGTGAGGTTAGTGAGAAACAGGAGATCATTTCAGGGCGTTTCACGTACAAAACCAAAGAGATTGACAACGAAATACAGCAAGGAGAGCAGGAATATAATAGCCAGAACCAGTCTGCGACGGATGAACCGTAATAAGGCCATGTACCACATGGTTTGGGTACCAAATAACTTCAATGAAAATTTTTCACACTTCCAGCGGCCATCGAACTGGACACACTACCCAGCTGACGAGCCCCGAAGAGGAAAACCAAAATATTGACAAACATTTCTCATTTATCTCAAACATTTCTCCATGCGCCATATATTGTATTCCAAAATGTATTTATTGATTTTCTCTCCATTTGTTCAATTGGATATTTTTCAAATTCCTTTCTTATGTGGTTTCCAATTTGAGTACTGCGTACGGAACACCTTTCCGCCATGGGTGGACATGTCACAACGGGTTCCCTCATCAGGCAACCCGCTTTCAAATTTTGGATCATCATTGCAGACAAAAAACACAAAGAAGAAAAGCGCGTTTCTAGTGGAAAATTTAGCACGGAAAAGCCATTTTCTGCCTTGAGAGCAAATTCATTTACGCTTTTGTGATTATCCCTGGTGAATGCTCGACTCGAAGTGATCCCAGAAGGCGTTTTATTGAGTGCATTTGGATGATTTTTGACGTGGAACTTTGACTCTCACTTTTTTTCATCGCGTCGGAGCGCCCCCACGGGAGACAGCGGAGCCCCACGACTAGAAGAGCATAGACAGAGAGGAAGATGAGTGAATTGACGCCGGAAGAGGTGAGGAGTGACGTTCCTGAGCGGGAGAATGAGGTGCTAACGGGGCCTTTCTTGTACAGATTCGCCAGCGTCGATTGAGACGCCTGGGAGTGGACCCCAACAGGGAGAGAGCGTTGCAGGAGGCTGGCGCCAGGGGGCCGGCCGTGTCCTCGTCCACTGAGGGCGCGGGCGGGAAGACTTCCGGGGAGTCAGATGAGCGCCAGTCAAGTATTGAGCTGGTGGAGCACCGACAGAAGCAGCAGAAGATCGACACGGAGCTCAGCAATGAGGTGCTGACCAGCTCATCCGTGGATCAGCACAGAGTCAATAATAACTACAGGGGCAGCATTGAGATGACTGGTGAGTTGAGCGCACAGAAGACAGCGCGCGGTTCATTGACCCTGGGATTCTATTTGCAGAAGATGATGTGAAGAGCGCCTCGGCCAGCAGCACCACGGACAACCAGGCGGTGCAGGAGCAGCAGATGGAGACGGATGAGTGTGTGGAAGCGGACAAACTGGGCGACTGTGATTCCGGAATAGAGAATATGGAGACGGAGGATTGCTCTGAGAAGGCGATGCCCAGCGCTGACATTCTGCTGGACAATCGCGGAAATATGAAGCTGGATATGGAGATTTACGTGTCGAAGGTGCTGAACGCCACATGGGCGGAGCACTGCAAGGGGCTGATTATTGCCAAGGAGGTGGCCACTGAATATATGGACAGTTTCGAGGAGGTGGCAGATATTGAGGATCTCACGTCCAGGGTGCTGTTGAATGTGATTCAATACTACATGGAGGGCTTCTTGAAGCAGAATTCCGCCAAGTTTGACTTCTCGGTGCCGTCCTCGAGTAGTCCTTCGGAGGAGACTCCCGTTGAGCCCTTTAAGCGCCGCGTGGCCGCTCTGGATTATCTCATCAGATGCTACGACATCATCAGGGGCGAGTGCTACACCCTCACATCCTCCAAGCGTGTCAATTTGGCTGAGATGCTACAGTTAATGGAGATGGTGAAGGTGCAAATCCTCCAGCACTCAGTCATGGTGCTCAACGGAACGATCAGGGGCAGTAAGGATCCCGTGGAGTCGACAGAGAAGCCCGAGAAGTCTGCATTGCTGCAGCTGATGTACGAAAAAACAGTGGAGAGTGACTTTCTGCAGTCCTTCGTGGCACTGACGTACAAGAACATGGAGGTGTTCAAGGAGATCTTCGAGCCTCTGCTGAGGCACTTGTTCAGAGACATGCAGAAGGCCATCGTGTCGAAGGATCTCAACGTGGAGATCCTGGCGAAGCTCGATGAACTCACAGCCATCACGATTGAGGGCAATGTCCGACCAATTTGCAATCTCATTGCGAAGCAGTACAACTTCTTCCCCATCTCGTGCAGCAAAGCTCCGGGCAGGGAGATTGCCAAAGTGAGCTTCCTGGGACCCTTCCTGTCGCCCACGATCTTCGTGGAAGAGAATCCAAAGCTCGTGGAAGCAATATTCACCAGCGACAACGTCCTTATTGACGCTTCGCTGCAGTCGAGCCTGCAAGCTGGTCTTGGCTGCATTCGCAACTATCTGCACTCGATCTTCCATGCACTGCTGAAGAATGTGGAATCCAGGAACTCAGTGTTGATGTTTATGTCCACTATTCTGAAAGCGAATGAGAAACGCGCTCAGATTCACACGGATGAGCGAGTGCTGGCCAGAGATGGTTTCATGCTCAACTTCCTGGTGACGCTGCAGAAGTTGGCAGCCAAAATCAAGCTGGATCGTGTAGATATGATGTATCCCTTTCACTGGGACTCGCTGATCCACATTGTGAAGGACACGAAGCTGCGGTACGAGTCGGAGGAGTACAATGAGTGGATGCAGGAGTACAGGAGCAGTCATGTGTGGGAACCGACAAACTTCCAGACGCAGTGCTGGTTTCTCACGCTTCATGCGCACCATATCGCTGTGATTCCGGCGATTCAGCGCTACAATAAGAGATTGAGGGTGATCAAGGAGCTGCAGCGTCTCGTGTCAGAGTTGAACAACACAAAGAGTCAGTGGGAATTCACGAGGTTGGCGGCGAGGAATGAGGACTTGAGGCAGCGCTGGTCCATGCAGCTGATGAAGTTGAACAGGTCAAAGGCGTGCTGCGATATTGGACTGTTGGATGAGAATCTCCTGAGGCAGTGCATGCGCTTCTACAGCACTGTGTGTGAGTTTATTCTGTATCACATGGAGGGCAGGAAGATTGCTGGGCCCTTCATCACGAGCATCTCACCGCCTCAACTCACGCCCACGCCCGAGTTCTCGGCACTGCCTGAGTGGTATGTGGAGGACATCGCGGACTTCCTGCTCTTCTGTATGCAATACGCCACAGATGTGATTGTGGAGGACATGGATCACTCCATCATCACGTGGCTGCTGACCAGCGTGTGTGCGCCGCACTGCATTAAGAATCCCTATGTAACTGCCAAACTGGTGGAGGTACTCTTCGTCACCACACCCACTATTCAGACCACATCGCAGAGTCTCCACAACAACATCATGTTCCATGACATCTCGCTGTCGGTGCTGCCGTCCGCCCTCATGCGCTTCTATACGGACATCGAGACCACGGGCCAGAGCACGGAGTTCTACGACAAGTTCACCATTCGCTACCACATCAGCCACCTGTTCAAGTGCATGTGGCAAAGTCCTGTGCATCGCCTGGCGATGATCAATGAGTCAAAGACTGGAAAGCAATTTGTCAAGTTCATCAATATGCTCATGAATGACACGACCTTCCTGCTCGACGAGTGCCTGGAGTACCTCAAGCGCATCCACGAGACCCAAGTGCTGGTGATGGACGAGGCGGAGTGGGCGAAGTTGTCTGATGAGGCGCAGCAGACGCGCCAGCGTCAACTCACGCAGGATGAGCGGCAGTGCAAATCCTATCTCACGCTGGCCAGGGAGACTGTGGACATGTTTCACTATCTCACGGTGGACATTAAGGAGCCGTTCTTGCGTCCGGAACTCGTGGACAGACTCAGTTCGATGCTCAACTTCAATCTGCAGCAATTGTGTGGGCCAAAGTGCAACAACCTAAAGGTCAGGACGCCGGTGAAGTATGGCTGGGAGCCGAGGAGACTTCTGGGCCAGATCATCGACATCTACTTGCATCTCAGCTGCGATGAATTCGCAGCGGCTCTGGCGGCTGATGAGGTGAGTGTAGATGCCAATGATTCGATTAATAGTTTGCATTCTGGTGTGATAATATTCTAACGGGGTTATCGCACTGTGAAGCTGCAAGTTAAAAAGTTATCACGCATCTTAATGATGATAAATCTACAGGGAGAATGAGGGCAAATGACTAAGCTCTATGTTAAACATTTTTTGTTGGCTAAATAATGTAATTTTCATATTTCTGGCTATTCTTTGCAGAGATCCTTTGAGAAGCATCTCTTCGATGATGCCGCTGATCGCATTGAACGCCTCCAGATCCGATCGACAGTGGAAGTGGAGAAGTTCAGAGCTCTCCTTGCCAAAGCTCATGATATTTATGGTAATTTTAGTCACTGGATTTTCCCAGTAAATTTTACTTACTTCGCCTGTGATTTTTGCAGTGACAAATCAACAGCGAGAAGACGAATTCGCTGATGCTCCGGATGAGTTTAAGGATCCACTGATGGACACGATGATGAGTGATCCGGTGATTCTGCCTTCGGGCGCCATCATGGATCGTCCCATCATCATTCGGCATCTGCTGAACAGCAACACAGATCCCTTCAATCGACAGCTCCTGACCGAAGACATGCTGCAGCCTGGTGAGTTTCTATTGACCTCTAAACACGGACAGTTTTCCTGACACTTCCTCCTCTTTCAGCCACTGAACTGAAGGAGAAGATCCAGGCTTGGAAGCGTGAGAAGAGGACTTCCGGCGGTGAAAGCTCCAAGCGATAAATTGAGTCTCACATCGCGCGCGTTATAGCAGTAAAGGCAGAAGTTGGGTTGTAATTACAGCGGTTAATATTAAACTGAAATGAAATGTGAAAGGAATTTGCGAAATTCACGTTGAGAAAATACATAGAGTCGTGAGAGAAGATGAAGTATAGCAAGTTTTCTTTTGTACAAAGAAATTCTTTATTGAACCAGCCACAAGTTTTTCTTTACATAATCAAATATATGTATCAATAAAATTACTTTCTAAGTTATATATCATTGTTTTGTAGCCCCAAGTCGACAGGGAAGATATTCATCTACTACAGTTTATCGATTTAAAAAATATATAAATTTTATTTATTCTCATTCTTAACAACTAATAAATTAAGTAGCAAAATTGGGTATTCCTTCTGTCGTAAATTGTTTTTTTTTCTTTTCTTTCTCTTGCAGTATATTCAGTATAACTTGTAGAGTGTTTTCGGAAAAGGGGGCGGGGGGGCACAAGTTGAGGAATGAGTATGTTGATTCCTAAAAACAAACATCCTAAAGTCTCAGATATTGTCGATATTGTCAGGATATCTCCTTCGATTCTTCTTCATACTTTTTCTTTTGATATTGTTCTCGTGCGTGTGGGACGACGCCGAAGGACGCGCATCCTTCCGCATGGATTATCTGCGCTGTGCAGACATCAAGGACAAAAACAACAAGGATGGCGCGAAGGCGGGACATGATGAATAAATTTGTGCAAATAAGTTAATCAAGTGTGAGACACCTTCGATGTGACGCGCAATAAATAAGAGAACACAAATAATAGCAACAAATTAAGGAGTAAATTAACAAATACAGATAGTGTGAGTGCTTTGATAAGAGGTACGAGAGAAATGCTAATGTTCTTTGCTCACTTTTCCACCACTAAATCCACTTTTTCTCCCCCAAAAACCAGCCGCTGCTTCTCTTCAAAAAGGACTTTTCACTAACTTTGCATAAAATACATGTAAAAAAGACGTTCTTGCAGGACGACAATAACATGGAATATTTATCTTGCAGTTCTCACGCACAAACAGTACATAAATTACTTTTGTACCAGCGACAAAAAGGTGAGAAAACCCATCTTTATACCGTGTAAAAGGTGTGTAAAACATTAAAGTTCGGTGTGTTTAAATGAAAATAGCATGAATAACCAGGTAAATGATAGGGTAGAAATGCATTTCTTATTTGCCCATCGCGAGAATGCATAAAACATACATTAATCATCGATCATTTGTGCCAAAGAACATTCTTAAAGCACATAAAGACGTCTATTCATCTTTGTATTATCCGTCATTTTCAATCATTCTACCGTCTTCCGGAGACCAGCGACGTGGAAGTGGTCCTGGAAGGTGTCCTTGGGCAGACGTGAGCAGCCGCCGCACGTCTTTTACTTCTTCGTGATGAAGGGCAGGTGCGGCGTGCAGAATATCGTGAGGACGAAGAGGAGGCCAAAGAAGAGGTTCAACTTGGCCGTCTGTCGTGGGACGCTGTGCATGGTGACGGGATTGCGGAACTCCTTCTCGATCCTGAAGGCGTGCGGCAGCGTGACAAGCGGCAGCAAGTACCAGAGGGAGTACTTCACCGCCAACACCACGAACATGCTGTACGGCGTGAAGAGGAGCAACGCGTACAGCACCTGCGACGCCGTCCGCCCAATCAGGATGGCCAACGTCACGATGCCCACCTTCTTGTCAGACTCCGTGTCGCGCGTGTTGTTGCTGTGCAGAATGGCCTCCGTGTTGAGCGCCAGCGGAATGGCGTAGTAGATGGTCGTCCACTCGAAATAGCCCGTCTGCGCCATGTATGCGAACAGTACGGAAATCGGCCCGAAGATGATGAGGATCAGCACATCGCCCAGCGCGATGTACTTCAGCCCGATGCCGCCTGTGTAGAGGAAGCTGGAGCTCAGGCCGCCAAAATACACCAGCGCCAAGTGCTCCATGCGCGCCGGACTGAACATCGCCAGCAGAATGAAGCCCAAGCAACCGGCCAAGTACAGCACAGCGCCCAGAGACACGACCTGCAATCACACGCAGACACACTCTGTTAGCCCAAGTCTTCCTCCTCAGCCTACAATCTACATTGCAAGTTGACAAAGTGAAGATAAAATCTGGTGACTCAATCGAGTGCGTTGATCATTGGCGAACGTTCTTTGTTTAGTTACCCTGAATGTTACAAAATTATTTAAAATAAAGAAATTATCTGGTTTTTAGGGAAATAAGAATTTTTTATATCTGTTTTACTGTCATTTTTTGTTAGCCAAAATACACAGATATTTGATTTCTTTGATAGATTCAAAGATAGATCTTTAATAGATCGATTTATTAAAATCATTCAAAGCATATTGAATATGCACGGTTTTCCATAAAAAACATCATATGGAATTACGTGTGAAACTTCACATGTTAATCGTATGAGATTGTCATGCATATTTCACATGAAAACGTGTGAACGTGCGGTACCAGGGGATCAATTCTATTGTGTCACATGTATTTTCCAATAACGTCGATAATTAACACTGTTGTGATTTTGCAGCAGATTTTTCATGAAAATCTCTGTATTTTTCCGTGAAGGTTTAATTTCCCAATTGATCGTAAAGTGCATCAATTGTTTGTAATTCAATCAATATATAGATAAACATAGCGATATTTAAATATCTAACTTCTGAAATGCAGAAAACGTAATAAAATATGAATTATTGCATCTGAAAACCGAAAAAAACAATCTCTGAAAAAGAAAACATTCCTTTCAAATTCGTAAATTTTGTTTGTTTTAAACATTTTCCAAGCCAGAGGAAAGTTAAGATGCCATAAGATTTAAGCAATGATATGAACACATTATTATCCCATCTTCAAATTCTGTATCCAAGTCACAATTTATGTGATAAGAGGAAGATTCGAAAACCTCAATTTGCAATCACTTGACCTTCAAAAGACATTCTTCCGCAGAATTAAGCCCATAAATTTTTTACAATCCCAATGAAAGGCAATTGCATTACATTCAATCCATTCTTATCATCCTAACGTAATATAATTGGAATAATCTATTACATTATCTGTCGTCTCAATGGTTTCTTTTTTATTGAAAGTCTTTGATTTCCCGACATTTTAGCAAAGTAATGGAAAATTGGTGAAAAGATCTTAATAATTTAATCAGGGAAGCTTTTTGACTGTCTTATGTTAACAAATATCTCAGACTGTTTGGAATTCTGAGGAAAATTCAGTGCACAAGAATCATTTGCTCAAGAAAAGAAAAAAAAATCGAAACATTTAGAAAATTTTCTTCATCTTGCTACTGAAAAGAGATTAAAATCTCGTCTTCTTGGCGTCTGAAATTAACGTTCTTTGTTCACTTTGTCGATGAAATATGATAAGAATTTACGGGGAAAAGTGATTTTTGCATCCGCTCTTCGAGCAATTTCTCAATGAAGTGTAAATGCGAAACTTCTTTGAACAAAAAGCACACCTTATTTTTAGACAATTCCCAAACCCAGAAGATGTGGGAAATTTCATCTTCACATCAGGAGAACGCGAGCGCGCGAGAGACGCACGCTGATCAGTGTGTAAACAGAAGACCTTTAATTTATTGTTGTGCGAGGAATTTCACGCCGAGGGAAGAGTCCAGGATGGCGAGAAGAGCGCTGAAAGTGATCCGGAGGGAGAGATGCGAAACATCTGCTCACTGGCGGAAGCACAGGAAGTGTGCGTGGCGACACACAGGTCAAGTGGAGAGTTCAGGGAAGACAATGGGGGGCCTTTTCAGGCGCCCACACTCTCGCGAGTGGAACAGAGTGTCGCGCACGCAGTGCAAAACTGCCCAAACAAATAAATCGCCGACTCCCGGACAGCGTCTTGAGTGAATTGTAAATAAATATGTCGAAAATCAATGGGAAAAACCGGAGAAAAATGGACTTTGTTGGCAATGTTTGGACAACAGTGCAATAAATAATTATGCGCTGTTGCTCAGCTGAATGTTTACAGAATATTCCAGGGATTCTCACCTCGTCCTTTGTCAAGATGTGGTCCACAAGCGTCCGGTCGTCGGACTTGCGGTTGTCGATTCCCTTGATGAAGTCGAAGTACGTGTTGACGACATTCCCGGCACAGTGAACGGAGATGATGGTGAAGAGCGTGAGCAGGAACGTGAACACGTTGAAGTCGTAGGCATGGGAGGAGCGGCAGGCCAGCGCGGTGCCCAGGAGGGTGGGCACGAGGCTGGCGGAGAGCGACCAGGGCCGCAGGGCGAGCAGGTAGGTCTTGATCTTCATCAGGGCGGCTGGAGAGGACACGGGCTTCGGGGGCTGCGTGCCGTTAGCCTTCTGCACCTCCGGCGTCACCGTTAGCGGCGCCCGGATGTCCTCACTCACGCACGATGCCATTTGTCACACTCCAAAGCTCTTCTCGGCCTTCTCTTTCGCTCTCGCGCGCGTCCGGGAGTGCCCAGACAGAGACACCACGGATTACAGTTACACAATTGCAGGTTATGTCCCGCAAGAGAATCCAGTCTTCAGCTTACGTGCGGCTGCTGCTGTGGCTGTCAGACGATTCAGGGAGGGTTCACTGCCGGCACTGAAGCACTTGCAGACACTAAGAGTCGCGGATGTAGCACTGAAATCACTGAATCCTCATTCCCTCTGGTCCAGTCGACGTCAGCCCATCATCGCGTACACTCCGCTGGCAACCCGAAGTGAGCCGAGGCGGAAAAAGCCGCCAGGAGGCGCTGCTCGCTCGAATAACCTCACATTCTCCATTGTTTGTTGGTAAACAAAAAGGGTGGTTCCGCGAGAAAATCGCTCTTTTCGCCAGTCGATGGACTACAATACCAACAAATTGTGTCGCGTGTGTTTGGAGGAGGGTGTCCTCACGTCCATCTTCAACACCGAATTCTCCATGACGCCCTCAGACATGATCCAGATGTGTGCCAAAGTGAAGGTGACGTCAGGCGGTCTTCCCAGACTGTCTGGAGCCCCTTTTTTCACACCTCTTGTGCTTGCAGATCTTCAAGAATGACGGAATGCCCGCGGTGATTTGCAACAACTGCATCTACCGACTGGGAGTGGCGTATCACTTCAAGCAGCAGTGTGAGAACTCCGACATTCGCCTGAGGCAGTATTTGGGGCTCATGGACAAGGCGTACGGCACGCGGGACGCCGAGGTGAACACAGACGTGCCCTATCCACAGCTGAAGCCCAAGAAGGAGGAGCCACCGGAAGAGAAGAAGGTGAAGAAGTCGAAACCAAAGACGCAGCGCTATAAGCGAAAGTTGCCCAGCGAGAGGAAGAAAAGGGGCCCCAAACCCACCCCCAAAGTCCCCCAAACGTGCTACGAGTGCAGCAAGACCTTCAAGTGTTCGGCCCAGCTGGAGATGCACGTGCGCACGCACACAGGAGAGCGCCCCTTCGCCTGCAGCTACTGCCCGAGGCGCTTCGCCCAGAAGCACAATCTGCAAATCCACACCCGGACGCACACTGGCGAGAAGCCCTTCTGCTGTGAGATCTGCAGCAAGCAGTTCTCGGCGCTGGGCAACTTCCAGGCGCACAAGAAGATCCACACGGGCGTGCGCGACCAGATCTGTCCCGTGTGCAACAAGGGATTCATCACGTCGGGCGATTTGGCGCGCCACATGATCACTCACACGGGCATCAAGAATCACCACTGCGACACGTGCGGCAAGGCGTTCAGTCGCAACCGCGACATGGTGGCGCACAAGAAGAAGATCCACCTGAATGAGCGATCGGGGGAGAACTTCAAGTGTCCGGAGTGCCACAAGGTCTTCCCCACGGCTCTGAGTCTCAGCACGCACTTCCGCACGCACGGAAATGCATCCATCGTGCAGACCTCGTCGCTGGTGGGAGCGCCTCCGCCCCCACCGCCGCCAATAGCAGCGCCTACGGCCATTGGAGGAAGTCTGGGACCGCCAGGACTGGGAATAGGACTGCCACCGGCGGGCCTGGGAATGTTATCACACACGCAAGGGTAAGAAATCGCAGGGAATGCGGAGAGGAAAGGTTTCTAATGCAAATTTCACTCCACAGGACGCTGACCATGATGCACAATATGCCGCAGAGACTTCATCCCTACTAGGATCACCGCACGAGTGGGAATCTCATTAATTTATTTGCTAATCTATGAGGACTTTTAGTTTATGTCGGAATTCATTGAATGAAATAAAAATGCATTTCACGAAATATTAATTTTTATTAAAAATAAATTTGTCGGCTTTTCATGTTAGCAAATGCGCAAACCCAGTGAAACAAACGAAATGCAAAAGAAATTTCTGCAAAGCATGAAACGTATGAAAGGTATGAAATATAAATCTTTCCCACACAAAAAAATTTCATTAAAACAGATTTATCCCATTTATCCTTTAAATCCGAATCACGCAAGAAAAAATTTATTTTATATTTGAAATGTTAACATTTCTTATTTCTTTTTATTCCTTATTTTAATAATTTGGATTTAAAGAATGCTCCGCAGTGTATCTCTTCATTCCTAATCGCCATTGCTGCTCATGGAAACACAGTTTATTTTCATTTCAAAATATTTTTAAATAATCACGAGCCTTCAGCTCGACAAATTTGATCTTCATGATGTTTCCATTTGAATATTCTCCGTGATGAACTGAGAAATCCTTGGAGAAATCATCTCAGATGATCTGCGCGTCTTCCGGCGTCAGGCCCATTCATCGAAATCATGATTAGGTTCCGGGACGCCTTGGAATTGGTCCATTTTTCCGACGATCGCCCTGAACCGCGTGCACACATCCCTCAGTCGCAGCAAGCACGGAATGTTCAGGTAATCAAAGATTAAATACAAGCAATAGTCATTGAGGCTCAGAACTGAAGTCTCCATTTCAATTTTGTTGGCTTGGTTGATTTTGATAATCTCACAGGCTTTCTTCGGTTGGTTCGACCTATCTTCAGTCTTGATGTTCCTGCGACGTTTTTTCACGCTGATATTTTCAATTTTCACTTCCAATTATCCTTTTTAACAGAAACCACTTTCACAATGCGTTATCACGGCTTCCTCAAAGCACGCACTTTTGCAAAGATGACAGTTTACCCAGTAGGACTATGCCTTGGGATACGCGTACTTAGTAACCGGTTTGAAAGGCATACGGCCATATTGCAAGGCATCTTAGTACTTCTCCAAGATAAATAGACAAAAACGGCAAAAACCAAGGAGACAATTGAAAAATTTAATTCCGATTGTATTTAAGTCCGTGTATTCATTTTATCTTTTTCATTTCATAAAGTGTACGACTGGTAGGTATGTATTTATCCAAAGTATTATCAAACTAGAGTGATATCTCAGACAATAACTCATCTCTGCGCGTGATCATTACTTTTATCAATGATTAATCATCCGAATCATCGAAATCGAGGTCCTCTGAAGCGTCTGAATCTTGATCTGAATCCAAGTCTGAATCCGACGAGGAAACCGAGTTCGAAGCACTGGAGGTGTCGCCATAGTGCACGGAATCATCGGTGTCATACAAGCTGTAGAATTTGTTCATGAATTTGGGGCCGCCGTATTCTTCAGGACTGATCGCAAAGACTTTGATCTTATTGTTGTCGTCCAGTCGCATGCGTTTCTGGCGTTGCTTCACAAATTTCAGAATCCTCTGACCTCTCACGAAGACTTTCAGCTCTTTTGTCCTCTCGGCGCCGCGTTTCTTCAGACTGACAATGAAATCAGCAAGAGAAGTGGGGCCTCCAGTGATTTCCAGATGAGTGAGCAGTGGACACTTCATGACGAAGTGCAGGAGTCCTTCTTTAGTGATGCAGCGCCTTATGTTGTAATTGTGGAGACAGTTCACAATGGTTAGCTCTTCTAGAGTGTTGAACGATGCGATCATTATCAGTGTGCCGTCGAAGCTGTACTTCCCGTTGATTCGCAGCACTTTGAGCTTCGAAAATTTAGAGAGCGCCTTCATGGCACCTTTTGTCATGTCATGCGAAGCGATGTCCAAAAACTGAAGCTGATTCTTTTCTGCCAGTTTCTCCAGCAAGCGATCGAGATTGAACACGTTGTTGAATGTGATACTCAGCTCCTTCAAGGATGGCAAGTCTGCCAACACGAGAAAGTTCGATGCGGGAACCAAGGCAGGATGATTATTGAAGTTATAGAGGGTACTGATTGCGAGGGTCTCCAAGTTCTTCAGTTCCTTAGCAATCGTCTTGAGGCAGAGGCTATTCAAATTGCGACACATTGCAATGTTGAGGCTTTTCAATTCCTTATTTTGCATGCAAAACCTTATGAAGTACCGCGGAACGACTTCAATGCAGTCATAAAGAGCAATCTTCTTAATATTCGTCAGCACTGTCAGGCACTTTCCGTACATTTCGTAGTTCATTGAAAGATCGACAGACTCCAGACTCTGTGCATTTGCGAAAAAATTTGCCGCCAACTGATCCGTGACATCACAGCCGTCGAGACAAGCCTCCTTCAGATTTGCGAACATCTCTATGAGAATCTTGGTTGAGCCACTCGAGTTCCTAATGTCGCAGTCGATGAGTTCTAGGTTCTCCAGATTGCCACAATTCCTCAAGATATCGACAAGACTGCGAGATATGTCGCTGAACGTCTCCTTGTTGACCTTCAGAGATCGAACAAATGGCCCGAGTTTCGCTGAGATGATCTGCGCGTCTTCCGGCGTCAGGCTTCCCTCCTCAAACTCGTTAAAGTCCAAAACTCTTCGAGACTGGAATGTCTTCTCGGCGATCGCCTTAAACTCCTCACACACTTTCTCCATTTGCAATAAACTTGCGATGCTCAAGTAAGGGAAAACCAAGGAGAAAACCAAATAGAAACGATCATCGGACATCAGGATTGTGGTCTCCATAGGAACGGCCTCAGTGCTTTTGCGAGCTCTTTTCGGTTTCTTCTCACTTCCAGACTTCCTTTCCTTGGGATGCTTGCTCGAAACACCTTGCATAGTGTCCATTTTCTCTGTCCTTTTGACCACAAATTCACACAAATATTTCACAACGATCAATATGGCTTCCTCATGCGAGTAAAAATTTTTGACAGCTGCTTTACCCAGCGGAACATCACCTTACAGGACATATAGGAAACAAATATGCATACCTCAATGCATATGCCGAATGATACAATTTTCTCTCCAGGTTAAATGTATTACTTTTATTACTCCGATAATTGTTTCACATTAGACAAGCATCAATTGCGGTATAGTAGAAAAAATTAATAACAAAATAAAGTTAAACTTGCTGTAACAAAAAAGGTAAATCACTACCAACTAAATTGTATCGACAAAGTATCAATATCACAACACAAGGACTAGAAAGTGAAAAATTGCGCTCAATTGGCAGAAACTCAAACTCAGCGCGCATTCAGGCAAGCAGCAGCGGCTCCTCCTCGCCATCCAGTTCCAGCTCCTTCATGCTGGTGTCCTGCGGGAACTTGGCATCGTCCTCTCTGCCCTTGGCCGCATCGAAGTCCTCGTCGTGACTGCTCAGCGGCCGGCTGTAGTTGGAGAGCGCCGAGGCGGCACGATAATTGCTCTCCGAGTCATCGTTGGACTCGCCAGACTGATACAGGCGACACTGCTCGAGATACTCCGAAGGTATGAAGGACTGCAGATCCACGTCGTCCACATTCCCAAAATCCTGACTCTCCTCGTGATCCTGCTGCGTCTCCACCATTGTCAGCCACTGAGCGTTGTGATTCCGGAACTTCTCCAGCTGCAGGAAAAAGATATCTTCAGTAAAACGTCGTGAGAGTGAAAACAAGACACTTCACCTTGATCCTCGACGCCCAGTCCGAGTCACTGAAGGCTATGATGTCCAGGCAGTGATCGCAGACCTTCCTGATCTCCGTATTCTTGTCGTGCATCAGATCAATCAAGTAGGCCGGCGATTCTGTCTCTCTGATCATGTAGTTTCTGGTGCTCTCATTTCGCAGAATTTGCTGGAACACGAAGACAATCTGCAGCACGATCTCATCGTCCTCCTGCTTCGCCTTCAGCAGCTCAATCAGCGACAGGATGACATCCGCCTTGCACAGCAGCATCGCACACGACTCGTCGCACGCGCACGTGCCCAGGAAGACGATGGTGTCCAAGACAATGTCGTCCTGCATCTTTCCCGGCACCAACACTTGTCTGATCCACTGAATGAGATTGAAGTTGTGCAGAATCTGCGAGTAATCGAGATCAGGCAGCGCCAGATTGCCCAGAATGCCCAGGCATTCCACCACAAAAGCCTCCTCTTCGCACTCCGTGAGGATCTTCGCCAGATCGCCCACAAAGTCCACAAAGTGGATGCGCAGATTTTCATGGTGGGAAATATTACGGATCATCTTCATGAGTAGCGAGTCCTGATACTTGAACGCTCTCACCATCAAATTGTGCAGCCGATTGTTCTCAATCATGAGCTGCGCATTGCGCTTGTTCAGCGCCAAATTGATGGCGAGCGCGATCAAATCCATGTCGCACTTCTGATTGAGATTCAGCAGCAGCATGTCCGTGATTAGAGGCACACAATCTGTGTACGTGAACATTGACTTCACCTGCAACAGATGCAAAAAGATTCTTCAGTCATTTAGACAGAATAAAAATGGCTAACTAAAGCCTCTTCACCTTGTCATCCATGCTCATGTGGTAGAGAATCTTGAGGACGATGTCGTGATGCTTATCGTCACTGAGGAAAGTCACAAGTTTGGGCAGAAATCCCACACGGATCATCTTCCCCCGCAAAGCGCCGTCAAACGACAGATTGAAGATCAACTTGAGCGTGACTTGAATGAGATCCGGATGCGAACTCTGCAGAAGTCGTGGCAGTTTCTCCACCACATTCAGCTCGTACATCTCATCCTTGTTGTCCTTCACAATGGACAACTTCTTGAGGAATGTCACCACGAGAATGAGCAGATCGATGTTCTGCCGATCGAGCACCTTCACCAGCATCCTGATGATCATCTTCTTGCGTATCTTCTCCTCCAACTTCACATTCTCCGCAATATTGAGCAGCAAATAGAAGGCCACGCGCAGCAGTTGCTCCTGCTTCTTCGCGAAGATCCTCAGCTGCTTGCTCAGCCTCTCCAGCTCCTCCTTCTGCACCTTGGCATCCTTCTCCGCCTTCACGCCGCACTCCACCTCATTGCTGAGGAATTCGTGGTAGCTGTTGTTCATCCCACGAGACCTTACCAGTGGATTCACTGAGGACAGCGATCCGTGGAAACTCGACCAGTTGCCAGACTTTGGACGCTGCTTCAGCTCCGGAATTCGCCTTCTCGGCGGCTCCATGTCCTTCGGACGCTCCTCATTCATCAGATCAATGTTGTCGGCCGATTCTGTGCTCTGCTGCGCCACCACCTGCTTCTCCGCCTTCCCATCGTTACTCTTCCTCATCTCCACGTCATTCTTCATCTGCTCATATCGCTTCAGCTCATAGTCAATCACATCCATGCACAGCGATCCAATCTTGTGATTCACAATCACCGGATGAAAGTGCGTGTACGTTGAGAAGCAGAAGAAGATGTACACGATATTCGTGGAGAGGTCGAGACTCTTTCGCCAGTCCTCGCGAAGGACACGCGAGAGTGCACACAGAACTGCCTCATTCTTCTCCAACTCCTCCAAATTGTCCGGATTGCGCGCCAACTGCAGAATCAGCGCCGATCCCCGGATCTTGTCCGGCAGTTCATCGTAAAGCAGTTCAACGTACGTGTCGATCACACGAATTGACGCCTTCTCCAACTCCGTCGACGACACCATCGGGACCTTCTCACTCGTTGTCCGCGACTGAGCCCTCTGGTTGTCCATCTCTGCGAGAGAGCAAGCAAAAAAAAAGACGAGAGAATTAGCTCCAATTATCCAGCTCAATTGCCAGAAAGATCGTTAGCGCAGAGTGTCTAACTGCGGACCTTCCATTTGAAGTGAAATCGAGAGGTTTTCACAAGGCGCTTCATCGCTTATCAGAGTAATTCACTTTATTTCAATATAGAGACGATAGAGAACTGATAAAATGCTCTTGGAAATTGGTGTAATTCTAAACCTTGATAATATCAAGTGCACAAATAAAGTGTCATCTGATTTGTAATTTATCTTTTGCGTATTTTACCGAATTCCCAGAATAGTAGAATTACTACTGCTTCTTGGCGTATGCTAGAAAATTTCCGCGCCTTCGCACAGATCTCTAATTTCAAAACATACATGATTAATAGGAAAATTGCGCTCAAAGAAAGTGACTTAATTTCATAACAATCGCATTAATGGGCAATTTTTACGATCTCTCCCGTATCAGTGAGCATAAAATCAAAATAAAAGCGCGTAAGTTTGAGGCTGTTGAACGCACATGTGAGTTCAAACCGTTTCAAACACTTTCATTATCAATTCCTATTGATTTATATAATAATCCCATTTGGGATTCAGTGCTTGACTTCAGTGGAATCAATTCAATGAATAAAGTCCGCCTTATCAGCGCAGTCGCTCTCTACAATGCATGATTCATGGTAGGAGGAAATTGAGATTATTCGATTTGCGCTTCCCGGATGAATCACATCGCGCCCGCGAGAGATCTTCAGTGGAGATTTGGCGGGAAATGCCCTAACCTCACTTCTGTGAATGGGGGAATTTAGGAATCTCTCACCGCTGCCGACGTTGTCCCGACGGTTCTTCAGGTAGTAAATGATCTGCTCCACGTCCGAGAGCTGCGAATTGTGGATGAGATCGCACTTCTCCACCACTTCCCTGGCCAACGTGGCCGGATCGGTCTTGCCGCTGAGGTTCTTCAGGCGGATCACGCGCTGGCAATCCTGGGGAGCAGAGAGACACAGCCAGTGAGACTCACGGGCAGAAAATGAAAGTGCAAATCCACGCTAGGCAGCGTGAAAAGGCGAGAGCAGAGAAAAACTGGCCCCCGTCTTGCTTTTGTTTACCGTGGCGGCAACGCATGCGCACCCAAGCGGAGCGGCTGGATTGAGTAACGAGTGGCGGGGCCCCAGGCGGAGCCCCTGCGTGAAAGTGTGCCCAGGGCGAAGCGCACAAGCCACAGGGAAAGCCTCCGATCTCTACCCACCTTCTTCTCCTCCAGCATGGGGTCTCCGGGCTCCCCAAACACCGCCGCCTCGAGCTTGTAGTGCACAATAATGGCCTTCTCCGTGGGATGGGGCTCGATGGTGCCACCCTTCCAGCGTCTGCGGGCCACAACACAGGAAGCGCACAAAGAGAGGGACTTTAGAACAATGCACACAGAGCGAGTGCTGGCCCAGAAGGTCGCCCAGTGACCTTCCGGAGGTGTTAAGAAGTCTCAAGAGCGTGTCGTGCAGCTGAACGTTCAACTCACTTTTTTATGTACTTGGCATCCTCAGACTGCATATCATCGGTGATGAGGAAGGCGAGGATGTAGTAAATGTAGTGTACACAGAATAGCAACAGTATCAGACCCGCAATCAATTGGAAAACAAGTGATAACATACACAAAATCAATTCCACTTCGATTTTTCACACTTTTTTCTTCACGGAGCCATCTTTGACACTGAGCCACGGCACAGAAGAGCCGCACTGGCATGGCAGTTGAAACCCCCAAAAGCTCTCTCAAAATAAATGCTACAATTAATTTTATTCGGCAATTTCACCCTATTGGGACAATCAGATAATGCATAAAAGGAATTTGGCTATGTACACAAACACATGCAATATTTGTGGGGTGCATTTTAACCCTTCCTAGGAATTCCCACCGCTTTTAGAGCCTTCTTCCGGACTGCTCTCGGGCTCCGTCGTCTTGTTGTCCTCACGCAATTCCTTCAGCAATTCTCGATTGGACATCTGCAGCTCGATCAGCATAGTTCTCATGTTGTTGGCTCGCTGCTCGATTGCGTCCAGAGCAGAGTTCAGGGAATCCAAACTGTCGCTGACCAAATCAATCTCTACGGAAAGCAAAAACATCAAAACATTACACTGTTGCACTGGGCGGCTATTCTAGACGTCTTACCATCCAAATCGTCATTTATTGATTCGAGGATGTTGCCGCTGGTCTCCACTTTTGGCTTGGCATCTTTTTCAGGTGTTTTCGGTGCCATTTCCTCACGTTTTTCTTCAGAATCCATACAAACGCACGATAAGAAACAAAATGAAAATGACAGTTATCATATGATCAAAATTTCCCCTCCAAGCGCTTCTCAGCTGTTCTGTATCTGATTTGAAGGAACTGTTCCCAGTGAAAATAATATTTTGATTTCTTCCAACTTTATTGAGGATTTTCGTGGAAATTCAGCCTCAAATCCACGTGAAAAAGTACAGAATTTATCTTGAAGCAGTCAAAGTTGTTCTCTACTGATGGTTTTGTGATTTTTCAGATCAGACTAGATATTCACAGCGAAAATCACAATGTAAACAACTCCAGGAATATCTCAGGACAGGAATCACCGTAAATACTGAAATCTCCAGGATGCAGGAGAGCAGCATTAAATTCCTCTCGGACGCAGAGAAGGCCATCGTCCTTAAGTACTTCTACATGAACCCGGAAATGGTGGATAAGAGCAACTCAACTGACGTGCTGTTCACTGTTCTTGCCCAGGAATTGAATGTCTTCAGTGAGGAACTGCACGACAAAGGCTTCTGGCTGGAATCAATAGAGTTCTGGAAGGAGAACATTCGGGAAAACTACTCATATGCCAAGAACATCGGCAGTCTCGTTTCGTCTTATGAGGATCTTGAGTTACTGATCCTCATGAGAAACACCACGCTTGAGTCCAAGATAACCGCTCGAGGGAGAGCTGAAGACGATGCTCAGGACGCTATAAATTGCAGAACTTGCCTGAGTGCAGTGGATCAGGGCGTGTCCTTGAGTCTCTTCACATCCTTCGTGGACAATCTCTCGCTGGGACAACTGCTGAACTCCTGTGCTGACATCGCGCCGGTTGTGGAGCACGACGGCTTGCCCGAGATGATTTGCTTCAACTGCTCAAAGCTTCTAAGGTGTATTTACAACTTTAAGGTCATGTGCGAGCACAGCGACCGGCAAATAAGGAGCACGCTCTCTTCCGCGAAGAGGCCTGAAGGGTCTGAAGAGCCTGAGTTGGAGGGAAATGTTCCGGATCTGTTTGAGGATGACACAGTGTCTGTTTACCAGGTGGATTATCCGTATGAAGAGGATTTCAAGGAGTTGGAAGACTCTCTATCTGCCCCAGCGCCGCACGAGGACTCCTTAGTCGTCCAGGCGGGGATGAAAGCGCCAGAATCTGGTCAGCCGGAGATACTGAGGAAGACAAAGCGACAGAAGAGACCACCTGATCGACACCAGAAGGCGAGCTTCTCAAACGATCGGCCTCACGCGTGCGAATACTGCGAGAAGACTTTCCGCACGAGACTGGCGCTGAAGATCCACATCAGATCGCACACGGGCGAGCGTCCGTACGTGTGTGAGACGTGCGGCAAGGGTTTCAAGACCATCAGCTCCATCAACAACCATCGCGCCATTCACCTGTCGGAGCGCCAATTCCAGTGCCCGCATTGCGAATATCGCGCCAGCACGAAGGCCAACCTCAAGATCCACCATCGCACGCACACGGGCGTGAAGCCGTACACGTGTCACCACTGCGGCTCCGCCTTCATGACCGCCAGCAACATGCAGAAGCACATCCGGAACATCCACAAGAAGCTAAAGACGCACAAGTGCTTCGAGTGCGGACGCGGTTTCTTCACGAAGGAGAGCGCAACGAAGCACGCCGTCACACACACGGGCGTGAAGCCGTACAAGTGCCCCGAGTGCACGCTGGCGTATGGATGGTACAACGGCTTGCAGAAGCACATGCGGATCCAGCACAAGGGCGCTAGAGTTCCAAAGGAGAAGACCTTCCTCGAGGCGATGCAGGGCATTCGGGAAGAGCAGGAGGAGGCGCCTAAGAAGTGAAATCCAGTAACAAATATTCCGTTGAGGAAAGATTGGTTTAATTAAAAGAAAATGCAAGATAATTAATGTCAGACTTAAATAGTTTAAAATTCGTTAATAAACTGCATTTATATAATAATTCCAAATTTTGTATTTTTATAGCCATTTTTTATGTCCTTCGATCGTCCTGTAGATGTCTTTCCGCGTGTCTGTTGACTGTCACTTAATTGTCGCTCTGAGCGTCCCATATTTTCCCTCTGACGCTTTGGTTTTCCGCGGCTTGTTTAGTGCCCACAATAAAGAATGTAATGATAAGAATAAATTTTGTAGCATTCGTCGCTAATCACAATGCTTTACCAACCCCTCGAGCATCCTTTTAAACAAGGGTTTATCGTACAATATGCTTTGCGGGGTAAAAATCTCAGGAAAGAGTGGCATTTGTGCGGGTCGTTAGGCAAATCTGTAAAGACAACAAGACTCCCGACTGACTAAAATGTGACTCTCTCACTGGAGGAAGAGTGCAAATCCACACAGCAATTATTATTGCAAGGCAAGTGACGGATTTGATCTCAATTATCCGGTCAGACTCTCGAGGGTGGGCCTAATAGTTTGCAATCCCCTTTGAAGCTGCTCATGGTGTTGTTTCAGCGCGCTTCTCAGCCTCTCAGCGGATCACGTGCCACAATTGAGGAGGAAGATTCAGCTCAGGGGTTCGAAATAATTGGCACAATATGGGAATGTTTTTCCTCCTGTTGATTGTGTGACGCCTCGCTGTGCGCTCGTGAGAGAAATTAAAGTCTCACAGAGATGAAATTCAGCGTAATGATCCCACGTCACTGTTCGCGCCTCATTAAAATTCACCCCCTTCGCAATCTTCACATTGTTTGCCGAATTGACTTCAATCATTTTCAACAATGGCGTGTGCAGTCAGTTAGTAAACATGGATGGTTTTCTCTCCAATTTGTTAAAAGAAACATTTTTAAGCGTTCTTTTTGGCTAAAAATAGTCAGAATCGAAAGGCAACGGTTTAAACAGTGATTAAAAGCACGGTTTGGCCCACGAAAATAAGTTTTTTTTTTGCTTTAAAACGGTACAATTAGGGGAGAAACAAATTTCTATCGGGCATCCCTATATTGCAGATCTATATTTTTCTCCCCAAAACATTTTTGCGATTCTCTCTGATAGTGTTGCAATCTATTGTGCAAAAATGTTCACGAGAGAATAAAGTGTAAGGCGAAAATGAGGTTCAAAGACAGAAAAAACGAAGAAATAACTTGGCGTCACTTTTCTCACCAAGAAGCTGGCAACCCGTCCGAGCTCTTTCGCAGCAAATTCCATTCGATTTGAGTGTAAACCAAGGTTCATGCCTAATAAATCCCTTAGGCGGAGGTTTGCACGTGCTTTGGCAGAGCATTTATCAGCCCTTCTCACGCTAAATCCGCTCCTTGCGCCTTAGAATAATACTCAGAGCAGAGCGTGTGTGCGGTGTTAAAGTTGACGATTACAGATCTTACTGCTCTGGATCACCCTCGCCCATCCCAGCTGCCGCCCTCTCAAGGCCACGCAGTCCTGGAGCAGGGAGTCTTCCCGAGCGCGGCTAATTGAGAAATTGTCAGCTCTAATTGCCGCGCCGTTCCGACTCCCGGACCGCGGGTCCTTTGCTCATGCCCGGGCACGCAGGTCGCCATTTGCGTTGTTTGCCGAGCATCGATTCGATTTCACAGTGAATCTCGTGGCAACCAATGGGTGACTGAGAGGCGGGACTCCCGAGTGCGTGCTTGTAAATCTCGCCAGTCTCTCTCGGTCGCACTCACTCGTGCCTTGACGCACTTTCCGCACGCCACAAAGGTGTGGGGCCGCTGGGAAAGGGTTCTCGCGTGGCCAAGCTTAGGAGATCCCACATCTTCCCCGTCTCAGACCAGATTCCTGGGTGACAGATGTTCCTGACACTCTCCACGCGAAAGGCCCGGATTTATGATGTTTGTCTTTCGTCATTTTGCAAAATATCTTCCACGACAGCTTCTCCGCTGCCTTTCTTCACACAGCGCATTAATTTCCCTCCTGATCCTCGCGTGAAAACTTCTCTTTGTCGCCCCTGCTCAAGTTCATTGGCTGCGCTTGAGCTTTTCAGGCGGTAAAGGCCGGTGGAGGAAAAGAGCGACTGGCCAAATATTTGAGCATGCTTTTTTGTGGACGATTTGTTTGCACACCGAGAGATGTATTAAAGAAGCTGAACGAACTGCCGATATTTTTTGCGCGGGTGGAAATTTTGTGGATCACATTTCATATAATTACTGGGCAATGGTCAGAGTTAAAAGCAGTGCAGATAAGAGATTTGGCGATTTTGTGGGTTGCTGCAATTCAGAATGATCTTGTCATTAATAAATATTATAAATTTCACTTTTCTATATTTTGCAAAACTTCGTCATTCAAATGAATTTATTTGATTTATTTATATTTCTTTTTCAATCCATTTTTGGGGGGAAATAGAACTAATAAGGACTCATTTTTAGACCTTAGAATATCGATTTTTCTCTAAAATTTTGTTAAAACTTCATTCAAATTCACTGTCGTCAATTCAATTGTCGACAACTTTAAACCAAAACACTAAAATATGTTCACCTTTTCATTAAAGCAACACAATGGACTGGAAAGTATGGAAAGTATTCAATATGGCAGGGAAAGTTATTTCTTCTCTGAATCGCTCAATTACTAGTGTTTAAAAAGGAACCATATTAAGGTTTAGGTGAATTAGCAAGTTATGCATCCTCATGATCTCTAGATGAATTCCTCCAACTCTTGGCGGCCACGAGAGATGCTGCGGTCTCTGTCGGTGTGCAGACCTCGAGAGCGGGCATTTTCCGTCATCTCTTTCGCGCCGGATCATCCAGGCTGCGCGGAGGCACAGCACGGGTCACGTCGCCTGTTCCCTCTGACACACAGCGCGGCAGCCGGAGCGAGCGAGAGGCTCCGACCCAGACAAGTTGGAGGAAAAGCTGAACAATCCCGAGCCTCAGTTACAATTGTGCGTGGTGGGAAAAACATGCGCTCACTTCTGCAGAAAGAAGCTCATCCATTACACATTTGTCACTGCACAATGCATCCAGTGGACATCCTTGGCTAATTGACTAGGCATCCTGCTGGCACGCTCCTCTTCTCACCTGGCCGTTTGCGCGTGTGAACTTCCGAAGCCATCGAGCGCGGTGGGAAAGAGAGTTTTTGGTCCAAAGTGAAGCTTTCCCGTGACTTTTTCCTCATTGAAAGTGCGATTTGTGTAATTTAGGACGAAGAGTACATATTTAGTGATTGAGTTTTGGACATTAATCAAGACTAGAGAGAGAGGGAGAGAAAAGTTGTGATTTTCCAACTGAAATGTGCTCAAAGATGCTCTGCCGTCGGGTGTGAATTTCACAAGTGCTGGTGATCTTTTCTTCCTGGGAAATTCTCAGTGGATTAGTAGGATTTCTGTGAAGGACATTCTGGATATTTATCACTGAACTGGTGAGTTTTTTCCCGCCCTAAATTGTCTCAATTGTTACTCTTTATTACACCCCCGACGCAAATTTTGGTTGGTGTTCTTTGGTGGAAAATCACGTTCTTACATTCTCTGACCCAGGGATGTAATTGTTCTGATCACGTTTAACACCTCACAATGGGGTAGAAGGATCATTTCCTTTCGCTTTGTTGTCCTGCGCCACCCAGTAAAGGCAGGAAGAGGTCACAATAGACCCGCATATTTTACCAACAGTGTTAATATCCGTTAAGTTTGTCGTCGAATTTGAGGCAAAAACCCATAAAATAAGAATCGGGAATCGGGGGTGTATTAAAAATGCTACGCCTGAATTGGTGCATCTTCCTCTCCAGAAAGGCGAGAAGCGAGTGAAAATCTTCAATCCGTGAAGAAATTTAACGAGGCATAAAAATGCTGACACTCGGATTTCCTTCAGGGAGACAAGGATTTAAGGAGCATCTTCAGTTTCCCTCCCTTCCTTTTGGGCTGCTTAATTAAGAGGAAGTTGATGTTTCGCTTGTTGATGCCACTAGAGATGCCTGAACCGCGCTGCGATCGAGGATTTCCTCCTTTGTCTGGGCAGAATCTCCAGTGAATAGAGTGCACTTTCATTCTTTACAGACTCTTTCCCCGCCATCGCGCGCCATTGAGGCCCACGACGAGGAAAGGCTGAAGAACTCGGTGTACTTGGGAGTATAATTTGTGCTATCGTCAGCTAAAATGGTTACGTTGTGTTGTTGTTTTTTGCCCACTCATATTTCTTGTTACATGAGGAGCACAACCTAAACAATATTACCAACTTGAGCTGCGAGACTTGATCTTTGAGATGCTGTTTTGCTACTGAAAACCCAATCAATTCCGAGAGAGAAAAATATCCCTTCAGCAATTTGTGAAATATCTGATTTCCGGGGAAAAACAGGTTAAAGATTTATTCCAAACTTCCAACGAAAGTTCAACACCCTTGAAAATGGATTTTGTCTTAATTTAATAATCGCTCTTAATTTTTCTAAACTTCTTGCACGTTTAATTTGCGACCATTATTGACGTTTATCCACGATAATTTGTATGATCACTCAAATTAGCAGTACGTGATCATAGAATCACACTCACTGATTTCCCCAATGATTGCGATGCTCCCGCAGACGTGAATCATTCCGCGTCCCATAATTGCGTTATGTTCCCAGAAATTCGCAGAAATTCGCGAGTCGACAAAGGGCGCAAAGTACAGAAATTTGCATGCGATTTCACTGTGGCGTGGACAATTGAAAGTGGCTGTGAGCAAAAATAATTCTGCTCGTGCGACTCATAATATTTGTCAAAATACTGATGGTCTTCCTTTGTGCCGATGCCAATACGGCCGGAGAATTATTTTGCTCAATAAAACCACCATGACGAATTGAGTGTTGAGTGACCTGCACTTCTTCTGCCTCATTTGTTGCACAGCGCCTTTTTCTCCCGGCGAGAAGAATGCCAATTTAACGATGACCACGTCGACGAGAAGAGGTCTCAATTCCAATGACTTGGGTGGTTCAATTATCGCGGTGAAAGAGATCAATTTCAATTAGCACGCTTTGGCTAATGCCACAGTCAAAAGTCCACACCTCGGATTTTGTGGCCCAACTGAAGGTGGTCCAACGTTTTTCACATGGCGCGACCGTTTGCGAGAAAAACGCTGCCGCAGCACTTTGTCCACATGGCTTTGTTTAATTATTTTGCCTCTCTTGTAAATAACAATTATGACTCGGAATTGATAGTTTGTGGCACAAGTTCATTGTAAAGGCTAGAAGGAGAATGCCTCGCTATGTTTTTACACATCAAACTCGCGAAAGAAATGAAGAGAGAGTATTGCAAATCAAAGCTTTCCTACTTTTCTCACAAACTAAACTTCCTTTACAGCTTTTTGCACATCACTCCTTTGTATTTCCCAACTGATATTCGCTTAATCCCTTCCAAAATTGATGAGCAGCGAATTCAATGAATAAAAATTAAGAGGTCACTGCGATATTACTTTCATGATAAGAAGGATTCGAGTGCTAAAAATCATTTAGAGATCATAAATAAATATAAAATTCAATGACTTCTTGTCAGTTGAAATTCGTATAAAATTTCTTTCATATTTTATACTAGCAATCGCCAATATAAGCTATGAAAAGCGAAAAGTTGCATAGCCAATTCGTAACTTTTACGAATTCAAATACAAAATCTGGAAAGTTACACAACTTTCAGCACATTGCGAAGCATTTCGCCTCTCCACTCGCTAGGGTTTCTTTTACTACTTCCAGTCTGAAGAGTTATTGAAAAAAGACAGCGATATGGAGGAGTAAACAATTAACATGGATGCATTGTTGGCACAAAGTCACGGTTTATTTTGCATAGATATTTTTGCGACAAGTGTAGTTGAAAAAATCATGTTTCAGTTTTGTGTCCACAGATTGTTTTCACTAACTTAACGACAATGTCAGAGTCTTTTCGGATTAATTGCTCGCCTTTTTTCTCGACTCACCCATTTTCACTCATTTTCATGTCCATAACTCTTTAGTTGATTGGAGACAGTCGCATGGAAAAAGTGCCTCTCGCGCGCGGCTTGAAGATTTATTGCTGCCGAAAGGAAAGGATTTTTCTACTCCCTCAAGTGATTACACACCATATATTGAGTGCTATTTGGAAGGAAAGCCTTTTTGTTTGGCTGTTGGTGGTGAAAATTGTGGGCGCGCGATTTGGTGTTGTTTTCCTTTTGGTGAATGTTGTTCTGAGGAGGATAAATATCAGAATAAATCCTCTGAGAAAATACCACAAGATGGATGACGCCAGAAGTAAGAGAGTTTCTCAGTTTTATTTGCTGTTTATTTATTTTTACACACATCCGAGACAATCCACTCCATAATCCCCAACTGCTAAGGGGATCCATATAAAAAGTGAGATTTAATTACAACGGACTTATAGCGCTTCAGGAGGAGATTTAGAACACTTCTCAGCTTTCTGGTCGTATCTTACAGCCTCGTGCGCTTCCTTTTGCACAAGACCTGCTGATTTGTGTGAGATTAATCCCTTAATTTCAGTGACTAACCATAATTGCTGCGGACGGAAAGAAAGCCTGACTGATTTATTGATAAGAGTTGTTGGCTTTTTTGTCAATTTTTATCGCGTTTATTGACATCCGCATGATATACTTGTTCTTCAATGGAATTTATTAAAGAGATTTGCGGGAAAACCGAAAAATATACTATTTTTACAACTACAAAATCAATCCTCTTTAACCCATATTCCAATGAAGTCTTCATTCGTCTCTCCATCTTCTCGTCGTGGCCGAGATTCTCAGAGTATTTTCGGGAGCCAGTATTGTACCTTTCTGAAAAGGATAAACATTGGCCCTCCTACTATTTACTAATTGGTTTTGAACGTGATATTGACGAGAACGTGCTTTTCCCAAAAACTCGCCTTCCCTTCAACATCGGCGGGTTGAGGAGCACCAAATCTCACTCTTGGGTTAACTTTATACGCTTCTTCTCTCTCTTTTTTCTGCTGCGGATGGGAATTTATTTTCGGCACTGGTCTTTGAGTCTGCTGTCGAAGGGGTGGAAGTCAGAGGTGATGCCTTTTGTCCGCCAAGGGACTCCTTTTCGCCCGTAAATCTCGTGCGGCGAATAAAATGGTGGCATCGGAGTGTGAATTGTTCGGGCAGTGAATGGGAGAGACTGCGTCTGCAGTGATATGCTAAATCTCAATGCTCAACATTCCCACTAATCCCCATCTAGGATGCCACGGCAGGCGTCCAATTGAGGCATCGCGCTTGTTCCGTTTAAATTCTTTTGTATCACTTCCCATCGGCCATATAAGTGCCAAACTAACCATCACTCTCCGCGTCACAGTCGGGGATTTGCTGTCCCACTTTGAGGCCCCTCGAGCGCGAGGGCGACTCTCAGATGTTCCTTCTGCGACATTGAAAGCCGGCACGTGATTTTATGCCGAATTTTTCTCGTGATGCTAACGGATTCATATGTCTCCGCCGAAGGTTACCACAGACATTGATTGCTGGCGGAGCATGAGAGAATTTTCTCACTTTTCACCGCATGTGCGACGCAGAGAGGGAAAGTGGTGCAACCACGATTAATTTTACCCACTGCGACGAATGAACTTTTGATCACTGGTTTTATCGAATTTTAACTTCAAAAGCCACCATTTTTAGCGGCAATTGCCTTTTACTCATTAGGTATTTAGAATGGTGGATAGGAATTGAGCTACTGCTTCCTCAAATTCTCTATTTGTCCATTCAATTAGCATAAATTCTCTTATGTTCTTCCCATCTCTCCCACCTTCAAGGGTTTTCTTCGGTATCTCTTGCCCTTCTCTTACTCACTAATTGTTGTATATTTACAACCGAAATAAACACATTTTATCAGTTGCATTGTCCTCTCTCGCACCTTCCAAATGCCCCACAGATGGCCATAAACAACACCTCACACTTTCTTTGGCCATTTCATGCGGTGCCAAAAAGGACAACGCCATAAATCGGAAGGAAAGTGTGGGAATGCAAGGAAGAAAAATGCAAATTTTCGTACGTTCCCACGAGAAAACTCAAGCCCGGCAGTTTTTGTGGTGCATTTTTGGGGAAATACGTCATCAGGTGCAACATGTGCAAGTTGTTAGGAGGTTAACAATGCGATGAGCAAGAGCAAGGCGTCTCGAGAGTTCTGAGGACTCAATAGTTCTCTTGCAGGTGAATTTCAACCAACTCTCTTTGCTTTATTGTCGTTTATTTGCTCTGTGCTTGTGTGGCTAAGCTTTGGCAAAGTGCAATAAGATTAGCGATAGACTGAAGAGTGGTTTAAAAGAAAATCGCATTGGATTGAAAGTTTTAAAATCTCTCAAATGTGTAATAGATGATTAACTTTTAAAGGACTTCAGAACGTGTAAAATGTAAGAGGATTCTTTTCTGAAGATTACAAATCCCTTTAAGAGATTTCACATAAAACGAAACACAACTTATTTCATGCGTATATTCTTGTCAAGGTAGAGATAATATTCCTTAAATGTGTACACCACAAATCGCTGAAACTTCCAGCATTTTAAGGCCCTTGAGACTTTCTAACAGTTCTGTTGAGTAATACACAATTTTTGATCGTATTATCTTCTCCTTGATTCTCGCATCAAAAAGCGATTTTTTTTTTATAAATGCTATTTTTCGCCACTTTTTATCCTGTCATAAATGCGCTTTCGGCGTTGGTGAAATCATTCCGGGAAAAGTCTCACCTGATTGCAGAAGAGCAAGTGAGAACCTCCCATCATTCAGGAAGGAACTATGGGAAACGTGCCTCAGGTAAATCCTCGAAATTCCTTCCTTTACGCCAACCAATCACCATCGCAGACACCCTGGCGACCGCTCCTTTGTCCCGAAGGCACGCACAGGCTCGGCCATGATCCACGGTCACGGGATCAATCAGTCGCTGGCAGGAATTGTGACAAGTGGATTTTCTGTGCCTTTCCGGTCATCGATGATCAGTGAGGAGTTCTTGAGGCAGTTTAAGCGAGCAATGAAACTGGATCGTCAACCCTTCGGCCGCTGCAATGGCAATATTTTGGGTACACAAAGTGTTTTATCAAATGGCCTTTTAACTGCCCTGTAAAAAGTGCCTGATTTACGATATTTGCCTTAGAGAGAGACCGAGTGTGGTGTAATTATTTCTGCCCGGCCAGAAAGGTTTAATGGTGGGTTCGGGACGCGCCATCCAGTGAGATTTAATAAGCTGAAGCCACAAACTGCAAACAAGGAGGTCATTGAGAGATGGATTTTTACTGTTATTGTGTCTTGGTTGGATTATTTATGGGCGATATTTATGGAATGTCGCGGGAGTCTCTCAATTTGTACACTTCCCCCGGCATGGGAATCACTTTTATTGCGCTCGCTCCACAAACACACGATTGAACTTGAATATATTAACTGCCAAGGACTCATTTGGAGGGTGTTAATTCCCTTTTATGGGCCACCAATGGGTGCGACAGAAGTGCATAATGAGCGCAATCGCAAAGGCAAATAATAATGCCTCGTCATTTGCAGGATTATCAGCTCGTTGCGCCATGAAGGAGAAGAGCAAGAATGCCGCGAGATCGAGAAGGGAAAAGGAGAATGCGGAGTTCATGGAGTTGGCCAAATTGCTGCCACTGCCCAGTGCTATCACATCACAGCTAGACAAAGCATCTATCATTAGACTAACCACATCGTACCTGAGAATGCGACAAGTTTTCCCCGATGGTGAGTATAATTATTGCAATTCTAAAACTCCTCTCTCTCTCTCTCTCTCTCTCTCTTTCTGGTATGCGAGAAACTTTGTACAAGTAGTTCATGCAATGGTTACACCCCTTATTTTTGATTCACCCCTCGTTAAAGCAAACGGCGCAAAAGCGCATGCAAAATGGCTCCACCAAAGTTGCTCTTTTAATGAGCAAATTTCCATTTTGAGAGTCTTCATGAGTTTGCCATCGAATTAATTCAAAATTCCCACTCCGTGCGCATTTGATATTTAAATCAATATCCCATGAGCGCCTTTCCTGGCTGCGATAAGAGCCTGACATTCACCATAAAGTTTCAAATTCGACGCACAATACAGCCCCCGAAAATGGGGATGCAGAGACAGAGCCGCGTCTAATATCGTTAATCTCGGCGATGAAAAGATTCTGTCGTGTTCCTAATTTCAATATCAATATGAAATTTATTCAAGTATCACACTTCCCGCTTCGCCATCGCGATCTGTCGTTGGGCTTTGGGTGATGTCGTGAGAGGCCATCAATGGAGAACCCTCAGTATCTGGGCGGTTGATCAAAAAATTCGCTTTATTGAAATCCACTCGCTTTGTACAAACTGCTTTACTGTCTGTATAGATTAAGAGGGTTGGATAAATAGGCGACAAAACGACACGCATTCCTTATTTTGTAGACACTCGCTCAGCTCAGCAGGATGTCTTTTGCCACCCCGAATTCCTGTTAATTGGACGCTTTTGGCGCAGTAGTGTTGAATTAATTAACACCAGAAATGATCATTATGAAAAAAAAGCAATGAATTTCGATGAACTGCCACGGCAAAGAGACTCAAGGGAGTCCTCGAGACTGAGATGATAACAGTGTATCCCTGTGGCCTCTCGATGTCTCAGGCTGTGAAGATGGGGAGGAGAAGAATCATTGTGCAATCTTTTGTCGACGGCTTCTGGTTTGTACTTGAGTAAACATTTTTGCCGGCTCCGAGAGGGGCGCAATGGCACAGGGGCTGTGTCGCCTGGAGGGGTCGAACACTCGACAACCGCCCAGCCACATTATATGCATCGCAGTGCCATTAAATCTGTTTGCAGCTGGGTGGTGATTACGCCGAACGGGGATGCCCGTCGATGGGAAGGGCGTCAGAAGGATGTTCATGTGCAAAATTGTGCTGACAAATGATTTTTTTCCTCCTCGAGCCACCCTCGAATCACTGAGAAAAATTCAGCGCCGTCAATTTTCCGCACATTTTCACATCACTTTTGCTCTCCGATGGGGAAAATATTGAGCGTATTTGTTCCGGTTTGGCGCTTTTGAGCGCGTTAACGCATGATATCACAAATTACATCCCTTGAAATTTCAAAGGAAAAGAGTAACTGCATCGTGTGCTCAATGTAATTAACGTGTTATTAAGAGCAAAACAATTCTCTCCTGCAGGACTGGGAGATGCTTGGGGAACACAACACATGCCTTCAAACCCTAGAGACTTGGCTATCAAAGAATTAGGATCACACTTACTCCAGACACTGGACGGCTTCATTTTCGTGGTGGCGCCGGATGGAAAGATCATGTACATATCGGAAACGGCTTCGGTGCACCTGGGCCTAAGTCAGGTGGAGCTCACGGGGAACTCCATCTACGAGTACATCCACACCGCAGACCACGAGGAGATGGCGAACGTGCTGTCTCTGCATCCCAACGTATTCACAGTGCCACCCTTTGGTGTCACCGGCGGCGGTTTCCACCAGCCAGCGCAGCCCCCGGGACCCCATCTGCCCCCGCCAGGCACCGCAGCGCCCCTCACGCCGCCTAACTCCGTGCACAGCACGCCGCCGACCTCCGCGGCCCAGCCTCCGGCTCCCAACCCGCCCGGCGGCCTGGCCCACCTCCACGGCGTCCCGCTGAACCACCAGGCGCAGTCCTCGCAGACGGTGGAGATCGAGAGGTCCTTCTTCCTGCGCATGAAGTGCGTCCTGGCGAAGCGCAATGCGGGCCTCACGTCGTCTGGGTACAAGGTAAGGGTCTCTGCGACGAGCCGAGTGAAGTGCAGCAGTCCAATTAAAATTAGAGTGAAATGCAGTTTTGCACATCTCAGTGCGAGGATTTATGCAGGAGCACGAGTCAAAAATCTCACCTAATCATTAGCTGCAATCTCTCCAGGACGATGGTGTGCAATCAATGCACTCTTGGCACTTGAGTATTTGCGGAAATTTGCCCGGGATGAACGAAAAAATGCAAATAAGTGCAATTTTGAGCAGGATACGAATGTGAATATTTTATAGAAAAGCGCGCATGAGGATTTTATTTAGAGGAATACTTTCTCTGCATATAAATATTTGAATACATTTAAATTGTGAAACAGAAAGGAAATCTGTATTGCACGATTTTCATATTTATTTATTCATATGCTGTGGAAACCATGAAATATTTCTCTTTGATCCTGTTTATGCTAATATAACACAAAGCATTGACAAAGGATACTTTTAAATTATAGCGTCTTAATATTGAATTTTTGGATGATAACAACGCAAAATTCATGTTATAATGATAATAATTATGGCACTGCAGTGATTAGTTAATTTAATTGAGTCTCCAACTTCTTGACTAATTGCCATTTAATTTCCGAGAACTTTCGTTGCGCTCCCATCGTAAATTTTCCTTCTTATGGGTCTTTGGCACTGCTGGGTTTCCAATTAAAAAGGCGGTGACGGAAAGGAGTGTGGATGTAATGCCAAAATGCAATTGTAGATCAAGTGGCGAAATGAGAACAAAGCGCATTTTAATTATTTATTTGCCACAAATCACGTCTTTCAGCTGTGCTGTTTTTGTTGAATGTCACGTTACACAAACATTCTGCAACATTGTTTCAATATTTATCAAATATTATTGCACAACAGTGTGAGCTTCCAATTCCATTAACTCGAATGATTGGAATTGATTTAAAGTATTATTTTTGGAATATCATTTCATTGACTGTTGGTTTTCCCGGGAATCATTCAGGTGATCCACTGCTCGGGCTATCTAAAGGCGAGAGTCTTCCAGATGGACTCGCTGTACGGCGAGGGACACAGTTGCGTGCAGAATCTCGGACTAGTCGCTGTCGGCCACTCTCTGCCACCGTCAGCAATCACAGAAATCAAATTGCATCAGAACATGTTTATGTTCCGGGCGAGCATGGATCTGAAATTGATCTTTCTGGATGCGAGGTGAGTTCACGCGTGCAAATTTGTCGTGTGTATACAAATTAATAAGAACAATATACCACTCGATGGGAAATTTGATATCTTCCGGCTGCGAAATGAGGGTTGCGCGCCTGTAAAAAAGCGTCTTTTTTTATGGCACTGAACAGAGAAACAACACACCCTCCAGTGTGGCGTGAAAGTTGATAAGAGTGACGCCGAAATGGTGGTGGATCGATCGGCAGCAGCCCTATTTTGTACAAATATTTGTTGTCTCATTCAAAGTGAATTCACTGTAAATCCGCAGAACGTGTTAAATCTCATTTGCACAGTTCGTTCTCCGTCACTCGCGTTGAGTATGGCACAGAGATGGAAGCTGTCGTTATTTTTATCATTTTCCAAACCCACCCACAATTGAAAAGTAAGTTTGCAACCCTTCTGCTTGCAGAGTATCTCAATTGACGGGCTACGAGCCGCAGGACTTGATCGAGAAGACGCTCTATCAGTACATCCACGCCTCCGACATCCTTCACATTAGACACTCGCATTGCATTTGTAAGTATACGCCAGGACTATTTGCCACTGTGCTCTATTTGCTAAGAAATTAGGCGTCGCGTGGGGAAACTTAATGGCCGGGAATGAAGTTGTAACATACAGCAGATGGGATCAAATATTACACGTGCTGGCAGTTTTGATGTGGGTTTAGCAAAAATTTATATATTTAAAGTGTGGGCTTTTGAAAGTTTGGTGCTCCTTTGTAATCATGAATTCTACTCTCCTTTCAGTGATGTGGAAAGGCCAGGTGACCACGAAGTATTACAGATTCCTCACGAAGGGCGGAGGCTGGACGTGGGTGCAGTCCTACGCGACTGTCGTGCACAACACGCGCTCATCGCGACCGCACTGCATCGTGAGCGTGAACTACGTGCTGAGCGACCAGGAGTGCAAGGATCTGTTGCTGAATGAGGTGCAGGGACCAGTGCGGAATGAGCCTGTCCTGACGCCTCAAACGCCTCCTCAGCTTCCGCCAGTGACCACCGCTGTGCCGGCCGTTCAGCACCACCAAGTGCCGACTGCCCAGGTGCCAGCGACGCATCACCACCACCCACCGCCGCCGCCGCAGCCTATGAAGGAGATGACAGGGAACTACCAGGAGTACGAGCACTACCACCCCTATCTGCACCAGCAGCCAGGCATCCAAGGAGGCGAGTTCGCGTCGGAGAATGCATACTATGACTCCTTCTTCACCACTTACGACAATCACGATCCCAGTGCGGCGCTGAGGCCGTTTTCAGCCAGTTCCAACAGCTGCAGCAGCTCAGAAGGTAAGTCTCCCGTTCTTGAAACTTTCAACGCGAGTCTTAATTTTTCCTGAAACATTCAATCCTTAGGTGAGCAACAGATGTCGGGCATGCACATGATACAGACACCGCCCATGACAGCGCAAACACAAACCTCCGGCTACGATGAGCTGAGCCACCATCAGCAGCAGTTCAGCAGCATGCACTGCTTCGGAGCGGCTGCGCCCGGCGGCGCTGGTGCCCTGCACCACCACCACGTGGCGCCACTGTCGCACGAGCCTGTGTTCGCAGACTACAAGGCGACGCCAGGGCCGCAGTACACGAGCGTGATCGTGGAGCCGCAGAACTACCACATGCCCAACGAGTACGTCCACTGAGACGCCATTCGTCGCTGCACCGACGTGATCTGGATTTAATTTATTGCACAGTGTCTAAACGATTATTGGTCCCGGATTCGACAAAATCAATAAAGCGAATGACAATATTTTAATTGTAAAAATGTCGTGAGAGTGAATCACGGTGTGGACATTTATGTAAATATGCTCCCGGTTTGCGCGCTTCTCACACTTAACAATCTCCCGTCCTTCCATCTCAATTATGTTGCATCAAATGGAGCATGAAGAGAGTCACATAGCAATCAATTTTATTGCAATAACTGATGCAAGAGGCAGAGGAATAATTGCCCAGTTGAGGGGACAGCAGCGCGAGAAGCACCTCAGTGTGTGCGCACTGATCGATCTTCAATCTCTATTAAAAATTTATGGAGATCGCAACGTTTTCTTTCATTTTCTTCGCGACGCTTGGAAATCTCATTTGCAAGAAAGCCACAAAGAATGTATTCAATTCACAGAGTATTAACTGCTTAACACTTCTCTAAAGCTAGCGACGCTGAAATTCTCTTAAAATTACTACGAATTTCTTATGCAATCGATGCATTCTAGAAAGGTTTAATTACTTCAGTTTTAACCATGCGAAGGAGTGAAGGAGGACGTTTCGGGAAGAGATTCTACAGGCGAACGCTCGTGAGTGGGAAATGGGAGAGAAAGGTATCGCCAGCGCAGTGTTTATTGGGAGAAAGAGGTGAAATGCGAACGCCTGGTACCCGGCGCCTCCACTGGGCGTTGAGTGAAACATTCCAAGAGTGGTTGGTAAAATAAGTATTTTATTTTAGATTGCTCTCTTTCACTTGTAAGTTTTCCTTTTTCTTCACTTGTTCTCTGCACTGTAGAGTGTTGTATTATTTATATAACAAGCGCGGTTAATCATTATTATTATTATTATTTTTATAATACAAGATGTTATTTTGTATAATATACATAAGTAAGTAGATGTCGTATAATTTGTTTTCTCGTGTTCTCTCATTTGTTTTGAGTTAGAAAGAAAAAATCTTTGTATACATTATTTGCATTTTAGAATTACAATTACTTCCTTTATACACGTTTTTCATCTCTTCGCGCTCTGTATCTCACTTAATTTATGAATATCAAAATAATTAGTAATAGATATTTGCGTGTTTATTATCTCTCTCTCTCTCTCTCTCACTCACTCTCGATTTACGCTATCTCTTCGGCATTGCAAAAATTCCGAGAGACTGGGTTGGGAGAGAAGGTAGAAAAAGAAACTTTAATGCTAGCATTTTGTATAGAGACTATAAATTTATTAAGCGATTTCTTCGTTCCTATGATAAGAATATTTCTTGTATCATTTAAATTACATTTTATTAATTCAACGAAAGCATATTGGCTGTTTCTCACTTTATCATTCTCAAGTGTTTATCTGTTCTTGTTTTCTTTAAATTACTTTACAATAGTTTTAAAAAGATAAATAATAGAAAAGTAGCTCAAAATTTGACATTATTCTTCTTCTTTTATTGCTGTTGCAGGAAAAATTAAGTGTTTTCTTCTTTAACGTTTGCTTATTTAGAAAATCTTTATTACTTTTACAACAGAGTAAAGAATATTAAGTGTATGTATAATAATAATTATAATAATAATGCAGGAGGTCATTCTCTGTTCACTGACAAGCTCTCTTACCTTCCCATCGTCCGCTCCTTCTCTCTCCTCTGCCTTTTCATCAGTTCGAATGAAGGATAGTGTCCTTCATCCCTTTGACTTGCTTAAATGTTTTACCTCTTCAATTTTCTATCGCCTATAAAACAAATAATTTAGTGAGACATTTGAAACGTGTCCTTTTTTCTCGGGCCTTTTTTCTCCTCAATTTTTTTTTAGCTGTGTTTTCCTCTCGACAAAAATTTGTAAATGACAAGAGTTTCTGAATTTTTTTTTTCTTTCTTCTTCCTATGATTATAAAAAATTACTCCATCACCCACTTCAGTCTTCTTTGGTACGTGGTAACAACAGAACTTAAAACACTAATTGCTTCACTTTCCATTCTAAAAAAAAAACAAAACGTCGAAGCCAATTTGTTGCGATCCTCTTCGAAAATTGAATAATAACTATCCAATTGATTTTCTGTAAATAATCGTGTTTCTCTCAAATTCTCATTTCATTCCTAATTAATAAAGATTATAATGTTTAAAAGTTGTACAATTTTTCAGCGGTTTTTCCACTAAAAGGAAAACTTTATAATGCTCTTTTTGTATCTCCCCACTTCATCTCTCTTTGCTCATCATTTTTTTCACTCTCGCTCGCTCAGAAAATTTGCATGGAAAAAATCATTTGCATTTTCATCTGCACGGAAAATAAAATGTGAATCTTACAAAATGTTCTCTTGGTTCTCATCATTTCTAAATAAATAATAAAATCACCATTCAGTTTTTTTTTGGGACAAACAGTGTTGTGATATTATGACACGTATTGATGTGAAGGTTTACTTTGCGAAAAGAAATTGAACTTTCCAATTTTCTTTCATGATGCTGCTGGATTTGATGAGGAACTTTGCGCGCATTGCAGTCCCTTCAACTCTTTGCATGTTGATGATGATGCTCCCGAATCCTCTCCCTCCGCATTCGCCTGGCATTGTGATTGTGCCCCTTGAATTTGTGGCACTGCGACGAGCAGCACTCGTCCACGACGTTCTTGTCCTGCTTCTTCCTGCCCAGTATCCGGTTGTTGCACACTGAGCGCGTGCATCTCTTCTTGTTGCACTTAATGTCGCCATCCTGCGGAAGATTGCCACCCAGTCAGACACTCAATCTCCTCCTAAGCGCCTCACTCTGTCCCTTACCTTGCACCGGCAGTCCACGCACTTGTGCTCGCCATAGGAAGAGATGACTGGATGCCACTCCTGGCCGTTCTCATACACGGTCGTGCTGTGCATGCAGCCTCCGTTGGCCAGGATCTCTTGCGTCGAGGCCGTCTTGTTTGGCGCAAATCCCTGATCCTTCAGCAAGTCGGGGTGACTCTTGTCTCTGTACGTTTCAACTCGAATCTGCAAAAAGGTACACACACATCACAGTGAATTAAAATTCCATATTCGCAAAGTTGCAAATTAGAATTTTAATTGGGCGTAAAATAGACATATAATTCAATTACCAAATTGGATGACGGGCAATGCAAGTAATTGACTTAATAACATTGACAGAGAGCCAAGATTTTAGCAATTTATGAGTGTGAACAAGTATTTCGCACAATGTACAGTGTAATCGCATATGATAGGGGAGTGCGGGGCGTTTGCACTTGACTTAGAGTGGGTACTCACTTCTGGGCATTTCTTGCAGCAGGACTTCTTGTCCGGGCGATAGGCGTCCTTTTCACTGCACTGCAGTTGCGGACACTGGACTTTGGGGCAGGTGATCTTCAGGGACACAGGATCGCAGGTGCAAATGGCGCAGGTGTCGAAGCCACTGGGCGGCAAGTAGGGATGCCATGAGTAGCCAGCGTGGTAGAACTGACTGCCCAGTTGACAGCCCCTCTCGACCTTTGAGTGACTCACTTCCTCGAATGTCTTGGCATCTGCAATATGACGACAGTGGCACAATGTCTCGAGACTCTACGTGAGAGATAAGCTTCAGTACTCACCCATGCAAATCGGACAGCACTCGCCATCGCGATTGCGCACGTCTTCTGGCTTGCACCTGAGCGGCGGACACTTGATGGCCTCACACTTGACCCGCCGATTCACGCAGGAACACATGGTGCACTTCTGCGACTTGTCCGCCCACTGCTCGCCCTCCTCGTAGAACTGCCCGGAGGAGAAGCACTTGGTGTCCAAAGCGTGGTACGATGGGTGGCCCACGTCGTTCATGGTCGACGCAATGATGGGCAGCTCATTGTCACTGTCGTTGGGGAAGCAGCGGCTGGGCACTTTGACGCTCTTCAGCTTGGCACGCAGCAGAGGTCGCATGAAATCCTTGGAGAAGACTTCCAGATAGCACACGCTGGTCTCCAGTTTGGCCAGCTGCCACTCGGGTATCTCGAGACTGAATCCCTCCAGGTAGTTTCCATTGAACTCCTCGAGAAGTGTTCTCGTGATTGTGGCTCCAGGTGCCTCGAAGGGCTTCTCTTCCAAGTACAACTCTAAGTGGCGGAAGGAGTGCAGCCCAGTCAGCATCAGATCGTAGTGCAGCTCGCAAGCACTGTCCACGGCCACCCATGCCATACCGGCCACATTGGGCGGGCTAAAATCATCGACCTTCTTAAACAAGATTGGCGCTGGCGAGTCTCTGGCATCCGCTACAGGTCTAATCACGAGTTTTCCTCTGGCAATTGTTGTGTCGGGCTTTGCCAGGATGTTCACTGACAAATCGCCTTGATACAGAGGCTCTAGAACCCTAGGTCCCAGCCTGTCCATAGTTCCTGACGCCTCATTCGTCACCCGATTCAGTGTTGGCGTCAAATCCTCAAGTTCCAATCGTCGTTTTCCATTGTCATCCACTAATGCTACAAGTGGATTCAAGTCGTAGTTCAGGTCATTCACCTCAAGATTGTAGACTAGTCCACCGTCCCGGTTGAGGTAGATCCAGGCTAGACCGTTGGTTCTCTGCGCGGAGTCCGGATTGTGTGAAGAAATTACAGTTTGGAAGATTTCACACGAAACTCGCGACACCACCTGACCTTGCAACCTTAGATTTTCAGGATTCCTCCTGGACTCCACCGTGACGAAGAGTTTTCCTCTTGCCAGCATCCTAAGATCACTCGTGGACACTGGTGAGGAAATTTCAATCACATTAACAGCGTGAGCGGGCTTCTTGACTTTCTGGATGTCTTCGAGGATAATCTGCTTCTTATCATGAGCCTCCAGACGAATGTTCAATGGAACATCCAGGATCTCATCAGGATTAAAGACACCGTTCACAACTAGGGTTATGTGCACGGAGGACGCTGTCCCGCCAACAGCCGAAACGATTGCTGTTCCTCCAGCTCCAGCCATCTGTTCAGGACTCGTTCCCGGCGCTGGTTCCAAGAGAGAACTCAGAATCTCAGTCTGTAGCGCTGGGTACTTCTCAATCCTTCCAGCTAGGGCCAGCTCGGCTTGATATTTGTCGCCCCAGAGAATCGCCACTATGATCTGATCCTCCTTGAGGAGCTTCCTGTAGTCCCTGGGCACCCTTCGCCACACACCGCACAGCTTTCCAGTGGTGTTCTGGTAGATGCTGAGCGGTCCATTGGTGGGAATGGTGAGGTTGTGCTCCTCCAGAATGTTCCCCGTGGCGTCCATGAACTGTATAGCTCGCGGACGTGTCGCCTTCTCCGACACGTAGAACGAATAGTAGAGATTCTTCTTGTGCAGTGAGAATCGACCAGTGGCTACAATGTTTTGCGGATTGTTGATGGAATACATGGACTTCATTTCTTCTCGCTTCAGTATCTGAGATGTTCGCGCCGTCAAGAGAGTGCCGAATTCTGCAAAAAGGAATAGATTGTGGGTTTACACAGTGTCCGAAATCTATGAAAAATCCATTTTTACTACACAAATCTTCGACGCATCTCAACCCTTTAGAATGCCTATGATTTCTGATTTAAGTCGAAATTTTAATTCTCTATCATTCAATAAAACATTGCTTTTCAAAAGTTTTTTTTTAATGTCTTCTGATCTTGTTTCTGTGTGAAGTGCGTGTGAGATAATAAAAAATATTGGTTCCTTTCCTGGATTACCACAATATATCACTAGTACAGTCACGATGATCTGTGACTTCACCCATATTCTTGGAAAAACTAGTTAACTTCCCAGCAAATAATGAATTATTCTTATCACCACTCCGGTTTGCTTCCTCGCAAATAAAGCAATTTAGTATGTCATTATGCCGATCACACATTTGATCATAACGATCGCGAAAGATTTATGGTTTTCCGACTACCTTTTAATTATCTCGCCACTCACAGGCATCGCGGATTTCGTCAGCCATTCCCACATGCAGCGGGTCAAGGCGCGCGTGAAAAACCCCTCGCCCGGTGCCGAAACATTGTGGCGAAGGTGAGAAATGCGGGGTGGACTCCATTCTTGTGGCATCCTCTCCCTGCCAACTCCGCCGACTTGTTCCCACATCTGCATTTCACGAACTACTTATGGGTATTGTTCGCATTCCGAACACGTTTCATTGATTTTTATCGAAAATTCCAGCTAAAAAGGCAGTGAAACATTGGATGCTTACCTTTTATGTTGCGCTCATCTTCGTTAGTTGTTGTTGGCGGTGGAACATCTTGGATGATACCTGGAAATTAAGAGAGAGCCGCGCATTACATTCTGAACTCAGCCCAATGTGAGATTCCACACTAATCTCAGACGACGAGACAGTGACAAGGGAGGGAAAATTAATAAATATATGCGTAATTTTCGGTCTGTCGCGGAAGATTGGACGCGTTTGAAGATGCTCTCTGGCGCAGAGCAAAAAATTGGGATCGTCCAAATGAGTTTTTTTCTCGTATATCTGCTGAGCCTCTCTATTGACTGCGACTCACGATAATAATATAGAGTCTGTGTGCGAGAGAGAAACATCTTTTTCGAGATCAAGCAGGAGAGCCTACGAGTGTCTGTGTGCAGTTATGATATCACAATCGAAAATAATCATTCTCAAAAGAGTCCACTGTTTATTGAAGTCGCTCAATGTGACGAGAATATGAAATTTACATAATATCTCATTGACTTCGGCACGTTTTCTTGTTCTTCGCCTTTTTTCTCAGCATCGGCCGCGTATTCACAGTGCTTTTTTTCTCTCTCTCCTTCGCTCCACCACTGTTTTTACATCATCAGCCTTTTATATGGTTTGAAATCAATAAAATGAATTAGCTACTATTTTTTTTCGCCATGCCTCTTCTGCACAAGTTCGCGCGGGGAGACAGTCAAGGAAAAGAAGCGGCGAGCATCAATTTTTATTACGAGCAATTTTCAGGATGATTCTATCCACTCTAAAATATGTCTTTCATGTGAAACTCGTTGCCTCAAGAATGTCATCGTATTTGAGGCGTTAGGGGCTCGCCATAGCTGTGGAGCAGTGACTCAAGAATCACTTCCTATATCGCTTCTTCCTCAAATCTATGCGAAAGAACGGGAATAGAAAGAAATCCGGCAGTTCTTAAGTTTCCCAGATTGCTTATCATGATTCTTCCACTGATTTGATTGTGGTTTTCGGCTCTTTGGACCCTCTGCGTCTTATGATTAGCCCCCGAAGCTGCTCCTCCGAAAACCCATTGAGAAGACGTGCCGCCCGACCTAAACCACCCAGACTTGCCCGATGGACTGTGCCGCGTGCTCCCAGGAATTCACAATTTGTCAAAACGACATAAAATTTATTATACGGAAATATTAATGCAAAAAATGTGTTGCTTGTGTAATTGGCTCTTAATATGCATGCCGTGTAGACGTTCATTTTACATAAATAAAATGTGTATCTCCGCGCGTCTTGTGCTGCAACAAAAGGCAAAAGACGACAAGGGAGGCTTTATCGCATTTGCACAAAATTCTTAGGATGACTCGCGAGAGGAATTCTCTGTCAGTTGTTTTCCCACGAAATCAACGCCATCGGAGATTCTTTTTTTCCATTTTATTGGACATCTATTGAAGGCGATGTCAAGAAGTCTCAATGAGGGACTAATTCGCCACCATAAATTATATTGGCAATATTGCCTTGTCATCGCAAGAATAACTTGGTGATAATTTGACTAGTCATGCCATAACAGGAAAATCCTCCCACATTTGTGTCTGTGCGGGCTGAACAACCTGCGATATTTTGAAATTTCACAAAAGGAACACAGAGCGCATGATTAATTGGCCGTGCGGGCCTAAATCTGCCGGACTTTCCATGGAGAGCGTCAAAACAAGAGACAGACTAGGGTCATTGTATAATCCGGCCAAGAGTGGGCTTTCTGGACGATACGCTAGAGAGCGTATTTTCCCATGTTGTGAGCGGGACATTGAGATTATGACGCTGGTGAGACAACTTTTCGTTTTCGCGTGGTGAGCTTTTTTGGCTGTTATTGTTTTGAGGCCACTAACAGCGCGCGCAGAGCAGGTATTTTGTGATAAACGGCTTCCGGAACTTCTGCCCCGCGTCTGGGGGAGATTGGGAATTTGAAAATTCTCCTCGCTCAACGGTTCTCGCAACCGTGAAGAGCCCTTTTGGAGTTTGAAAAAAGAGAAGAAAAGAAGAAGGAAGAGAGGAGCGTTGAGTGTAACAGAAAATAGTGTGTAAGCGACTGTCAATCAATTTGATGCTTGTGTTGCTTTCGAGATCAATTGAGATTCCTCGGTGATTCCACTCAATTCCCATATATCGTGGCGATGGTGGTCGCATTGTGAGAAAACACAAATATTCCCTCCACGGGGAATTGAGTCACTGCCTCTTGTCCCACGGACAAGAATCCACCATCAATAATCCCTCCGTTGGACAAGAGAGAGAGGCAGTGGTTAGATAGATCTAAGAGGCAACAAATCATGATATTAGTCGCTCTGTGTTCTCTGCCATTCTATTCTTAGGACTTTTGTGACGCGTTCTCGTGTCTATTCGCAGCGCCCTTGAATGCCACAGACACAGACGACGTGTTAAATTGTTGCTCCGATGCTCAGCACCCAATATGCAAGTGCTCACCGCCACCCAGAGATTATCTCCACGCCGAGGAATCATATCAAATGCCATCCGCGAGAAGGTGGGATCGTGTAGACGCGAAAGCGGAGCCACAACTTGGGAATTCTATCCGTGATTCTTGAGAAGAGCAGCTCGAAATTGGACTTATTCACTGGGCATCATGAGAAATTTGATAAATGATATCAATGAATTTGACCTGTTGGACATGGAATATTCTGAGAAATGTACTCCAATAAATTTGACCGAAGTTTTCTATAAAATTTCTTCCATAATATGAAATTTATCATGCATTTGGCAAACTAAAAAAAAATCTTCTATTGCAATAACTTCAGGGAAGGAATTATGCTAAAATTACTCTTTATTTTCCGTGTTGTTTAACAGTCTCCAAAGTGATAACCATTCTTCATTCTATTTATTATGATTAGGTGACATAAAAATTGCATTTTACAACATTTAGAATGCGCTGTGTAACTGAAAACTATTAATTGTTAAGCAGATGAGTTCAATTTCGCGCCTGAATTCAATCTATGACTTCTCATATGACAAATTTTGCGTGACATTTAACACCACTGTACTTTTTCCATAAAATTGGGCAATTTTAGCATAATTCCGCCCCAGGAAGTCTTCAATTTGGTACCTTTATGCACTAACAAAAGTGCACAAACAGATAACGATAGCCTTAGGAAAGTTGGAATGCAATTTTGCGAATACCAAAGAGAGAAAGTGTGTAGATCCGAGTCTAATCAGTGAGGATTTGACTATAACCTCTTGTTTGGCAGAGGAGCAGCGCATTCCACAATCATCAAAATCAAACAGCGCCAATTTACTCTGCTCTTCACTATCACCAAGTGAAGTTTGTGTCTGGCGCTGATGCCAGAAAGTATTGCCGTGATGAGAATTTAATTTCCCATATACACACTCAATAGAGACAAATTAAATTTCAAATAAATTGCAGAGAGTCAATTGATGCCTATGCATTTAGTGCTCATCAGTCGCGTGCATTAAAATGCTGATTATTGCAAATTACCAATCAATCAATCCCACTTTGTGTGGCCCGAGCGCGAGTGAGATGCTCAGCCGTTGAGGAGGAGTTTTCGGACGTGTGTTGGGGCCTTTAGAGAGCGACCGTGGCGCGCGGAAAGGCGTGAAAGAAATGCTGATGAAATGAAAATTGTCTCATATATGAGGGGCGTTTTCGGGGCTTGCAGATCATCGCGAAAAGGCGCTCCTCACCAATGGCTTCAAGAGCGCGCAAACACTCGAGGCGAAGAAGAATTTATATTCAATTTCAGAAATTCAGCATGTTTGATAAATAAATATAAATTCTCCTCATTCACCCCGTATTTTGCGCCTCACGAGCAGATGGAACGCGCGACTGCCTATATGAAGAATATTTTTAAATGACACCGAAAAATTCTAAAGACTCTCGCGCTATTCGCTCTGTTCATCGCATTCGTACTTCTCTTGGTCCATCGCCGATTTTCCAATGCTCGCCAGAACAGAAATGTGTGCGAGCGGGAGAAGCCGTGAATGGGCCACAAGGAAGAAATTCTAACATTGGAGAGGATCATTAATTAAAATGAATTTCTTTTCAAATTGCCACTTGACGCTTCTGATATTTTTACATCTCCTCATAATCTTGCACTCAGCGCGAATTTTCCCTCTCAACTCGTGGTGATTTTTCTCTTGGCAGAATTGGAGGAAATGGCACAGAGTGTTTATCATGATTTAGAAGCACAATAAATTTTCAATTAGAAATTTTATACATCAGAAAGCGGATCTGAGATGAAAAGCGCGACAATTTTAGCTCGTGGGAGTGATAATTTGGCGCGCAATTTACTTTCTGCGAGATTTATTTCACATCAAATGCTCTAGCAATGGCAAGAAAGCCGACACAAGAGACAAGATCATGAAGTATTCTAATTCATATGCAGCGATAAGGCCTTTTTTCGCAATTTGCAGCCATAAAAATCAGTCATGTTCAATGAATAGAGTGCGATAGGGAGTGAAAAAAAAGGAATGACGATTGAAGTGCGAAGGAGTGGCGCACAATTGACAAATACCAAAACACTCTCAGGCCAGCAATTTAGGCTATCAGTCCATTGACTTGCCTCCCCAATAACTGGGCTATCATCATTACATCACTTCCCCCTATTCTATTCCGCGATAGCACATTGTGACAATCAGAATATTCTTTCGCGATATGTTTGCGGTTTAGGCCGAGACACTTCACATTTATCTTCAGATAGTATTTTCCGTGATGATTTAACTCTTGGCTTTTTTGTCACACACACGCGTTTTTTTCCCCTCCTTGCCAAAGTTTTATGAAATAATTTTGTCACTTGCTTGTTTCTATCTCGAAAGAATAATTTCCGCTCTGCCATTCATTTTCGGTCACTCACGACTTTTTTGCACCTCCTTTCAGCCAAAAGAGCAAGTGGTGATTAGTCAGTGGGCAAAAGCTTCTTTTCCTCACCCATGGGATTGATATTTCCTCCTCAATATACCGTCAACATTCTTCACTAAAAATATTTCGGCTTTTCCCACCGCGTCCAGGATATACAGTGGGCAGAAAATGAATCTACACCGTCTGATTTACACTGTGAGAAGTGTATTTCATAGGGATGAAGAGCGGGCGAAGAGAATTTTGCTCTTCACTGTTGATCGCATGCAATCTGCGGAAGGTTTCACGCTGTTGGGCATCCTTTGGGCTGAAGCTACAAAGTTACATGAAATGCGACCGAAACGGCGATTGAATGGCCGAGTGAGATGGTGTGTTACGCGAAGTCACAAGCTTGGGGATGAGCCAAGACGGGCCACAGTCACATGTCAGGTGGACGCGGGCCGAGGGTGATCTCCACCTGTGGACGTGTGGCTTGTCATCTCTGGCGGCTGTGCAATTAGTGGACTGCAATTACCCGCGCCGACTGATGAAAGCTCGCGCGAAAGCTTGGCGCGTCTGGATCCGCTTCCGTAAATGGCGGACGCACTGATGGTTTATTGGATGTTTTTCACGTTTAAATGATTTCATTGAACTTTGCGGTGTGAGTTTTTGGGATGGCTCGCACACAAAACATCGCGTCGTGCGCGCTCACTTCGTGGGCTAAAATAAATAAAGAGGCGAGGATGAGTCAAGAAAGAGCGATTCCGCGAGGAGCGAGAGACGCCAAGAAAAAGTCGCGGTGGCGACTAAAGTGTTCCGCATATTGCCCCAAAGATGCCTCGCGCGATGCCTTTTCCCTCCTTCGGGCGAGCGCCCATCCATTTCCTGAGATTCGCGCGTCCGCGTGGCGTGCGCACGAGGGGCACTATTTGGATCAGGAGTGGAGAGTCTTCTGGTGAGCCGCCTTGGGACGCGACTTGGCCACCAGCCAGCAGATTGCGGACTCTTTTTTCTGGCCTCTCGCGCGAGATGCTCACTTCTTGCGATAACCACAAGCTCTTGAGCTGCGACATGAGCGTCTGGCATTTAAAATAACATGTAATATATGTACTTGGGAGACAGTTGTAAGTCACCGCTGATGTTTTATATGCACAGCATTGCTGCCTAATGATGAATTAATTGAGTCTTGTGACAAAAGGAGTTTAACTCCCCTACAATGCGACATGTGTGAATTGGGAAAATTCAGCAGATTCGAAATTTCGCACTGCCGGAAAGGCATTGACGGGGAGATTCCGCGAAAATGTTCTTTCACTCTTTTATTGCCCCACATCTTCAGTGATCTAACAAGTCCCATAAACACATTTTTCATTGCTTCTCGGAGATTTGCCCAGAGGAAAATATAATTCACACACCATGAAAAAATTGACCTCCATGAGGTCATCGCATAGTGCAAAATATTGTATTTCATGTCCTTCAGCCACTTCAGCAATTTCCCGCGCAATACAGAAGCCATTTGGATCGAAAACACATTCGATAACACACGACTTGCGTCACATTTCCCAACTGAAAATCCTTAGACAACCCCTTGAGAAGGTCTCTCGGAATCGCACACGGTTTTTGGCCACAATATCGCCAGAAAGGCGACGTGTGGCGGAGAAACACGCGATGACGGGGACAAATTTATTAGGTAGAAAACTCGATTTTGAAAAATTATTAATTAATAAAAAAGAGCAAGAGCGAGACGGAGAGCCAAGTCTATTATTGGCGCCAATGCTTGTTAACCAGTTTGATAGGCAGGAAGTTTATCTGCGGCAGAGTGTTGGAATTTTTGCAAAATTCACGAGTGAGAGATAAAGTTTTGCTCTCTCTCCTCCTTGCCAAGACCGAAACTGTCTAATCCATCGATCACTTCCGCTTCACTGTCTCGTCAACATAAATTGTCCGTGGAATGGAGACACAGATAGTGCGGCGAGAGAGTGCACGTATTTACACAGAGCCACTCGCGCAGACTCCCCAGTGACTCAAATTGCAACTTAATTGCTATATAAATTAGCTCAAGAACTGATTCAGTCTATCGGGCCATATAGGAAAAGAATTACTCACTGGTATTGTCTCCGGGACAAGTCTTGCAGCATTTTCCAGGTTGGATAACTGGGTCATCGCATGTGACTTTTGGACAGTCGTACTTCATGCTGCGGCATTCCACTTTGGCCACGATTCGCCGCTTCTTCTGAACCTAAATGATGGGAGAAAAATTAATGAGACACTCTGTGCTTAATCTCCTTGAGGCTGGGGATTTGGCGAGGGGTTGGCAAGTGCCAGAAATTTCCAGTGTATTTCCATTGACTTTCCTCTAATCGCGCCAATCGGAAATAGTCCACATTGCTCTTGACTTTATCTAAGAGATGAAGCTGTTTTTCATCCCATTTGCACTGATCAAGTGACTAATGCCACACTTCCCGATAAATAGAACTGCAAAATTTTCCAATGGCCTTTCCCGCGCATCACAACGCAAATTGTTCCCCTTCTGGGTCTTTTCCCATGAGATGTATAAAGTCAACTTACCGCCACACATTCGCATCGGAAGCAATACATGACCCCAAATGGTGGGCCCAAATCCGGAAACCACGACGATCCTAGCTCTTTCAGTTGCTTCCCAAATTGGCATTCTGAAAAGAGAGAGAGAGAGAAAATTTGAGTCTTTTTATGGTAAGGCAAAAGAAATCCGAGTGAAATGCGACTCGCGTGATCTTGGGCGTCTCTTAAAGCGTCACGACTGTGTTTAAGATCAGCGCTGCTTGCAAAAGGAATCGCGCGTTGTGTAAAAAAGTGCGTTATCAATTTCTCTTCTCGAAGCCACACAGCGCATTGGAACAAATTAATTATGAAGTGAGATAAGACGACGCGTAGCGAAATTGTACGCGCGTAGTGTGATATAACGTGAGAATGGAGGAAATTACAACAAATAGAAAATACAACACGACAAATCAACTACAGCGTGATACCTTATCAATTCACCCTCAACATTTCGACGGGCGAACATCAACGGCAAATATTCGTAGTGAAATGGCGAGAAAAGCCACAAGATTGAGCACTCTTGAGATGAAACTTCACGCACATTTATCGATGGTGAAGAATCTCGCGATTAAGTCGTATAATGAATTTCAGCGGAAAAATAAATACGACTCGTAATTTATGCAATAAAGTTTTCCATAGCATTCACACCAGATAAATAACTTCTGAGAATATCTTAAAAATCCCATAAATCATGGAATGCACGGCATTTGTGATTTTTTTTCGCTCGCGCCTCTCTTGGGCACCCGCCATCGCTGCCCGCGCGACTCACAAATCATAATTCTTGAGCAGTGACTAAGGATTCTCGCGGTGGTGCCCCCAAATACGAGAAAACCACCACGCAATGGTGGGAAAATGTCTAATTTCAGCCTCAGCCGCGGGCTTTTCTTCTGGCCCTCCTCAACAGATCGCCATCACTCAGCGCACAGATGAGATCGCTCATGCTGATCGCGAGCAATTAATTGCGCCCCCGTGATTTTTCCACCAATTGTGGGATGAATCAGCTCCCAATCAGCCTGACTTCTGTACATTTTTCCCGCGATGATCGTTCTTTTTTGACGCAACATCGCGAGTCTGTTATTTTCGATCGAGAATACTCCTTGTCCTCGCTCAAGGTGGCCGAACAGACGGGGAAAAACGCTCGATTTTGATGAAAGTTTAAGGTAATTGGCAGTTTAAAATATTAGTTTCCAGTCTAAGAATAGATACACTCTAAAAAACGATGCTTTTAGATGTTTTAAGCGTGAATATTGATTTTCAAGCTCCTTCTTGATTTCCTAATGTCGTGCAAAGAGTCTGGCGCTCATAATTCGCACCAGTTATTAGTTTTTGCATATTGACAGCGAAAATGACATTTTGGTAGGCGGAGCACTAGAATGGGCGGAGCTTCAGTAACCTTTCATCTGCTCTAGGCTCGAAGCTGCATGGCTAAAGCACCAATTTGATACTACATGATCACATCCTCTCCAGCAACTTCGCCACCGTCAGATTCTTGTTGCCCAAGAGCACAACTGAGTCAGTATAATTCTGGTGAGCCGTGTGTACAAATGGTCGCGTTTTATTGCACGAATTGGGGTCAACGATCTCCAATAAGGCGATCAAATATGAATGTTTTATCGTTCGAATTTCAAAATATCGCAATACAAGTAATTATGATTGTTGTGCCCCTCCGCTTGTCCACCCCGCTCGCGGGAATAGCCAACTAATGCAGTGCCGCAGAGTGAAATTGCCCAGCGAAGAGAGAGAGACGATCAATTGAGGAAGAGGAAGAAAAAGAAGTCGCGCTGCGGTGAATCAATCTTCACGTAGCGGTGACAAGAGTTGTGAGACCTCCCAGTTGATGACACCCTTAGGATATTAAATTAAATATTGATGATGAGATTTCATGTGTCACGGGGAATAAATTATGCCTGGGCTGTTGATGTGAAAGGTGAGAGAAATCCCAGGCGGACGCGCTTCAGGGCCCCACAATTGGTCCTGCGCGAGATCAAACGATGGCGCAAATTGGACTCTGCTTGACGCCAATCAAATGTCACATTCGGATCACCTAGAGTTGACGAATCTAATCACAATTTACATATTTACCATTCGCCTCAGCGCCTCCGCCCGCCGTCGATTGTTATCAATCAAAATAGAAAACTTATGTACAAACAATATCAAGGAAGGTTCTCGCGTGTACTTGCTTCGGTGCCAGACTTTATTTAACATTTCTTCCAATGCTTCCCAAATGCGCCCGATAAGATACAGCCATAAATTTCACAGTGCGTCCAACTAGGCAGGAGAGCACACATTCGCCCATACAGGTTAGGCCATACTTGCATAACAAACACCACAACCAGCCGCTCTTGCTGCGCTCTTGGATCGCGTCGCTCCTCATTCATGAACGCTTCTCTCTGCCGCGGAAGAATGAAATCGATATCTCGATTCCCGCAGATCAATTAACTCCCAAAACCGTATGCATGATACTTTACACCGCGCTTGAGCCCACCCCACCCACCTGAATTGTCATGCTTTGACGTGGGCGAGCGAAAGCGGGCGCAATCACGGGAATGCTATGGGAATTAGCAATGTTTTTGACCTCTGCCTCCTTTCGCCACATCGCCAGATTACCTAACGCCCGAGTCACTGGAAATTGAAATCACTCTTTATCGCGCGTCCGCAGCAGCGAAATCAATTTATACATTGGAAAATATATTGTTGACTAGAGTTTTTCACGCTAAATGACCATATTATGAAAATTACACTGATAAAGGAGGCGCCAATCTTGATCAGCGCGCGTCGCATGTCGAAGACCAGCAACAAAGTTGGCAAATAAGGGATCATGATTCGCGGTGAAATTCACCGCGGATGCCCAAAATTTCGTGAAAAAGATGGAAAATGCGACTGAGTTTCTGGGTAGAAGATACATTGGAAAAAATGCCCTTGCCATTTTTTTCTGTGCGCACAGCTTTTCAATGAAACTGTGTTAAAGATCACGTTTTTTAATTGGGTGAAGTGTTTTTGCACTGATCCGTGGTGATCTTGTGAGAATGTAATCTGGATTGGGCCTAATTTGTTGAGTATTCGCAGCGATGATTTAGAAGTGTGGTGTTACTGAAGCTGATATTTTTCTATTTCGGGATCAAAACATGAGGTCTCACCAGACTCATGCAAAAAAAATGAAGATTTCTCAACTATTAAATGCAGTGGAAGAGTGAAATGAACCCTGTCACACTGTTATTTCTCTGTATTTGCGTCACTCCTGCAGAATGTCATCGTATGTATTGACAGAAAATCACACTTAAAATACCATTTCGTAAAGAAGACCATAAATTAAGTTGTTTGTATATGTAATAAACATATTCTCAGAAATTTGGCAGACATAGAAAAAAAAAACTGAGGAGTCAAATCTCCTGAGTCCTACTTATGAGGCTATCAAGGTAGAGCCTTGACACTCTCCCCGCGTGAAGATTCCGATCTCTGAGTTGTTTGTGAGATCCAGTTCGCGAAACCTTAGACAATTTCGCGTGTTTTCCCACTTGAGCTTTCAACGTGGCGCCAAACCCACACTTGAGCACTTGAGGTGCGCTCTTGTGTGGGAACCTGTGCGAAAAGACTTGTGTACAATCTCCTAATCACTTTATCAGAATTGACAGTGTGGAGGAAAAAAGTGTTTTCCTAGTTTCACTCGAAATCCCGCATTCGCGGCCTGCGGCGGGGGAGGGAAATTGTGCGTGTGGATTGAATTTAGTTGTTGCGCCGCGGACGCGATGGACGTGGAGGGGGGGAAGGGGGGCTGGTCCGGGGGTTCGCAGAAGAAGGCACACAACGTCTTATCAACACCTCTCCACCGGTGCTCTCGTGGCGACACGATTCTCGTTACCTCGCCAGGGGCTTTTTCGTGCGCGCAGAGATACTGTGATCAAATTCTGAGAATTCCATTGAGAATGATTTCAGGCGATCGTGAGCCTCACCCCCGCCTCGATCGCCGACCATCGAGCTGTGAGAGAGTGAATAAATCGCGAGGAGATCACATGCAGCGCGAAAATGGGTGTTGCGACCCGCAAAAGGAGGTGGAAAAAGCATCGCGCAATTGAGCTCCGCACAATGTTTGGCGACGTCGCCACCATATCAAAAGCTCCCATGGCTCCCGACTGACGCTTCGCGGCTGTTTATTTATTGTTGTTTAGTGTGTTCCGGACAACACGCCCCGGAGAGAACTATCTGCATATATGCCTTGTAGTCCAACAAGCTCCACTTGCTAATAACATTAATTTTTTGCTCGCCAACCATGTGAGATTACAAGAGGGCGCGCGAGTGTGTGAATTACTGCTCGCAAGGCATTGTGGATATGGAAGCTGTGCGAACAAAAAATATGTATATGAGATACAAAACCCAGGGAGATTATTGCTGTTAATGTTTGCATAAATGTGTAAAATACTCCCATAAAAATTTGAGTGGCGCCTGCCGGTATGTCGCTCGTATATTCGTCCAATTGTGCAAAATGCTAATTAAAAGATTTACAAGGAGTGATCACCCTAAATGATCATGCGATCCTATATGGCAAGTCATCTCGTAAATCTCCCCAAGACTGTCTGCAGCTACTCAGTCGGTGAGTGGCTCTATTGATTTGTTGCATTGCCTCTGCTCGACTTGAAAAACACGCCACAGTTTTTAGATAGCAACACGAATGATGGTTTAATTCAAATTCTAAAAGTTGACTTGAACAGAAGCAAAATAAATGTCGTATTTTTCCACCTTTCCATGTGATATTTCGTCTCAGAATCACTGCAATTGTCGTCAGGCGAAGTCAGACATTGACGAAGAGGTAAAGTGAGCTTTAAAATAGTTATGTTTTATGAATAAAAGCCATCTGCCTACGCCCATGATCGTCGTGTCTAGTCTATTCTGATATTTTGACAGACTAAATATACAGAACACAATAATCTATCTCGCAACACTTGATAAGTTATACTGTTAAGAAGGGAAGAAGACACTTGCAATTTTTCATTTCTAAAATTAAACTATGCGCACTGTAATCTAAATAATATTGATATATAATGGTGTACTAATTGATGGTGGCTAATCCCGCGTCATTCAAAGTTTAATGACACCC